TTATAGTTCCCGTCACAGGAAAGGGGACGTGCAGCTATGATCGTTCCTTACTATGCTTCTGTCCCCTATTTTAGGTTGCAATTATCAATGTTATTCAGACCCTCTCAAAATGTTTAAAGTAAATCGATGCAAAGTAGAATATGAAAAACAATAGTAAACCTTATTACTCAAACATTCACAGTGACGATAACATCTCAGAATAATAAAAAAAAAACATAAAAGGATAAATAAAAGATAATAATAAAACCAGCATGTGTGTATCAAACATATAACGTGAGATTTTAAATGATTCTGTTGACAGCAATGCCGTGATAAATACAATCAGCTGACCAAAAGGAAAATCTTACTGAGGGCACAAGATAAGAAAATGGCAATGCTGACAAAAGACCAAATTTCCAACGACGACACGATGAGAAGATGGTTGAATTACAAAATGAAAGTAGAACGTTCAACTTCCGCCCACAACATCGCAACAAACAACTTCCGGGATATGTTGTACAAAGAGAGACGTCTTCGCCTGGTCATGGAGGAGGTAATCGATATACTTTGACAAAATAAATTCATAATAATTATTGTCATCCGGCTTAAAAAATATATTAATTCTGGTAGTTAAAAGGACAATTCCAAAGCACTCATTGAAATCTTGATATTTCCTTTGTAATATTAACTGCACTAACAGACTACCGGAAAACAGAATCCGAATTAAATGTTAAATGTTATTAATATACAATAACAATATGAAGCCTGATTAATGATCAAAGGAGTAAAATGTGGTCAAATCAAAATCAATACCACTTGGTATTAAATTCGTTTCAGCTCAAGCACGAACTCCATCAACTCTTGTGCAAGAAAATTGAACGAAGATTTCAGGAAACTTTGGAAAACATGGCGACGACTATCGACCTTGTTGACTTGAACCGAAGTAATGATCGGTAAGTTCATCAATAGATTTGTACAGGTAAAAGAGTGTGCTAAAATTAAAATACTTACAAACACATTACCTGGTGAAGTGATATTTTAAAGTCAGTTGTAAGATATAAACGGTATTTTCTATCAAAGTTATTTTGATTGGCAGTGTTTAAAGTGAAATGATAAATTCAATCCGAGAATATTCATTAACGCACGTGTCAAAAAAACATTTCTGTCATGATACACAACCTAATGGATTCTAATATTACCACAGGTACCAGTCAGTAAAGTCATATATACAGACCATCGATGTACGAAATATGGCCGAGAATTTGCTTCGGAATGGCAGTGTTGAATATGAATATCCGAATATCCAAGTGAGTATATTTTACAATCCGAACGTTAGGTTGTGGTACAGAATTCACTCAGACCAGACATGAAATTAGTGTAAACGACGGGATAATAAGTGGTAATGCAGCAACAACAGTAACAAATGTATTATCTAAAAGCTATAAATATGCAAACGTAAATATCATCATAAAACAGTCTCGAACATTACGTCTTGTACTAACTTCCTCCAGTAAGAGAGAAATAAAGGTAAACACCGTTCCGAGATTTTCCTCAGACGCCTCCTAAGCTTCAAAGCTAAGGCCCTTAGCATCACTGACGGGTCAGAGAAGGACGAAACAACTGTATGATGCAGTTTTAATTTCATTGTTTGGCTCTACCCTGTCAAATCATATTTGTTAGAAAGGTTCTTTTCACTTGTGTCTATTTTATAGTCTTACAGCACATTTGCTATAAGATGCTCTAATGTCTAGACAAACACTGATGATATAAAAATTTAGTACGTCACATAGTTATTGTTTTTCCTACAATAGGAAATTATAGAGGCTACTGGGTTCTTCGAGCCATTACCGAAGGGACGCATGACGTCTTGGAGGCTACAGGGACACAAGATGGCGGGCAATGATTTCATAACCTCATCACTACAGAGTGTGGATGATGGTAGGTATATAGTTGTTTAGACCTACAAAATTTCTGAGCGTCAGAGACTAATAAAACGTCCTAAGACAATAAGGTAAATGAAGGGTGAAAGAACGGTATTTCTTTATATCTTAAAAAAGTATCTCACATGAAGGTTATACAATGGAGCTTCTTCCTTGCTTTATTTGATAACTTGTACGACCGGTATGTATAGGGGGAAATTAATTAGAAGCGTGAACCTTGAACACGTCTCTCGTCCTGAGAACCATCTGGCGTCCTCCTCCAAATTTAATCAGAGAATGTTATTTACAAATCAACATTTCCTATATTACAGAAATGGACACTGGTTTAGATAGAAATACGAACAACGGACGTTACCTCAGAACTGTGGGATCGAAACATTTACCTGGACCGGAGTTTTTAAAGCTAAAAAAAGGTAGGTTGTTTCTTAGAATATCTAGATCCACGTCATGTTAGACCAACCATTGATAGAAAAAATATTTACAAACTTGTTTGTCGAAGATTTTGGCACGATATCAAATATGTTTGCTTCCATGAGATTTTGTAATTTGCCTAGATTTATACAATGATTAGGGTTTGCGTTGGGTATTTTATATATTTAGCAATAAAGCTGTGTCACATTAGACCAACTAAAATACGGGTTTCACAACAATGTACATTATCCTGCAGATCAAACGTTCAAACAGAAGTTGACCGTGATGGGTGGTGAAGTAGCATTTGGCTGGTCAAGGAAGGGTCGGTTTGGTCAGAAGAAGTGGGGATTTTGTGAAACTCGACTAGTCCTCAGGGTGGTGTGACAGCCAAGACTTTTGTCCACATAGCTCTTTCTAGATAAGGACGACGCACGGAAATAATCAAACCTAGATTCATTTTCCGCGCTTGAGAAAAGATGAGGCTTTTTGTCTAACTCAGCGACTTTTGACTTGTTTAATGTTATACCGTTTCATATATATCTTGTACCTTGTTGTTATATTTATAAAACTTTTGAATGTTATATCTCGTTCTTTTGTTCTTTACACGATCAAGTTGCGAATCCATCACCACATGAAAACACAAGTTATGTCTATAAGGCCATTAAAACATACATGTAAACAATGTTATCTTGTGCGTACAAGCCGCGTCTAAAAGGGCTTAATTGTTTCCAAAATCGATGGAATTTTAACCATCATTTTCACTCATGCAGATGTATTATTGTTCACGATAGGTCAGAAAGCTATATAAGACAAGATTTATATAGCATTTTGTCATAGCAAACAGTGTATCACTCCTGAGATACATTTTGAATCTATCATATATCGTCATTTTGTTTTCTTGTATACAAATCAATAATCTATGAGATATAGTTTATTACTTATAAGAACCATTTTGCCCAATCACTCTACTTTATCTAGACGATAAATGTTACAATATGGACAAGTGTGAAATCGGACCATAATATTAGTATTATTTCGGTGGACGTGAAAAATTGTCTGATAGCAAACCTTGTCTCCTTGTCAAAACAACCATAAAAACAACCAGAAACGTATTTTCTGGCACCTCAGACAGGAATATCCCACGTAATACTCATCCTAGATTTTACTGTCGCGCCAAACTATGATGAAATATCGAATAAGTTTCAGAGTATTAGGCGCGTGAAAAATTCTATTACCTGTAACTGAGCGAGATCGGGGTATCTCGGGCTCAGATCCTGTAACGTCCTTATCTTGTCTAACGTCTCGGTTGGGATTATGTGACAGGATCTTAGCCCTCGACTGAGATACCCCGATCTCGCTCAGTTACAGGCAACATATTTTGTAAGTCTTTTGGAATGACAGAGAGGTTTATAAGCCCAATTTCCTGAAATTATTAGTCATGTTTGAGATATACTGGAATAGCATATTGATTAGGGAAAAAAACATCCTTATATGTATACATATTTATATGTATAGTGTTGTGAAGGTGGGGAAACTAGTCCGTATGGTGTGATAGAGGTAGGAAAACTAGTCGGTACGGTGTGGTGGAGGTGGTGAAACTAGTCGGTATGGCGTGGTGGAGGTGTGTAAACTAGTCGGTACGGTGTGGTGGAGGTGGGGAAACTAGTCGGTACGGTGTGGTGGAGGTGGGGAAACTAGTCGGTACGGTGTGGTGGAGGTGGGGAAACTAGTCGGTATGATGTGGTGGAGGTGAGGAAACTAGTCGGTACGGTGTGGTGGAGGTGGTGAAACTAGTCGGTATGATGTGGTGGAGGTGGGGAAACTAGTCGGTATGGTGTGGTGGAGGTGGGTAAATTAGTCGGTATGGTGTGGTGAAGGTGGGGAAACTAGTCGGTATGGTGTGGTGGAGGTGTGGAATCTAGTCGGTATGGTGTGGTGGAGGTGTGGAATCTAGTCGGTATGGTGTGGTGGAGGTGTGGAATCTAGTTGGTATGGTGTGGTGGAGGTGTGGAATCTAGTTGGTATGGTGTGGTGGAGGTGTGGAATCTAGTTGGTATGGTGTGGTGGAGGTGTGGAATCTAGTTGGTATGGTGTGGTGGAGGTGTGGAATCTAGTTGGTATGATGTGGTGGAGGTGTGGAATCTAGTTGGTATGATGTGGTGGAGGTGTGGAATCTAGTTGGTATGGTGTGGTGGAGGTGTGGAAACTGGTCAAGATACTGCTTAGGAGAAAGATTAACCAGTCGGTATGCTGACGATCGTGAAGTAGGAAAACCAGCTTGGTTGCTGAGGTGGAATTTAAATATGTCACCCTTACTGAAATTGTCCTGTACCTTGTAATACACGTATCTCAGTAACTGGATGTTTTCATATACTGCTGTATATTACTTCTCCCTATATCAAGTTTTGTCAGTAGAAAGGTTCAATAAAGGAAATTACAGTTCATCTTGTATCGTATACCTACTTGTAGAGTAATAGGAATAAGATGGGGAAAAATGATTATGATGATCGGACAACACAGACATAATAAGGTTATAAAGTGATCGATTACAGGGACCTCTTAAGTCTAGAAAGATGATCGGATTCCGGGGACTTCTTAAGTCTGAAACAATGATTGGATTCCACGGTCTTCTATAGGTTATGTAGTGATGGAACCAAGGACTGCTATAGGTTATACAGATATGGATTCAAGGAAGTTTTTAAGTCTAGAATGATGATCGGATTCCAGGGACTTCTTAAGACTAGAAAGGAGATCGGATTCCATGGACTTCTTAAGACTAGAAAGGAGATCGGATTCCAGGGACTTCTTAAGACTAGAAAGGAGATCGGATTCCAGGGACTTCTTAAGACTAGAAAGGAGATCGGATTCCAGGGACTTCTTAAGACTAGAAAGGAGATCGGATTCCAGGGACTTCTTAAGACTAGAAAGGAGATCGGATTCCAGGGACTTCTTAAGACTAGAAAGGAAATCGGATTCCATGGACTTCTTAAGACTAGAATAATGATCAGATTCCATGGACTTCTTGAGACTAGAAAGGAGATCGGATTCCAGGGACTTCTTAAGACTAGAAAGGAGATCGGATTCCGGGGACTTCTTAAGACTAGAATGACGATCAGATTCCGGGGACTTCTTAATTCTAGAATGACGATCAGATTCCGGGGACTTCTTAATTCTAGAATGACGATCAGATTCCGGGGACTTCTTAATTCTAGAATGACGATCAGATTCCGGGGACTTCTTAATTCTAGAATGACGATCAGATTCCGGGGACTTCTTAAGTCTAGAAAGACGATCAGATTCCGGGGACTTCTTAATTCTAGAAAGACGATCAGATTCCGGGGACTTCTTAATTCTAGAATGACGATCGGATTCCTGGGACTTCTTAATTCTAGAATGATGATCGGATTCCAAGGATCTCTTTAGGTTAGAAAGTGGCAGTTCCCAAGGACTTTTTCAGATTAGAAAAAATTATCGCATTCCAGGGATCTCTAAAGGTTAGAATGATGATCGGATTTTGCTGAAAATCGTCAGAAATTGCAATCCACAAATCAATACCCATCTTGTATTATGACAATGATTGTTGAAATGACCAGCGGGAAGTAATGTGTTTAAATAGGAGAGACATTGACCATGTGTAAAATGAGCCTCGCCATTTTCTGAATCAATTTCTTCCAGAACTCATTAAGGTACCCTAGATTACAGGTTCCCTGGTTGTATGGAACGACAAATCTGGAGGAGATTGTTTCTAAATATAACCTTTTTTATGAAGAGGATTAATATATGTTGTGCCTGTCATCTATTTCGGTTATCTTTGTTTATTTTATTTATACAATAAAATTGTCAAAATTTAAATTTAAAATAATATATCATCGTTACTTTAATAAATGTTTTGTCTAACATTAGACAATGTCTTTCATTATAGTATCCTTTATCATATCACCATATCCTAACAAAGGATATATAGAAGTAGGAGATATTTGGAGGGTTTTCTGTTTAAAAAAATAATGAAATTAATTTTTAACAAGAGGCCCCTTGGCCGTAACGGTCATCTGACTATAAAAAAATTCAGCAAGAAGGATTATTTTTCTACTTTGAATGAAATCTTACTAAGAAGCCTTTTACCATGATGTATATAATGTAGTTTTGGTGAGGTGTAGGAATCTGTAACAAGTATCACCTATTTTTGACAGTAAAGTTTGAGCTCAATCCCACTGGTGAAACATGAGAAGTTTTAAATAGGTGTTGCACTGGAAAACCATTATTGCGCAATCATATTACAAAATGGCCTTCCTGACTGCCGTACCGAAGTTTTGACAAGGTCGAAAAATAACAACACTTTGTTGGCTACCTTCCTAAACATTTCCACCAATTTTAGCTCAATGACATCAGTGGAACAGGAGAACAAGTTTAAAATATATGTTTCAAGATGGTGACCATGGCGGCCATCTTGGGTTTCAGACATATCCGAAAAATAACTACACTTGGTCAGGACCATCTCAGGATCATTTCATGCAAGTTTGAGCTCAATCCCACTCGTGGAACTTGAGAAGAAGTTTTAAATGTCAAAGGTTACACTTAGTGGATGGCGCATGGCGGACAAAGCATGACGGCTGTGGGTCATCATGACCCGTTGGAACAGATGACCTAAAATCGGGTTTGGGATTTTTTTTTTTTTTTTTTCGTTGTTTGAAATAAAAGCACCAATTTTGTCTGTGTCAAGTTACTTCTGTAACCGGGTGTTGTTCATTGACAGAATTCCCCCAACAGCTAAGTCCTGTTGTCAGGATGTCTATATAACACTATTACCAATAAGGTTCGGTTGTTAGGATGTCTGATTTTCCCGACGTTTTATAAGCTAGGTCATGTTTTCAGGCAGACTGTATAGCTTGACATCTAGCTAGGTCATGTTTTTAGGATGTCTATATAACACCTCAACAGGCTTGGCGCTGCTGTCATGATATCTGTATGATACTATATACAGCTTGGTCTTGTTGTCATGATGTCTGTATATTATGACATCTATTTAGGTCTTGTTGTCGTGATGTCTGTATAACATAACATCCAGCTAGGTCCTGTTGTCTTGATGTCTGTATAACATCACATCTAGCTAGGTCCTGTTGTCTTGATGTCTGTATAACATGATATCTAGCCAGGTCCTGTTGTCAGTATGTCTGTATAACATGACATCTAGCTAGGTCCTGTTGTCATGATATCTGTATGATACTATATACAGCTAGGTCTTGTTGTCATGATGTCTGTATAACATGACATCTAGCTAGGTCCTGTTGTCATGATGTCTGTATAACATGACATCTAGCTAGGTCCTGTTGTCATGATGTCTGTATAACATGACATCTAGCTAGGTCCTGTTGTCATGATGTCTGTATAACATCACATCTAGCTAGGTCCTGTTGTCATGATGTCTGTATAACATGACATCTAGCTAGGTCCTGTTGTCATGATGTCTGTATAACATCACATCTAGCTAGGTCCTGTTGTCATGATGTCTGTATAACATGACATCTAGCTAGGTCCTGTTGTCATGATGTCTGTATAACATGACATCTAGCTAGGTCCTGTTGTCATGATGTCTGTATAACATCACATCTAGCTAGGTCCTGTTGTCATGATGTCTGTATAACATGACATCTAGCTAGGTCCTGTTGTCATGATGTCTTTGTAACATGACATCTAGCTAGCTCCTGTTGTGATGATGTCTGTATAACATGACATCTAGCTAGGTCCTGTTGTCAGTAGGTATGTAAGTTGTAAAGGTTTTCGTTTTCCAGGAATCCTTTTTTTTCAAAGATGGAATACAATAATAACAACAGACATAAATAAAATTAATTGTTTCATGTCTTCTATAAAAAAGGGCATTGTTTCTCCTTCAGGGGAAGCTATATATGGCAACTGATAAATATCCTTTAAGAACTTTGTTAAGAAATAGTGATAAGAAGAACTATTTAAGAAGAGACAGACAGACAGACTGACAGCCAGACAGACAGGCTGATAGATTGATGGATGGACAGATGGATGGATGGATGGAAGTGTAGAAAATGTACAGTCATCCATCATCAGATGGTGGGTGAATAAAACATAACTCAATATACTTTATCATCAGTGTAATCAATTTATTGCATATCATGACAACTGAAATAAAGGACTACATATTAATGCAGTATTTCATACATTCAAAAATATCTTCTATACTGTATATTTTATCTAGAAAAAACTATTTCATTTTCTAAAGACAATATTAAAATTACATAAATACATACACATTAACAGTGACACAACTCAACGAATCCTTAATGTACACAAATATCAATGGTATAGTTATCTGTGGTATAAATAGGGGTTAATGTAACTGTTGTGGTTGTCATCAGTCTTTTCAAGTCGTTTTGCAAGTGAAATTGCAATATTAAATCACTTTTATGTTCCATTCAAATATTTTCATGATCCCATCACAAAGAATTGGTCATGAGGCATGTCACTGGTCAAATCTAAATGTTGATGAAAAACGATGGTGCATGCTGAAGTGAGGTAATTTTGGTAGAAATGTTTCCACAAATGTTATTTGTTCATGAGATGAGTCTCTAACACTATCTCATATAACACTACATCCATCAAAAATTAGGTTTAAATGAATGAGGTCAGAAAGCAATTTTCTTCTTCTTTTTTGACTTTTCATGTTTCTTCATTTCTTCCTGTTCCAGTCTTCTCTCTAGGGCTTGTCTGCGTAGATACTCAGAGTCCTAAACAAAATGATTAAATAATTCATCTCCATTGATTGGACAGTTATGACATAATATGTTCAATAATAATAGGCCAAGTGTATGACATACATTAAGACATAGCCATTACAATACAATATGCTGATACAACAATAAATACTCAAATTTATGTTTGTGCACATTTTATGTTCATCTTTCCCTACACTGAAGTATAATTTTCTCATTGTTGTGGCTTAAGGGAGATAACTCTACCTTTACTGGCGACCCCTCAGGTGTGTTGGAAGCAGAACTCTTTGGACTCTTTGCAGGACTTGTTTTTGGACGGACTTTGTCGGGAGACACACTCTTTGGACCAGTAATGGATGGTGGGAGCCGATTTGACCCCCATGATGGACCAGATGACCCCTTCCTCTCAGCTACATCACCCAAACTCTCATCATCAAACTCTTCATTGTTGTCGTCCTCTGATAACAAAGTAGTACACAAATGTCACATACAATATAGAAAGAATATTTAGTACACACAACGGTATGAGTATAGAAAATAATCTATTTATCAGTGAGGACACATGTGATTGGATGTGGTTTGATGAGCACCTTAAACTAACTCCATCAATATGTTTTTATATTGTAAAAAGAATATATTATTTACATGTATATCATGAATGTCACAATACATGAAAAAGAATTAAGATAAAAGTATCGGCTTCAGGATAAAAAGAACTACATATTACATTCAGGCATCTAAAGCAGTGACACAGAAATTAAAATAAAAAACTTTCTATGTTTAGCAAATGATTTCAGAAATACACATCCAAACACCATTATTCCAAATATTTCTGATTAAGATAGGTTTGGGAGGCATTAATCCAGTCTTATTAATCTAAATACAGTCATTAAGTCAATTTAATTAACCTAAAACAGCCATTAATTAAGCCAACCTAATTAATCTAAACCAGATTCTTTTTAATATATCTCAATTCCTTGTGAACCTGAAGCTCTGTAGAGAAATAGAGTATGGATACTGTCAACATACCTTTTGTGGGCGATCTGTTGATCCAAGCATATTTTGTCATGATTTGTCTGTATAGATCTTGGCCAGCTTCATCGAATGCTGTACTCCCAAGAGATTTTACAGAGTTTTCAAACATCTGAAGTAACCAACAATATTTGATCATATACAGATAACAAATGATTACAGAAAAATGATTTTAAGCTAGTGCTTGTCTTTTAAAACTTTAAAAAAAAATTTATATTTCATAAAATTAAACATACATGTAGTTAATTGCTACTAATAAATTTGTTTGAAAACACTATTTCTTTAAAGTAAGAGGCTCAGAGAGCCTCTACCACTCACTTGGCTATTAAAGCAAATATTTTTTTCACTCAAATCAGTATTGTAAGTCATTATATGTTCTGTAATCTGTGTTTAAGGTTCAAATCTACATAAGAAATTATTTACATTGCTTGTCTACACAATATAATCCATACCGATCATTTTCAATAATCTGGTTATCCAGACAGCGTATTGACATGTACATTTTCTGGTGATCATAAAAACAGATCAGATGGATGTACAGTTACCACATTCCACAAGTAAGTATTCATGTCATGTGAATTGATGTGAATTATTAGGAAAGGAGATTGACAGTAAAGAATGCTAATTCCATTCCAAGGCTTACCTTTGACATCAACATCTCATTTTCAAAAGCTGTCTCCACAAAACTCTTAGTTTCAATGTGTTCTAGAAAAAAACAATGTTGATTTGGAAGACATTACCAGTATTCAATTAGGTCATGGTTAAAACAATGACACAGATCTTTGGATTATTGAGGCATTGAACTGCTTTCAAGTCAATTGACATTCATGGGCATCTGAATGCCAATGGGATACAGGCAGGGTCAATGAAGCGTGTTAGTGCTGCATATGCCTTTATCCAGTATTCATATTCAGTATTCATACTGCCCACGAATATCAACTTATAGATCCAATGAAGCTCTGGATTAAACTTGGTCAAAATACTTCAGAAGATGACCACTAAAGCTTTTCCACTGTAACCTATTATTTTATTAAGGTGATTTATATGAATGAATTTTGCACCCCATTTCAGGTATTCCTGGCAAAGCATTAACACCATGGGTCTTCTTTAATTTGAATAGATTCTTTTGTTTTACAATTTTGGCTCCTGTGACTGTCAGGGTAGGTCTAGCTTGTTTATATGAAGAAATGTAAGAGCCCTCTATCCCAGGTTCATGTTCATCAGATATAAGGATTCAATTGCGATCACTCTTCAAAAAGCAAAATATTGACAGAGGGAATGACAATACGACCAATGCTTCAGTATGGTGTAAACTCTCTGGTACTTTGTGTCATGTGAGCTAAAATCATTATAAAGCTACAGAGGATTTCCTCTATATTTCACAACAGCTGCTGAAATCATGTCTGTTCTGTGAAGGCATAAAGAAATGCTTACTTCTTGAGGTCTTCACACCCTGAGATTTGTAATCATCTATTTCCTTGTCTTTATTTTGGACAACCTTGACAAGTTCCTTCTGCCGTCGTGTCAACTCACAGACCATACCCATCAATGGTATTATAAGGTTTTCTGATACCTGAATACATAGAGATTTCTATATATGAGATCAATGTATAAAATTTTAAGTAATATATAATTGTGGATATGTACAGTAACAATATTGCTGTGATTGATGAACTGTCAGATATACATCCAGTAAAAGTATATTGAAAATAGCCGAGGCCTACATATACAAAAATCCCTATACTGGGTGACTAGTAAGTCCATGTGTGTTTTTTCAGAGCTTCACACTTTTTAAACCTTACTTTTTTATGGTTTTATATATATATATAGATACCAAAACATACCAATATAAGTATACTGTGAGGAGGTTTTGATATATTTCTGTTTTATTCAGAATTACTTTAACATTTATCATTAATGATCACCAAACCAACTATGACTAACGACTGATCAGTGAAAAGCTGAAAAAATATATACAAAGTACATTTGTAAGTTTAAATACATTTATCACAATGTTCACATGTAAACTAATCCCTTTTCAGGTCTGCCCTACTTCATATAAATAAGTGTTCATGATCAGTAACAATGAAAAATACATCTGCGTAATGGAGCACTCATTTGATACTCAAGCTTACCATCTCACTGTCAGCCACATTGGCAATGAAGTTCCACACAAAAGGCATTCCTGCCAACTGAGAGGTGATCTTCAACATAATTTTTTCCTGGTTATCTTCACCACTTGAAGACTTAAAACCAACGGACAAGGTTGTCTCCCTTTCTGGAAATTCAATACTACTCCTAATCTGATCCAGAATCCTAGTTAATGATGCCTCTATGCTAGGATTCAATTTCTGGAAAATGATTTATCATATCAAAATTTATTGAGGAAAAGCATGTGGATTATTTAATACATATGTAAGTATTCAACCTGAAAACTTCAAAGCATTATGTTCTAATCTGTTAACTTAGTTTGAAGATAAGGGTGAAAGTACTTATCCTTTCTTCTACTATGTCTTTTCTACATAGACATGATACAAACCAATTAATTTCCCAATAATTTTATTCTAATTCAGGTCAGTTAAAAAAACATGTACCTTTGTAAGAAAACAAAGAACACTTTTTCATGTTAAAAATAATGACAGTTTCCTAGTCTTGACAAAATGTTTAGTTCAAAATTTTGGTACATTATATTTTCATCACATATGAATTCATTCTACTTTTCACTGCTAACAGAAACAAGTTTCAGTGAATCCAGAAGTTACTTGACAGCCAGAATTTATTATATATGTAGTGTACAAAAACAATGATACCACTACAGTAGAATTTAGAATGTGTATAGTAATAAATAAATCAAGAAGGACAAATATACAGTAGGTAAAACAATGTATACATACTACATAAGAAATATAATATTAATTAACTTATTTATCCATCACCACTCTTTCAAATTTTCAGTGGGGTTATATGTATATTGCTTGAACGTCTCTACTAGTCACAGACTTATTCTTGCCATGAACCAATTCCAGCCACAATTCAAATAGATCCAAACTCAAATATCACAAAAAAGAACTAGAGTGAATTTATACCACAGATGTATTGTAGATGTAATTTACATGCCTATATTCTAAGTCAAACATTTGATTTCATATAGTTAATCATAAACATTGTATAACAGATCAATTTCAAAGTAAGATAATGACTTCTTTTTAAATAAGTTACTTATGATTACATAATTAGCTCTTTTATGCATGTATCATGACTCTTTGAAATGCTGGTTTAATTACAATTTAATACATGTACATATCTTGTATCATATTTTTCGCAAGATTAGAGATGTTATCTAGTGTACTGGTACCTGTATCCTTTTCCTAAGGGCTATGTCCTCTAGTTCCTCATACCAGAAATGGACCAGATCTGTGATAAGGATCTCATAGGAGTTCTCAGTGAACCTAAACTTGATAAGATATTTAATTCCTTCAACCTCTATTGCTTGCCAAGGACACGAACCAAGATCAGGCTTCCATTTCCTCCGCCATTCTATTTCAGATGTCATGATTGCTCTGAAAAGTTTGTAAATCATATAATTTACTAATCTGATTATTTTGACGTTTTATCAGAATTTTCTAAATTCTATCGCATAGTGGTCTAGCGTCGCTTAACAGCATTAAATCATTTGGACCGATCATTTATATATCTGTCAACCTTTCTTTTTCCAAAATGCATGCAAAATAATCTAAAACACTTCTTAAGTTATTTGACAAAAATACTAAGCAGTGTCCTAATTTGAAACCCATTTCAGGAACAGTTATAATTTGACAGTGAGTTATCCTGTTATCTGTATGACTGTCTAAATCTAATGCATTAAACTGATTATTAGGTGTGTAACTCAACTGTGGGGTTATCCTAATATACAGATTCCTATCAGTGTCGAATAAGGCTGGTTATATCGAACTGAAGACCAATTTAAAAAGCATCGCTAAGAACAAACAGGGACAAAAGACACTTAAGAGCAAAAAGACCTGTTTGCGATCTTCCACCATTGATTGCCGGAAATGACAGGGAAGTAACTCTAAGTATAACTAATTCTACTTTCTCTTTCATCGGAACAGGCTGGTTCGATAGAGCGTTTTAAATACACCAGTTCTAGGTAAATTAATTCATATATCGTATCCAAATATTTGATCGTCATTAACTCAAAGTAAGCAATGAGACCAGACAAAATTTCATCAAACTTTTTGAAATTTTTAAAAACATTCATTATGCACTTATTTTTTTTTTTAATTTTAGAAAAAAAAATGCTGTAAACTCTCTATGCTGATTTTGCTCATGCTTTGTTTGTTGGCTAATCCCAAAAGTACCAGTGTTCCCTCAGGAAAAATCGCATAGACGCTTCACATATATCTTGTAGTGTTATTTTCTATGTCTTATTTAACGGTATTGTTTTATATGTTTGGTTTATGTACACGTTGACCGTGTTAACTTAGATAGGGTGCCAGTGTTACCCGTAATCTTATGATGTATTAATTACCTTGATCTGTGTTTGTCCATGAAGCACTGTTTGGATTTGTTGCCACGTAGTTCAACAGGTATAAATTAGGTTATTTACGGTCTCCTTATCTATATCACCCACGGCCATCATTAACTCATCCCTAATTGACTTCTAAATGTTATGCACGTAATTAGGTCAATTTGCCAGACTGCTCTGACAGGATCCGTTTGCCCGACCGAGTATAAAAAAATAGTATAAAAAGAGCGGGAGAGTTTAATTCGGAGAATTCGATTTTGAGATGCCTATGTGTTAGAGATGGAGTACCCTATATCGACGAGAGTGATGATGCTTGCTGTTTACGTAAACTTTTACGATTACACCGCATGCGCTAACTGTCAAAACAAACGTTTGTTTGCATACTTCATTTTATCTGTTATTCTGCAATCATCTTATTTACAGACTTACAGAAAATGTTTCAGGTTTGTTGAAAGCCCTTAATTGGCCGAAACTTCATTACCACAGAAACCTCTCTTCCCTTATAATGCCTTTCATTGTTATACACTGTCTATAAGCTTTTAAAAAAATACAAATTCTAGTTTCCTTCCAGAATCCATAAATAATATATGGACGCAATTTGTTTCCCTGTAACCATCCGACCCTGAAACAACCTGCTAACAAACTGCTACCAAACATCGCACTGATATAACACCATTCAAAACAGAGTTCACAAATACAGGTCATTTGTAAAGTTAATTAAATCGAGACGAAAATCAGGGTCACATATGACAGGAAGTCGCTTAATTCAGATGGTCGCTATTATAAGGAAGGCTTGACGGTAGTATTTAGATAACGAAAACCATATACTAAAACTCAATTTCTAATGCAAAATAACGCTACCCTGGAACCCAAATAACTCTTTTCTTCAAATTTCCAGAGGAAAAATATCATAGTATTTTAAAGATTGAACCGTTCATGTATCAAAAATCAATTTCTAAAGCACTTCTTCTAACTGAAAAGTGAAGGGAAGTAACTCTGGGATATGAAAAATAATCGGAACGGTGGTCAATTTCTTGACCACTTACTGATAAGGGACACCTAGCTAGTACTGTAGCTATAGCGCTAGCGTTTAATATCTTATATTAGTGAGTTTATTAGCTCGTCGAAAGGTCTGGTGTGCGTTGTGTACTTTATTTATTTTCTCACTTCTTTATAGTCATGAAAGTTTTTGTTTACGGGGCACTGCAAAGAGGTCAGCCGAACTCACATCTATTTGACAACACAAAGGACGGTCATTACAAGTACTTGGGTGTTGGAATAACTGTTAAAAAGTATCCTCTTGTGATAGCCTCGAGGTTCAATATACCGTTTATGTTGCACGTTGAGGATAGCGGCAATGTAAGTAAACTGCACCACAATCGGATTCGTCGCTCAGTAGGGTCAGTTTGGTTTCACAAAACATACTTTTAATACCCAGCCATATACAAATTTGTATTTCCCTTGTATATTGTTTTGATAGTTCTACATAAGTTTGCTAATTTTATTTATTTATTTTTTTATATTAAAAGTGTTATCGAAACAAGATTCAATGACATATATAATCGATAAGATAAACAGAATAATTTCTGTCCATGCTGACCTGAATTTTGGACTTTAATAGTGAATTATTATCATTGATAAATTATGAGAAATTGATTCTTGAATTTCATATTTAAGTAACCCTTAATCCGGATGTGTGCATATCAAAGTTCGGGATTGATCGGAAAATAATTACTGCTCCTAGTGACCATCTTGGATTTTGATGACAATTAAAGGTTAATTTTGATGTCGGCTTATCGCTATTTTTTGAGAAGTTCGGAATAGATTATTTTCAAATCCTACATGTATTAATGCATTTTCGAACCTTTACTGGCTATTTAACCCAAGCAGTCCCTAATACTAGCTTTCGCGAGATTTATTACATAAACAAACAGCATATCAGAGAAAAGTTATTCATTGTTAAATTTGTAGTGTACATATAAAAACTCTGGGTCTTCTCAAAATCGGATACAGGGCGCGGCAACGCTTCACCATCTCTAACAAAATGTTAATAGATCAAGAAAACCGCTGGTCAGTCCGTAAATTAGGACCAGCAATTATTTCTATAAAGCATCAGTTAAAAACAATTAAACCGAATTTTAACCCCATTACTATTACTATATAAGAATGGGGTCATTTCATGCGTATTGTACTGATCAAGTTGTCTTCTGTCTTTTCAAATGATGAAGTTTGTAAATCTTAGTGTGCTGTCTTCTTGCATCTTCTGCCATTATAATTCACGGGATATATTTAGTAAGACTTTTAGAAGTCCCTTAAATGGTCTGTAAAGATACGTACGATGTTTTAATGAATGATTAGAAACAAAAATGTTATGAATATCTATTGTGCATACGCTATTGTTTTTACTTTTTTACCAAATATCTACATGTTTACCCTTTGAAATCATTACAATATTAGCAAATTTACGGTTAGGTTAGTGAAAATATTGTTCACTGAGAACGCGTAGAGTCACCATGCTTTTTATTTGCATATTTAACCAACGTTAATTATCCATTTAATGTAGAGAATAAAAGGCGAGGTATATGACGTAAACGAGCCAGTGTTGGACGCCCTGGATGAACTAGAAGGTCATCCAAACTTCTACCGCCGCGAGGTGATCCCAGTGACTTGTGAGGATGGTTCTACTCTGGAATGTGGCTGCTACTTTCTGTTAAACTTCCGGAAGGATCTGTTGGAACTGCCCTTCCACGACTCTTACCATTACAAAGGGTCACATAACTTGACATTTTCTATGCCTAGTGCAAAGGAAGGCGAGAACGAACTCGAAGAGAGGCGCAGTTTTCTCTCCTCTGTTATAAATATTTAAATCTTCAAAACATACACATATCAACTGCATGCACTGATATATTATATCATAGTGTATTATTTTGTACATTGAACACTGCATACTGTGTGTGCTATATTGAATATTGTACAAAGTAACTTACATCATATAGGTATATTGAACCTTGTATATTTTACTCCGAATGCAGTGTATTATATACATAATTCTCACAATGTATTTTTTAAACTGTAAATGATGTTCTATATTTTGTATTTACTTCATATAACATATAAACTATATACAGTACATGTTGTGTTATGATTCTTATCACGCACGTCCTGTACAATACATTATACATAGTACTGTGTAAAACTTAACACTTTATGATATATCTTAATTGTTATTTTTGTTATACTGTTTCTAATTCTAAATTTGCATTAATTGACTTGTATGTTTGTTGTACAACACATTTTACATGGTTACATTTGCGCTGTAGATCATCCTTGATAATCCAGGGGTTACGATCACTTTCATTCTCTCCGCCCCTGGAACATGTCATAGCACAACTGAGGCTCAAGTGAAGTAATTTGATTAGTATAGAGTGGGTTTCTGGAGAAAAAACTGACCAATCACAAATTAATATGGTTCAAACTTCAAAGCCAGTACAACATACCGTTATACGACTTAAAGATTCGCCTCATGTACGGCAAATGCACAATGTATTGCATGCACATGGACCTTTCAGTTTACGCTATAATTTTTCATGGGAGCAGTAAACGATAGTGATCCCCTGGAGTATCGAGGGCGGGTGTAGAGTTTGCATGCAGTGAAGTGGAGAGTCAAATGATATCCAACTTTGGCCATTATTACACATAATTCGAGCGATTCTGTAATACAGAGATCATAGTTTATACTAACGGCTCTAGACCATTTGAGAAATCAGACTGACGAATGTCATTAATGCATTTCTATACATATTTAATGAGGGCGTTGATAGACAAATGCATTTAAATGCACAGCCATGACCCATGGACGTGCGCGGAATAACTTCATCAAACTGACTTAATCAATTTTGTTCAAGTCAGCGCATGGCACAACAGCAGTCAGAGTGTGACCCAAGCCTCGTGTATCTGCGAATGCTATTTGATTACTCCTTTAAATTGCACGTTAAGTCCACGTTGAGTTTAAGTTGTAAATGAATCAATGTTAATGATATCTCGTTCAGTATTGAAGATGTACTGTAGTCTTTTCCCAAACAGATACATTGAAAGTGTACTTACTTGTCAGTCTTGATGACAAAGTATTATACGATCTATGTCATAAATATTAGGATCTGTAATGCTTACAATATAGTAGGTAAGTCAGTAGCTGTTGGGTTCCCACCAAGATAAATATGTAACAAAGGACAGTATTATTCAATGCCTCATCTAGGATTCAAATCCGAGACCTCTGGTTTACTGGTCCACCGATCGAGCTAAAGAGAAGTTCTACTTAAACAAAGAAATGTCATAAGCTCTTGACTATGTTCACAGGTAGATGATATTCCACAAATCGTACTAGAAACTGCCTCCTGAACCTCTATAAACTGATATCATTAATAAAACACCTTTCAGTATATTTAGCATTAGAAAATTAATTTTCGCTGATCCCATGCTAATATGACGAAACCGTCAGGCGTTCACTTTATGATGGTCAAATACTGTTTTTACTGTAATTATTTTAAATTTTTAAGTCTATTCTGTCACTGAAATCAATTTAATAATGTCTCTGATAACCCCCCCCCCCCCCCCCCCCCCCCCCCCAAAAAAAAAAAAAAAAAAAATGGTCTTATTTTTTAAAGTTGTGCTGTTCCTATGAGTGGTGAAGTACAAATATGCACCATTCTCATGTATTTACACTAAACTGTTTGTTATTTCATAAGAGTTATTTCCCTTGTCCTCCCGTGTAGATCCACTTCTGTGTTGAGTGAATACTATGTTGAATGCATATTAACGACAAAAAATGTCAACCATATTACGTGTTTTTTCAAGCAATCTATGTAAACCTATATTAGTCAATATGGTGATAATATCAAAAAAGTTTCCCAGAAAATGAACTGTCAAGGCGGTGTTACCATAGATTACACCCTCTAAAAAATGACCCTAGCAGTCACTAACAGCAATAATTTGTGCGTTCAAATATTCTTCATATTTGTTTTGGTTTAATTGCATACATGTTTTGAATTACCTTGCACAACTGACTTCCCGCTAGCAGGATATTTCCACTGACTTCCATGCCAATTTTACATATGTAATAATTTTTTTTTGTAGGATCCATCGAACAATATATATCTAGTGTCTTTTGTTTCATGTATATGGTCGCCTATAGTGTGTCTTGTTCTTTTAAGAATCGTGACAAACTCAGCTTTGTACATTATATACATGTTTATATACGCGGGTAATCTTATATACATAGATCATAGCATCCGATATAACTACAATGTATTACAATTCCATTACGCAGGGCCTAACCAATTTACAGAGCCATCTTAGGTAGCACTTATATGTTATTAAACATAAAAATGCTTTCTTCCAAATACGTCTAAAAGTGTCTATACGTCTACGAAGCATGCTTTTCCTACCGTAATTAAGTTAAAGGATATCGCATATCATTCTAATTAGTATGTGTGGCATTTCATACAAGCGTGGCTTTTATTTCAATTAAATTACAATGGACTTTCAGCACACGGGTAGCTCGATTTAACCTCTGAGAGATAGTGGGCCGTTTATACCAGGGACAGTTTTATGGTAGGACCGTATAGGTACTATCAAGTTGATTTTCTATATACAAATCACAGCAATACGTGTCCTGTCGTTTTGTTTGTTTGTTACGATGAAAGTGTTTGTGTACGGAACACTACAAAGAGGCCAGCCGAACTCAAAGCTGTTTGACAACACAAAGGACGGCCATTACAAGTACTTGGGTGTTGGTGTAACCGTTAAAAAGTATCCGCTGGTGATAGCCTCAATGTTCAATATACCGTTCATGTTGCCCGTTGAAGGAAGCGGCAATGTAAGTATGCTTTATACCAATCGAATTCGACGCTCAGCAGGAGAAGATTTTATTTTTTTATTACTGTTTTGTTATATCCAATCATATATCATTCCTTTTTACTTCTCTCACATAGTCGTTTAACAACTCTCCGTGAGTTTGCCCAATTTTTTTAAACCGACATTATTGAAGAAATATATCCCCCCTTTTTTTATTTTATTTATTATTATTTTTTTTTTCAAACCAAGTGATCGACGTAGCTGGTATTCACGTGGTATGGGTATGTGTGCTATCCGGCTTGACCGAAAAATACATAGTTCGAAACACTCCAAGGGCAGGGTGTTTTTCATTGCTCTTTCTTATTACAGATATAGCACCGTTGACGTAAGGTTAGTAACTATATAAGATTGAGATCCCTTTTTTGGAGATATTGAACCAGGGTTGTTGTCTTTGGGTCCAAGGACTTTGTGGAGGAGGGATTGATAGTAGATGAGAGTACAGGTCACCTCGCTAGGATCGGTTACTGGGGATTATCATGTAGTCAAGCCACGGACTTACATGAAAAAGAATGTCCGGCTGACGACTGAGGATCACTAGCTCGAATCTCAACAAGGACAGTAGGGTGTTTTTTTCTTTCATATTACAAATAAACTGGCAGCGACGTCGCGATCTTTATGTGGAGTATATAATTCAGTGTCCTTGGTTGCGATTTTCAGTCATCGCCATTTCTATGAGAGATGTCATTTGTCGTTGTTTAAATAACACTTATTTCTAATTAGTTTATCTCGTGACATTGCCATGCAACGTTCATTTTTCTTTTATTTAACTGAAGTTTGAACCCATCTAATCTCCCTTATCTCCTTTTACACTGCATGTGTGTACCGTCAGTCACTGAGTAACCTACATACATAAAAGTTTATCAAACGCTTGACCCATGGGTGAACCTTCGAGTGCGATTCTTTTTTTTTTTTTTTTTTATCTTGTTTGGGATTTGGACACTTCTTAACTGGAAGTGTGTTTATATAACCAATGCGGTATAACCTACATTTTCATTTGATCTCTTCATAGATTTGTGTCGGGGAAATATACCAGCTTTGCATGGACATATTAGAAATCGTTGTCAGCTGATATTTCGTCAGTTCTCAGATTTGAAATAACTGATCACAGACAGACCTAAATCTTTGTTTTAAAGTTTTGCATCAGGTGTTGGCCATTATCAAGTATCAGTATAATTGTCAATTTCTTCCATATGGTACTTCTACATAAATTTTAAAAGTTGCTGAATTGTTGACACAAAACATTTTTAATTCGTTGCGTGATCATAATACACATTGCCTCACGTATTCACTAATATTCAAGCTCGTATTTCTTGTTCACTCGAAGTAATCGTAATCGTAACATTTTCGAAATTTCCAGCATTCTTCAGAAATAAGTTTCCAATAAGTTGTAATCGACGTAACAATAAGCTATATGCTGTGATGATCGTTGTAATCAAGCTTCTGTGTATTAGCCACCAGTCTCCATGAAAATAAGATTTGACAATTAGCAGGAAGCGTTGTCGTTCTGTTAACGTACTTTGTACAATTTTGAAAGTATTAAATTTTAGGTTCATGTTTCTCTTCGCTGCAGAATATCAGAGGAGAAGTGTACGAAGTGGACGAGCGGATGCTGGAAGCTTTGGACGGACTTGAGCGTCATCCAGTCTTTTACCGTCGCGAGATGATTCCTGTCACGTGTGAGGATGGCTGTGTTGTAGAGTGCGGCTGTTATCTCTTGTTTGACTTCCGGAAGGAACTGTTGGAACTTCAGTTCTATGACTCTTATGACTCCAACGGATCTCATAATCTACCATACGTTCTGAGGAGCGAGAGGAAAACAAACGATAAGGATGGTATTTCGACTGTGATGTCATTGGTGAAGAATATATAAAATAATTGAATTCCAAATTGTTTCACTGCCTAGTATATGACAGAATTGTGTCTACAAACAGTTGAATAGCGTTAGCGAGGCAGGTCATAATTACCGACCATTTTTTGATAAGACTATATTTTGTATACAGAATTCATGGCAAATACACACTTCACCTTCTAGAAAAGGATTCGAACCCTGGACCTCAAGCTTACTAGTATTTTGCTTATCTAATCGAGGTTTTTAGAGAAGATCTCTCTAAGCTAGCCGAGCAGTGTATTGCGGCGAGTATTTACCAAGGGTACTCATTCCCCCTCCTGTAAAGAACCTGTTTTTGAGTTTACATGTCTTACATCGATAAGTATGATGTATGGCTAGGTATTATTTTCAAATAAGTATTTATTTCAATACCATCACAAGGATTCCTGACCATGTTCGTTAATCTTACGCTAAACTACAGTATTCTACACGTAAAAATCAAAGTATCGAAAGATATTGTGGGAAACGGAGATTTCTGGTGATTGTACACACAAGTGAATAGCACCTTTTCATGATTTAGAGTTGGATACAGTCGAGTCAAACAACGAAATAAACTGAACTCTACAGCTGTTTCATCCTCCTAGGTTTGTAAGTGGTATTCAGAGCCTCAATTTTGAAGCCTAGGAGGCGACCGAGGAAAAATATAGTGATCGAAAGAATGTCAAAACTTTGGGCCGGTTTCCAAAACGGCCCCTTCTCTGATTCAAATTTCCTGTTGGTGGTACATTGCCCATGCCGTTGTGGTCACAAATCTATAAAGTATTAAGATTTAGGTCTCTTGGTTTGTTTTTTATGGCTCTTCAAAGTTGTACCTTTCAGAAGCTGTCTAAGTGTTGATAAAATGTGCATGTTATGTAAAATATTAATGAAAATCTAATCAAATGATAGTCACCGTAAAGAATACATTCATGGCATATTATTGTGACAAAAAATCATGTTTCCATCGCGCCATTTGGCTGTTTTATGGAAGAAACAATCTCAAAAATGCCATTTTCGATGATAACATTTTAGACACAAAACTGTGTTTTTTAGAGAATACACCCTTTTATGGGCGTTGGATGCAAACCAATTTTTATCCTATTAAATAGTACGTAATATGCTATTGATGAGAGGAAAAATCATCAAAATGTAAGTGGTGGAACATTTTCAAATGTTGGGTTGAATTAGCTTATGGTTGAATTGCCGATTTTCGACTTTCTTTAGATAATTAACAAAAAAATGAGAGTATTTGCTCGGTATGTTGAGAATATGTACACAGATATGAAAAAAAGTGAGAGAAACACTTTTTCATAAAAAAAATCCAAGATGGCTACTTCGCAAGTCCCCGTGATTGAAGATATTGGCTGACAAATAGACAGAACAACAAACAAAACGTGTTCCTTATGATTTTGGTTGGTTTTCACATTTACGAGAGTGTTCATAGCTACGGGCGATTGTATAATACCTATATTTATAAGTTTGGTTAGTCACATGATAACGGGGATCTTTCATATCGAGCCCCAAACATACTTTCGACATATACACTCCGTTGCCGCATGGAAAACTATTTCAAGTTTTGTCGGAATTTCTTTACCTGTGGTTGTAATGGTCCAGGGTTTTCCAGCGTCCTGTAATACCCAAGGTAGTACAAGATACTGGAGATGTGCGCACACATTCCCATCGTCCTCTCTCCAACTGGGCACTGGCAGTAGTAGTCCTTTATTGGGGCCTCAACATCGGGTGAAACGGTGAACCGTATCCAAACGATATATCGTTTGGCTTTTGTGTCGAGAATGTATTTGACATCGGAGAAGGTCTGGAGAGTGCTGGTAAAGCCACACCTCATGGTCGCCGTCATCACTTAAATGTTCGGCGATGTAACCAGGAGCCAGAGATATCTGATAGTTCCACACGTAATGGTTCTCAAGTAATCAAGATCGAGACGAGGAAACAGTACTTTATTTTATTTTTTTTACACATCATAAAACTGTCATGAGAATATCCGCTCTGATATTCAATATAAAAGTTTGTATATAATAAGCTATATAATAGGGGTTCAGACAAGGTTGTTACTCATTTCCCCTTTTCTTTCAATTTACAACCACATTCAGGCGGCGATATGATATTCCACATGGAATTAGGTGATTTTTGGTACACATATGAAACAAGTAAAGCTCTATCCGATATTCTGATGGAAATTTGCATCCAAAACTACATAACGGGAGAAAATTGCAAATTTATGGCATTTTTTTCATAATTGTGTCTCTGCAAGTGCATTTTCATCCGAGAATATTTTTTTTATGTTTTATGAATAAACACGATGTTTTGGAAATATTTACCAAAAGAAATTTATACTATATTGCGAATTACAATTTCGAGATAACCTTCTTTTATTTACGAACTTATGTCTTTGATGCTGAAATTGACAACTTTATAAAAATACATTTTCACTGAAATTATGAAATCTGGTTGTCGGAAAGGTGTAAAATTATTTTTCGGAAAAGAAAAAAACAGTAGTTGAGCTAGATAAGAAATTATACGGGGGCAGGCTCCTATGGAGAATTAACATTACTGGAAACAGGCCCTTTAGACTGGGAGGTACAGCAGCCCCATAGTTAGATAAACATTCTGATCACATCCATCTGTAATAGTATCATGGTACTGGGTTCATAGTTACATATCGTTCTTTACTGTATCACGGCACTCGGATATACAATCAAACTTATGAAAAAATTAGAAATCTTCAGGAAAATAACATTTTGTCATATTTCAATATTTGTTCTCAATAACGATGAAAACAGTCAATTTCAGGATCAAATCAAATCGAAATTTTAGCATTATAATGTAAATGTTCGGAAAAGAAGTACTTCTTACGTGGCCAATCTCTCCAAAGGAACCAATCCAGACAGAGGACAACAAAACTGAATGAAGATTTAATAACTTGTGGTACTGTTTTGCCTTCTCGCTTTCTACGATTAGCTACTGGTGTTAAATGGTTTGTATCTTCCATGAATCTGTGATAAGCACGAAACAAAACGGAACATGTTCTGATTACACTGTTTTAATAACAGCTTGCCCCAGTTGTGAACTGACACAAATATTGTGATGATGATATATAAATCCGCGAGATCATCCTGTCTAGAAGATAATTTCATAAAATTTAATGTACTCGTAAATATTAATATCCACACGTGTGTATGCTAAGTATGCTAATACTTTTATATATTATTTTTGAATCACCAATCAGTGCACAGATATGCTGTAGCCTTCGGTCATTCGTATTTTAAAAAAAAAACAGAAAGTTCTAAAAAATCTCTCGGGTTTATATGCTTTTACTGCTAAAGTGTTGTTGGGAATCCTAATCTATGCTTATTTAATCCTGGATATCCATAAATTTCTCTTTTTTTTTTTTTTTTTTTTTGTTACAATTGTTGACTCACCGAAATTTAACCAATGCATATTGCTTTTGACGATTTCATGGGGTGATGAATTGAGTCGCTCCTGAGTCAATATGAATTTTAAATTTGTTTCAAGAGCAACTCAATTTATCACCGCATTAAAACCGACAAAAGCAATATACAATGCTTATATTTCAGTAAAGACGGTTTGTTTTCAACATTTTAAATAAATTCAGGTCTGCAATTTTATTATTTTTAATGGATTGTGTTAAAAAATGTAGTCCGACATTCTAAATCATAGGATGATCAAACTATATTACTCGGGCAAAATACGATTATGCGACACATTAAAAATACAAAACAACATAATTAAATTTCGGTAATTGACTTTGTCAACATTTTTCAGAAATCATGAAAATTCTCCGACAGCTGAACAGAAGAATAGTGTTTATACTGAGCATTGCGATTGCCTCCAGCTTCGCTTAAGAACTAGGCGACAGCAATATCTAAATAGTCATGTAGTGTGTTTTGTGACTATTCTCAGTAGCGTAGCCTTAGTATCCATAGCATCCAGAAATGAAGTCAAGAAGCAGTTGTGTATTAAAAATCACTCAGTGAACACGCTTGGTCTTGTTGGAGATTTCCATTTTCAGGCAGTGGCAGGTTTAAAAAATGTGGTAATATTTGCAAGGTCTCCGCAAATATCAAAACATGGAAAACAAATATGTTCTGCTAAAAATCACCATAATGTCATATTTGTACATATTGATACCACTTCTACTGATAGAAACACTTAACTTCCAAATGGAATATCATATATCAAATGTTAAATCAGTATATTTAAATTTCGATTTGAAATCACGTTTTTGCCTCTTAATTTGAAGTGGACTTCGACCAATAGTCTTCAAGCTTTATCATCAGAAGTAATGTTAATATGTTGATGTTGGCATAGATTATGAAATATTTGTTGACATTTCAGCAAAAAGTCTTCTCGACTTCATTTTACCCGATAATTGTTTTCTTCAAGTTAGTCTATGAATGACATTGGACATCCAAGGTGGTTGCTATCATTTTTTTCTCTGAAAAGAACTATCACGATCAGTCCATGTGAACATAGGGGTTCTGAGTCACTAACTAATCAAATCCAATTTCACCCAAGGATGCTTCTGACTAACATCAGTCAAAATACACAAACATGTATGTGTAAACAGAAGAATTTACTATATTTCCCAAATTAGGCCATGTCCCCATTCTGCGATTCTTCATTCTCGTTCATCCTCATTCAGACCAAAATTGAAAAGAACCAGGTATTCCAACACAAGAAAGATTTTAAAATTTTGACAATTGCATGTCTTTCCTACATAAGAAGAAGGATTTTACCAAATTTCTCCTTTTCGACAACCCACCCCTTTGTACATTTTTAAATCTCCTCCACTCCGGGATGATAGTAGCCCAGTATGAGTGATAATGTGTTTACCAATCCATACCGTGGTTCATTAAAAATCAATATTGTCAAATTTCCCACTTTTTGTACCGCCCTTGAGTCCCCTGAAGGGTAACTCCTACCATCTGTACAGACTGGAATCCCTACCTCCTGATGATGAGTGATCACGTGATCCACGATGATGGTATCTTGATGAATCGCCTGCGTAATTGGCTTATTAACCGCTAAATTTGATGACACGGTCACCTAAATCTCCCTACATTTCAGATCGCGAGGAAACGCGAAACATTTGAAGTGAACTGGGTTAATTTGTAGGTATGCTTCCTGTCAAAATTTTAAAAGGTTATTTAAGAAATTGTTAATGTACGGACGACAGACGCCAAGGTATGGAATAAGTTCAATTCGGACCAAGTGACCTAAAACTCCTCGGTGGCCAATGTCTAAAACAACCCGTTCTCTCTTAACTTTTATTGATATCCCCACTTTCGATTACATAAGTAGTCCGGAGGGTTCTGAATTTATACACGATTTTATTTGTGTCTTTTTCGCAGGCGAAAGTCAGAATACCTCCCTACATCAAAACACCCGATTCTGAATAGTGGAGGTCATAGTAGATATGCTTGAAAGTAAAGTTGTTTTGGAAAAATTGTGTGGAAATACTTGGTTGATAACATTCATTAGCTTTGACACAAATGCAAGTAAGAAGAACAGTGTTTTTTCCTTCCATCAATGTATGATTTATAAAAACATTGCCTGAATGCCGACCTTTGCTGGAATCGTTGGAATTTGACGTTCAGGTCCATCGACAATATGCATACAATGTCAATGGTCATCAGTGTTAACAAATTACCGCGAAATAACCAGACTTGATACGTATAATCTTAGGATACTTTCTGGCAAGATGAATCTCAGTGGTCTCAAAGGTTTAAGATTGGTGTTGCCAATTTCAGGAAAGGATGATTGTGCACTCATGTAACAAAATGGCCGCCATGACTGTCATGTCGAAGTTTTGACGAAATTTTAAAATTTAAGATTTAAAAACACACATCTCACACCTCGTTCAATGTCTCACACATCATCCTCTATAGTTCATACATCTCATCCCCCACACACCTCAACCAATATGTCTTGTATCAATCACCTCGTACATATCATCCTAAATATCTTGTACCTTATTCCATAGTTCTCATATATCACCTCCTGCTTCATACAACTCACCTACACGTCTCGCACCTTAATCCACACGACCATCCGCGACTCTTACCGCTCATCTAAAACATCTCATATCTCATCTTATCTTTCTCATAAGTAACCTCTTACTTTATATATATCAACCAACAAATCTCATACCTTGCCATATCTCTCATACTTCACCTCCTACTTCACACGATTCATCCCATCCATCCCATACCTCAACCCTGTATCTTCACCCCACGACTCTCACACCTCATTCAATACATCTCACACCTCACCCTATCTTTCTCATACATCAACCTTTTTTATAAATCTCACCACACACACTTAACCAAAGAATCTTGCACCTTCTCCCGTACCTCTTGTACGTCACCCCCTATTTCATACATTCCACCTCATATCTGTGAAACATCACCTTCCAACTCATGCATCTCATCCCACACATCTTACATTCATCACCAATGTTATACATCTCTACCTAAATATCTCTCACTTCATCCAATACATCTCACACTTCATCCAATACTTCTCACACCTCATCCAATACATCTCACACCTCACCCTATTTCTCTTACACATCACCCTTGACTAATGTATCTCATCAAACCAGCTCGCCCAATTCCATTATAACACCATTCCATAGTCCTACACCTTACCAGATATCCCTCCCATATCTCACATATCTTTACACCCTACCTCAACACAGCTTTCCAGACCATACCTCTCAAACCTTACACAGTATCATCCGATACGTCTCATCTCATAACTCTCACACCTGATCTTGTACCATACTTCTCATAGCCGTTCTTAGGGTTCATGACTTACCTCCTTGGGATTTTATTTTCGTTTTGGTCCTGGTTTCTAGAATTTCTCCCTAAATAAAAACATAGGATTTGAGCGACCCATGCATGGTCAGTATTTAGGATTGATATAAGTATGTTACAGCGGCTAAATGACTATTACTAAACGAAATGACAGAAATAACAAACATTTCTCAGCCAACTTACATAAAGATCAGAGTCATTGACTGCCGTTTTACTAAATACAAAATCTCATTTCTTCTGACAACATTAATTACAAGATTTTGTCGCAGCGGCCAAACTGAGTTACGGTCCAGATCGTCTTAACTTTGACTCATTACTCCATTAAAAGCTTAAATAATTAACAATCTATTGATGGCGCTGACCCACTGCTGCTCTGATAAACTTGCGAAAAACATTTTCATTAGAACTGCTCCCAATATAAAACTATCTAAAATTTTGATAACCCTTTTCGGCCACGTATTTGTTCTTTAAAAGTTGGATCTTTTCCTTCATTTTCCCGTCACTTCTCTATTAGCTCTTAATGATAAGAAATTTAAACATTCCTTTGCAGAAATAAAGGTAGTAATCTTTAACTGTCAAATTCTAGATGTTGGTCTGGAAGCCATTTTGTTTTTCTTTTTAATCTTAAAATCGGAAGGACACAACTATGGATCAACGGAAACCTACAGCAGAAAAATTGAGAAAGATCCATCCAGTACTTCTCAAGGAACAGCGATAACAAACTTAACTCGGATCAGTACTAAAAAATGGTATAACTCGGGACAAAGGGGAACTTATATAGGCATCTAATACTTCTCAAAAAAAAAAGCTATAACAAATTGTCAAAGTCGAAATTCAAGATTGACGCATGTCGGCCGTTTTATTTTCTGATCAGTCCCAAAATCATACAGAAACAACTAGTGACCAAGGGGAACCTGCATATAAAATTTGAGAAAGATCTATGCAGCACTTTTCAAGAAATGGGTGACAACAAACTTTCAGTAAAATTACAAGATGGCCACCTTTCTTTCATTTTGTTTTTCTCATCAGTCTCAAAATTGGAAGGTCCCAACTAGGGATCAAGAGGAACCTACATTGGAAATTTGAGAGAGATCTATCCAAAGCTTCTCAAGGAATAACGATAATAAACTTACCTCAGCAAAATCCAAGATGGCTGCTTGTTGGCCATTTTGTGTTCCTGATCAGACCCAAAATCAAACAGGCACAACAAGGGACTAAGGGAACCTACATATGAAATTGAAAAAAAAAATCTATCCAATGCTTTTCAAGAAGTGGTGATAACAAAAGTTGGTTATGGACGGACGGACAGACGATGTTTCATGGATATAGGCAATTTGAATAGCCCACCATCATCAGATGGTCGTCAAGAAATATGATTTGGCATTTGCATCTTGATAGTGCTTCATATTTTTGCTTTAACTATTCAATAATCACCAGCCCCTAGATATTGGTGAGCAAGCATTGCTTGAAAACTGATAACAAGAGGCCTGGATACACTGTTTATACAGAACTAATTACCGTTCACCAACGAAAACTTCAGTATAAATTTGAGCAAAAGCCAATCATTTCTACAGGAAGAGTGAGATTTAAAAGAAATTGCTCGATTTCCATATTTCGCCCTGCTCCTCCCTCCCAAGAAGGCTGACACCTACCGTGTATACAAAATTGATGCCCTTTCATCCGATAACGCTTCAGACCAAATTTGAGCAAAATCCAATCATTCCTACAAGAGAAGTAGGATTATAAATAATTTGTTATATTTACCCTTTTGGGCTCTGCTCCTCCCATCCTAATGGGTAAAAACAAATCGTTTATAAAAATTTCCTTACCCTTCCCCCAACAATGCTTCAGACCAAATTTGAACAAAATCCAATCACTCCTACGAGAGGGAATAAGACTTTAAAGGATTTACTCTATTTTCCTTTATGGTCCTTCGGGACAATGCTTACACTGATACCTGGGTGATTGCAATAATTGCCCCTCTAAAATTCAAATATACAATATCTAAACATCATCATTACACATTTCCTTGACCATAATGTCCTTTGAGGATGCCAAAGATTACTTTTACCTCTATTACAGAGATCATAAGTAAAAATGAATTTATGACTTACATCAGTTAGTCAAAGATTATATATCTCTTACTTCCCACATGGTGCATGGTACAGAATCTTTGATGTTATAACAATGACAAATACAAAAGGAGAGTGAGAATCATGTGTATAGTAGTGGAAAATTGCCTTTCATTAAAAGATCTTAAAACACAATTGGTCTTTAATTGAAATATTTTAATGTCAGATGAAACAATATATACATGTATATTTATTACTCTAACATCATTTCACTCTTCATTACATTGTTACTTTTGAAAACAAATACCTGTAAATGTGATACAAAAATACTGCAAGATGTACCACAAAACCTATCACAAAATCTGATCTAAGATTGTTTTAACGTTACAGTCTTATTGCATGGTGTTTACAATAAATTTGAAGGTACTTTATACTGTAAATCAATCATCAATAATCTGACTGTTTCTACTTTATATAAGTTTAAACATTTAGTAAGCATTTAGTTAACAATCATCAGATATCGTCTTTTTATACTATGTAGGAACTGCAGCTCCTGAAGATAAAGTAGTTCAATAAGACTGATCCTTTCATAAAAACACAACACAAGTCAATCAATCTTCAAGCATGTTTTCAAATCTCCGAGAACCAGCATCTTCCTGTCACTGCAAAGACACCTGTTTGTGATTTACCTGGTCTGCTTCATTTCTTCACAGCTCACATGATTTTATACTATACAGTTCATTAGATTCTAATTTCTTCTATAATTAACTAGAATATTTCATTCACACTTCTTTTCATCTTTCACAAACAATTTCACAGATGTAACAACAGGAAGCAAAGATATTTCACACAAACTAATGCAACACTAGGATTTATGCATGTCATCAAATTCATCCAAGAACTTTTCTTGTTTGATACTGCGGATTGTTCCTCCATCTGAGCGTAATGTTAAGGATAATAAGAAATAATTAGAATGATGAATTTTTAACAAACATATGTGTTCATTTTTTGTTACTTTGTTTTCAAGTTGTATTAAGTAACTGAGGTAATGTTTTGTTTTCTTGTACTCTAACTACAGACTCTACATTTGTGTATGTGTGCGTCAGAGGGGGAAAAAACATTTATCTGACGGGCTTTATTGAAGAGATGTGAAGTAAATTCATCTAAGCATTGGTTACTTGTACTATTAAACTTCAGCAATACTGTTTATCATAATCAAGAGAGGTGTGGCTATCAACAAAATATAATGAACTCATAAATTTGTTTTCTCTATACACACTCAGTTGTAAAATACAAAAAGTCTCACATTCTTGGAGTTCAAAATCTAATCCTGATGTTACTTTCCAACTTTTAGCAATTATCTTTTGGATAATATTCATTAGGAATGTAATTTCCAGTGAAAAGATAATCTCATCACACAAACAGGAGGTTTAAGTGTGATATTTTGATGACTACATTGTCACCTTCATCAGACAAAAGACCACTGTGAACTGCAATAGCACTGATGAACGTAATGTACAAGATGGTAAGAAATCAACCAATTTTTTCAGCACTATTATAATCCTATATACTCTAAGGTAGAAAACTGTGTGACGAGATGGTAAAAAGGTTATAGAAAAAAGTACACAAGATGCTTCAATGTACTGTAGTCTATCAGGCTAAGCATTTTTTCATACTTGGTCATAGATGTGCAGCAGAAATTACCAGCAAACAACATAATAATTACCAAAGAGAATGTTTTGCACTTTAACAGTTTAGCAAGAACAGATCTACAAATGTATCATCATATTAGCAGCCAATAAGGGGAAGCCAAAGTCATCCTGGACACTAACATATAAAAGAACAAAGTCATAAATATGTTTGAAGACAACAAACCACATTAAAAACTCAAGAACAACCCTCACTAAAAGTTCAAAAAGCATCTGGTAGCTATCTTATCAAAACTAGTGCAAGAAAATAAGATCACTGAATCATAATATCAACATCTGTATCCAACTGAAGAGAATACTCCTAGAATGTACTACCCCACCCAAGATCCACAAAAAATAAATGCAACTCATCACCACCTATATGTTTTCAGATCACTAGCAGACATTATAGGGCCCACTAATATGGAAACCTGAACACCATGTCAACACTTGACAGACCTTGCAGAAAGTATGTAACGGTAATGTTCTTGGTGGAAATGATATGTTGATGACATATTAGAATTAGTCAAGAAAGGGTCACAAAAGAATTTGACTGTGCATATCAATACTATCGATAACATCAACACCAAATTCACATTTTAAGAAGAAATTGATGGTATGGTACCATTCCGTGATTCCCTTCTAGTAAAGAAAGATGGTAGTACTATTTAACCAATGGTCTTTAGGAAAAATGCACATAAACCAATAACTCACACCACATTACACCAAAGTTGGGCATTGTACAAACTTTCGCAACACATATGAAATAACTGTTGTAAAAAAACAAGACAAGACAAAAAAAGACAAAATCACCTCCATGAAAGCATATGATATCCAGATTTGGCAATCCACAAAGTTATCAACAGTTTTAGGGATTGAAAAGAACAAAATGAAAGGAAAGATAGTCATCTCTTAAAGGCAGATTTGGGGTCCAACTTCATGAACAATGGAAAAATGTGAAATCTCAAGAAGGCAAAAACTTGCCTAGATCAGAATGAAAGCATTCTTAGCCCAAGATCAATAAATTGGCAATTACAGACACTGACTGGAAAATTCCAAAGTAGTTGACAGGGAAAACACTTTTCAGTAAGCTGATCAAGGAGGCCATTTGAGATGCCAAAGCAGGCCATGATAATGTTCAGGTGCCATAAAATCACATACATCTATGACCAGTGTTTAACAACATTTACTACAGTACTTTGATATAGTGATGTGTACTTTTTTTTCAATAACCTCTTCACCATCTTGTCATCTTATTTTCTACCTGAATGTACATAGGGTTATAGTACACCCGTAAAAAATATTTGGTTCTTTACCATCTCATACACTAAGTACATTTTTATTTGTATGTCAGTGCTAGCACACTTCCCGCTGGTAATTTCTCTGATGACAAGCACTCCTTTGTCAATATATTGACATGAAATGTTCATAAGAAACATGATGTTAATTTTCATAGAGGAATCTACAATATGGTAAAAAATATTCAGTCCACTGACTTACTTTATGCCTCATCCATTTTCCGATCTGTATGGAAGAAATATGACCGGACCTCACTTGTTTTACCTCTGCCCAATATCCCAAATCTGCCTTTATGGCCACACTTGCCGGTGCTCCAGTACCCGTTTAATGTGTTTAATTTGTACAACTGGGTAATTTCCAATATTTTCGCGTTTTAAAGAGCGTTGAAGTTTAACTGAACTCACCAATACCTTGTCATCGTTGATATAGTAGGCAGGGTCAAGAGTATTTTTCATAAATATACCATGTCATTGAAAAGGATACATAACCCAAATGCCACAAGAATCAGAAGCACTCCAATATATCTGCCTCGTTTCTTTGTTGTTTGCGTCTGAACCGATCGCAATTTATTTGCTTTCCCGATTTTCTTCACAAAAAACTTTTGATTTTCATCGAGATATTGTGATGCATCTTTTGAAAGGTCCAATTGTTTCATATATGTAGGATCTGGTTTTAATCCGAGCTTCATCCGGCACCAGTCCACTATCGACGCCATGTTGGTTACGAAATGTGATAGAAACGAGAAGTCGATAAAAACAATTCTTCTTGTAACGGTGCTCAAAAGTTTGAGGTAACTAACACGTTTATAAGAGTTAATAATATATGAGAAAAAGTAGTAGTTTTCACAAAGACAAGAGGATAGTGGATGACAGTACAGATTTAAACGAATGTAATTTTATCGACTATCTAAGTCTCGAAAAAGGAGTCGCTGTCGAATGAAAGTTTGAAATGAAGGACGAAGCTTTTTAAAGCGTTGCAGAGACGTAGTGTTTTGATTTTTGACAAGTGCAGTCGTCTCGACTTTCAGCTCTAGAGCAATTACAACAAGGTATAGTGATTTAGGCATAGACCAGTCTTTATATTTTATGTCACTTCGTTCAACTAGACATTTCGAAGGTAAAAATCTGATGTGCCCTAGTGCATGAAGCATGCATATAAATATAGAAACGACGAGTGTTGTATATCATTGTTTACTAGCAAATCTGTGTATCTGATGGTAACGCTTGGACCCTGCTGGAAACCAAACACTCATGAATGCTTTAGTTACAGCGGTTATCTTTGCGAGACATCTTCAAACTTTGCAATTTTACAACTCTTTTTGTCTTTTATATTTAATTTTATGTTAATTAGATTTGAAACTACCAACACATCAGTGTAGGCGAGCACAGCAAAGAGTGATCGGTATGTACAAGGTGGTAATTTAAGTGTTACTGACTACAACATGTGGTATATAACCCTGGTAAATACTAGATGCAATATATCATTCAACTATGAAAAACCTCTCTATTGCTTGATCGGTCGAGCGTTTGACTTGTAAGTTTATGTGTTTGAATACTAGCGGGCATTGAAATTAATTGTGACCTCTGTTAGTCACACCTGACTAAACAACTACCAAAGAGGAACATGAAGCTATATATTTTTCTGGCTTTGACATCTCATTAAATGTTGTAGAAAATAAAGTTACAGATAGTAGTAAATTATTTCTAAGACCAGTATACAATTATGAACAATACAAATTCTCGTTCTTGTGCATATGGTCATAGAATTGAACAAATTAGTCGAGGATGTAGTGCACCTCAGCATTGGAGGCATGCAAAAATGCGGTATTCTAATGGTTCATCTAAAGCATACAAATTAGTATGAATGGGTCTGACTTCCTATCCATGATTTTCATTTCGTCATTGACCAAGTTTTGCCTTGGTTACAGCAAAATTGCAGATAGATAGTAATAATCCTTAGGACTAACCAACACAACATGTAGTCATTATATTTTTTCCTTTGGCATTCTGTATTCATTTCACATTTTAAACTTTTTTCAAGGTCCATTGGTGCAATATAACTCAAACCAAACAAAACATTATTTTTGTAGGCAGTCTGATATCCAGTAGCATCACAACGACTGCTATCTTAAAAGCACATTTTAAACTTCTTCTCCACTACCACTGTTACTATTGAGCGTAAAACTGGGGGAGAGGGAGATGCTAGAAAATTGTTATTTTTCAATCTTGTCAAAAAGGCAACATGATCACACAATTATTGTTTTTCAGAACAACAATTATATTGAACTTCATAAGTTCCACCAGTGAGATATTAAATTAACTGAAAATTGTCTGGAATGATCATAAGGTGGTCTTGAACAAGTGTTGTTATGATTTGGATTGATATGAAATCCAATAAGGCTGCCATCTTGAATCTTTTATTTGATTTGGTGTCATTAAGTCGAAAATAGGTGGGGATGTTAAAGGAAAAGATTTCTACTTATGACTGTCTACTACTGTTATATATTAATAACTAAACTACTTAATTATATCACCTGTATGGTTTTAGTACACATCTTTAAGGCTGTTTTATTACAAAAAAAGAATTAGAAATTAATAAATTGAGATAGAAACGAAATTCATTTTGCCTTTTTAACCCCTCATTTAGTTTCTCAAATGTATTTCCAAAATTATGAAATGTATGTACAATTAAAATGTATACAGCATTTATGGTCAGGCTACTGAAAAATTATTTTCCTCTTGTTTCCAAATAGATAATAATTTTTGTCCTTTGACATTTCATTATACTTTGATGAATTTTCTTTGAAAAAGAATGTATCAGAAATTGAAAGGTAATTTTATTACAAATGAAATTTCATTTTTGGGCCTATAGCAATTGTTGGGAACTATTATCATGTGTTTCCAATCATTAAGTAAATATAATGATGGATGACACTCAACTCAATATTCAAACTTCATTAACTCATCAGAAGGATTTTATCTCTTTGTTTTTCCCATGCCAAACAACTTAGTAAGATGATATAATTGTACCATATTGATGCATTTCCTTCACCATGAAATGGCCAGGACATATATAGTATCATTGCCCTTGTCATTCAGTGATAATTTGGTGTATGTTTGTTTGCTCTTTTGTGAATGGAGATATTGAACAGTTTTGCCCAAAACTGCATATGGAATTAAAAGGAAATACGAATAATGTATGATAAATAAAATTGAACGTTGCCAAGTATATCTGTAGTGGTAATTTATAGAATATGACTGTTAAATCTTTGTTGTTTATGATATATTGTTCTAGTCCCATTTGTGTGTCACTTTTGTTGTGTGCTCATATTGATCTTGGTTTTCGGCCCCTAGAGGCCTGAGCGGTGGGACCAAAAAGGGAAAATCGTGTACGGTCTTTTAAATTCACTCCTCTGAAAGAATGAATAGATATTGCCCATATTTGGTCTGAAGCATTCTTGGGTGAAGAGGAATCATCTTGAATAAATGTTAACCTCCGTTCCCTGGATGGGGGCCTGAAAAGCGGAAAAGTGTAAATTCTTTTAAATCCTACTCCACCTGTTGGAGGGATGTTTGGATTTTACCCAAATTTGGTCTGAAGCATTCTTTGATGGAAGGAAATCAATCTTGTAAAGATATTAAGTCTCGGGCAACCTGGAGTGGGCAAAGCGGGACCCAATAGAGAAATGGGACACATTCTTCAAATATCTTTTTACTTAAAATCCTACTCCTCCAGCAGGAATGATTGGAATTTGCCAAGATTTGGTTAGAAACATTCTTGGGTGAAGTGGAATCAATTTTGTATAAACTTTTCATTTTGGTTTTCCCCGGGAAGGGCAAGGTACAGTAGGGAAATAGAGCAAATATTTTAAAATCATTCTTCTTCTGTAGGAATACAGGGAGTGTCCCAATATAGCCTGAAGCATACTTGGGTGAAGAGTAATCAATCATGCACAAATAGTGGATCTCAGCCCATAGGGCAGGAGGGGTGGGGCCTTATAGGAGAAGTAGGGAAAATTCTTCAAAATCATTTTTCTTATACAGGAAAGGTCTGGATTTTGTCTTGAGACATGCTTGAGTGAAGGAGATCAATTTTGTATAAACATTGGGTTCTGGCCCCTTGGGGTGGGAGGGGCAGGGCCAAATAGTTGAAATAGAGGAAATTCTTTAAAATCCTTATTTTGTTTTATCTGAAAACATCCTTGGTGAAGAGGACTTTGTTTTTTCCAAACAGTGCATCTAATCCTCTTAGTGGGGAGGGGCAAGTCTATTACGGGGAAGTAGATTCAAATGTTTTAATTACTTTTCCTTTTGTTTGAATTAATCAAATTCAGCAAACTAAACTAAGTTTGTAATACAGGACCTATGGGCCTCTTGTTATTTTGAATCAAAACTTATGCAGACATGTTTCTTAAATTCAATATATTTAGATTGTTACTGAGTAAGTTAAAGAGGAATTCTGGAAGGGAAGTTGATAATAATTCACAAATTTATAATTTTTGCAGGTCGGTTGGATGGACCATCATGGGAAACTCCAACAGCCACAAGCGGACTGGATGTTCCAACAAAGTGGAGCACTGGTCATTGATCCAGAATACACCAGTAACTGGAGTCTTGCAGTCTTGTTCTTATGGGAGATGGATAAAAACTCAGCGCAGCATCTGTGGCTATGCAGACTATGCTGACTTCACTACTTGTCGTGAGTCCAGGAGAAGATGTGGAGTACTTGCCAAACCTGACACTACATGTGGACGGTACTTTGTGCCAAGTTTCAAATCCAAGTCAGAATTGCTGATTGTAGAAAAGCAGAAATGGTATGTTGGTAACTTCAAACTCCCACGTGTACCTGTCCCAGACCCACAGTGGGTTCGCCATTCCCAACATAATCGAAATCGAAGGGAATGCAGTGTGGTTGCATACAGCAATGGACTTGTTGTTGTTCAAATAAACACCAACAGGTATTATTTGTCACCAAAATTCTATATACTAGACATTGAAACAGGTCAGGTTGTCGGCCATTTTCTGATGTTCTACCACTGTAGGAGATGGTATGAGTGCTATATTTCACCCAATAAACACAGAATTCTTTTACGTCCTGACAGTCTCACAAGGGTGGTTGCTTTACCTGACAATTACCTGTTGGAAAATGTCTACATTAATCCAAACACCAATCACTCTAGTCTGTCCGTGGGAACCATCCCGCCAATTTTTCGTGCTCATGTTATGACATTTAATGCCTTAGCTGGTGACAACAGAATTGTCATGGCAAGCCAGAAAGATCTAGAAATCCGCTCTGTGGAAACATGGGATATTCTGTATGGTGTTCAGAATCTGGATCTCCCAACAAACATACAACAGATGAAATCCAGTCCTCTTGGTGACTTCATCGCTCTACGCTGTGTTCACCCTGTTCATTGTAAGGAATACAGCGTCAATGTAATTGCTGTGCTCAACTTCAGAACTTTAGACATTTTGTTCAAAGTGGATGTGTGTGGTTGCTACTGGCCTGTGTCAGAGGTTATCAATCTCCAAGTGTTCCCTTACTTCTCGCCTGGAGAAGCATCCATTTCTCTGATGAAGAACTGTACCTATCACCGCAAGGTTGTCACATACAAGCTCCCTATTCCCCGCTTGAATTTGCAATACCTGTGTCGCAGAGCAATACTCCATCTCACAAATTTCAGAGATCTGAGCAAACTTCCTCTTCCAAAGAAGATCATCAGCTTTCTCCAGGCTAAACCACCTGTTATCAAGGACAAGCCATTGTAATTGTTCAGCTCTCACCACATGAATAACTATCACTTTTGAAATCTGAAAGATTTAGCAAATTTGGAAAGTTTATCATATGTCTCTCTATCATTTCATATTATATCTACAACATACAAGCAGGACAAAATCATCAATGTCTTTCCATTTTCAAATAACTTTCAAACATTTATAAACCTGGATGGAAAAAGTGTTTTATGTTATTAGATGTTTTACCTAAATTTCTGAGAGGGAGTGTTTCAGTCCGTATCATTGCAGATGGGCATACATGTATCATTTTAGTCAAATAGATTATTTAACAAAATGCCGGAGACAATGAGGTTGATATGATTTGAGATTTGTCTTATAGTGACATGCATGAACCGATTAAATACATAAATTTTGTACCACCTCTAAGATTACAAAATAGTGAGGAGACAACTTATTCATTTTTAGGGGCTTTCCCTGTTTGGCAGATCTAGCCTACTATTTTTACTAGAGCCAGCAGTAGATTTATAGACCATTCACACAAAGTCACTTCTCCAAACAGAAGCTAGATAAGCATTATTGACTGTTTTGTAAATGTATTCACTAATCAATAAGAGTTTTACAGTAACTGATCACGGTCCTAAGGTAAAGCCAATGCCACAGTATGACAAAGAATGATATATAGCTGTTGCGTTGTTTCTAGAGTAACCATCTCTTACCTTGGACAGGTAAATCCACACTTTTTAGTGGTATCAGATCTTGTCTTGGGTTTAGACAGAGGGGTTTCCTTCTCAGGACAATGACATGATGTCACAGTAACAATTCAATGGCAACAATTAAATCATGTTAACAACATAACCTAACTCGCAAGTACTAACTTCCAAGGGGGTAAAAAATTCTATAAATCTTGGTCCTATGATAAAGCCAATGTCATGGTACAATACTTGATAATAAGTGTTGTCTGGTGTCTAGAGTTACTCATCATAGTCTAGAGTTACTCATCATAGTCCGAGGGTAAAGCTGATGTTATGATATGATAATGGACAATAACTGTTTTGTAGTGTCTAGAGTAACTCATCTTAGTCCAAGGGTAAAGCCGATGTTACAGTGCGATAATTGACAATAACTGTTGTGTGGTGTCTAGAGTAACTCATTATAGTCCGAGGGTAAAGCTGATGTTATGGAACGATAATGGACAATAACTGTTGTGTGGTGTCTAGAGTAACTCATCTTAGTCCTAGGGTAAAGCCAATGATATGGTATGATAATGGATAAGTGTTGTGTGGTGTCTAGAGTAACTCATCATAGTCCGAGGGTAAAGCTGATGTTATGGAACGATAATGGACAATAACTGTTGTGTGGTGTCTAGAGTAACTCATCTTAGTCCTAGGGTAAAGCCAATGATATGGTATGATAATGGATAAGTGTTGTGTGGTGTCTAGAGTAACTCATCATAGTCCGAGGGTAAAGCTGATGTTATGGAACGATAATGGACAATAACTGTTGTGTGGTGTCTAGAGTAACTCATCTTAGTCCTAGGGTAAAGCCAATGATATGGTATGATAATGGATAACTGTTGTGTGGTGTCTAGAGTAACTCATTATAGTCCGAGGGTAAAGCTGATGTTATGGAACGATAATGGACAATAACTGTTGTGTGGTGTCTAGAGTAACTCATCATAGTCCGAGGGTAAAGCTGATGTTATGGAACGATAATAGACAATAACTGTTGTGTTGTGTCTAGAGTAACTCATCTTAGTCCTAGGGTAAAGCCAATGATATGGTATGATAATGGATAAGTGTTGTGTGGTGTCTAGAGTAACTCATCATAGTCCGAGGGTAAAGCTGATGTTATGGAACGATAATGGACAATAACTGTTGTGTGGTGTCTAGAGTAACTCTTCTTTGTCCTAGGGTAGAGCCAGTGATATGGTATGATAAAGAATAACAGCTGTTGCTTGGTGTCAAGGTTAACTCACTGCAGTCCTGGGGTAAAGCTAATATCATGGTATAACAAAGGATGATGACTGTTTCCTGAAGTCCAATGTCCAGTTTGCTTGGGTATCAAAAGGTATAGAGGAATATCCTCTGAAATGTTACACACATCTTTGTAGAACTAATGTTACCTCACCCCCTTTTCTTACTGCTAACAACTATTGGGAGTGTGGGGGAGGGAGTAGGCCATTATGACTGAGTGGTTAAGGTGTCTCACCATCATTATCACTAGCCCTCCACCTCTGGGTTGTGGAAGCAAGTCCTACGTTGGGTAGTCACCAGGTACTGGCCTCAGGTTTCTTCCACCAACCACATCCTGAAATGACCCTGGCTGTCAATAGGACATAAAGCAACAACAAACAGTTGCAACAGTAAGATATCAACCAAACTCTGCACTACAAAGACAATTCTAATTAATCACGAACATTTCAAATATGTTTTACTCACCATAAACAATGCTTTAAGAAACTTTTCTCCAACTTTCGTACTTAACTTGTTGGGAAGAGCCAGTCTGAATTAATTTTACACATACTCTAAAGGCAATAGTTTAATCCTTTTGAATCTGACATGTATGTCATCGTCAAGCCATTTAAACTTTACTGTGATTTTGGTTGATGATGATGCTAAGCTCCCACTAGTCTACATCATCATTAAATTACAACACTTGTCACAATTTCTCTTAAAGCATTCTTGTTGGCTGGGATGGAAACAGAGAATCAAGAGATCTGACTGTGGGAGGGAACCTATGGTCAGACAGTTGACCACATACCTTCTCACACTGAGCAGTAAATCAGACACCATGAAAGGCATACAGATTACCTCTGTACCATCTAACCATCCTAACCTCATATGATATCCCCAAGAACTGTAACCATTAATTAGGTTAGAATGTCTATCATAAATGTCTCATCAAAATATCTAAAAATGCTAGACTGAAATATGTTCAATGACTAAAAATCAAAGCTCTTATAAATGTGCCTGCAATGAGTGTATATATAAAAAAAAAACATCAAAATGAGATCGCCTCTATGGACAACAGAAGGCAGCATATATTCACAAGAAACACATGTAATATTTACATTTTTTCATGTGATCAACTTAATTATAGAATATAGTATTGAAGATATATTTTGAGATGTTTTTTTTCTAGCCCATTATCTTCGTTTTTACTCTGACCAAACTTTACCTTTTTTTAACCCAACATGAAATTTATAAAAACAGAGAAAGATATTGTCTTTGATTTGAAATTTATGAAAGGGCTATTATTTCCTAATGCTATGTATGTAATATTGCATCTCCAGCCTATGCTAGTGGTCCCCTTTTAGGATTTGATATCCAGTTATTTTTAATATTCCATTAAGGGAATATAGATGTATTTAGAATATTGTATGTCTCATTTAATTTGTCTTGCCTTAGAAACAAAACATAGTGAATTTGTATATTTGTTTAATGTACTACATTTTATATGTATTAACATTTTATATGGTTGTTGAAACAGTATATAGTAAGATTATAAAGTCAGTTTTTAATCATGCTTTATTTACATATATACAATTGTTTGACATCATCAAGGCTCCCTACATATTACAAATATTCAACATTATTTTTATTATCTCTGCTTAGTTCAAAGTTTTTCAGATTTTCAGACGTCTCAGTATGGAGGTGTAAGTCAAAAGAAACAGAAATACTCATTATCTCTTTGTTTCAGTGGATCATATTAATTCAGAGATAAATATTTTTGTCATGTAATGTTTCAAGTGATATGTCCTTCACAGAAGTAATATTACTTGAACGCTTATAACTTACTAATCAAGAGAGATACAAATTCCCACCTACATGTATTGGGAGGGAAGAGAAACTGCACTAAATAGGAGGGACTTACCATTTCAGTATAAACTAATAATACTTACAGTTCTTATATACATTTATCTGTACATGTATAGACATTGTTATTCTCTATAGCTTTAACCATATACTGGTGCTAGAAATATTTATCAGATGTCAGCCAAATGTGACACAGCTTTTACTTTAAAAAAATATGCGTAAATTTTTACATTTCTACAGTATAGAACATGCTTGTGAGGGATTATCCATGAATATTGATTTTTGTAATTGTCTGCCAAGATGCTGCTATTGATATGTTCAAATACTCGTGTTTAACTGCAAGCTCACATTGTTAGTTTTACCAATTGTCAGTAAAGGAAAAATACTTTGTAGTGGGAAGCACCTTAATTTGAATAACAAAAACTGTTACGAAGCAAGTTCCTTCCAGAAGAAACACTAAATGGTGGTCTTTTTTTCGATGCTGAAGAAGACATAACTGTCATATTACTGGATAATTTAAGAAAGGCTTACTTTCAGCGTGTGACATGAAGGTAAGGCATATCTTATATCAAAGGATTAGAGATATAACTGGTTTTAAAGTCATTTTTTTACAGTTATTTCTTTGAATTTCAAACATTAGTTCTCAACACTTTCTTACATTGATATGGAATTACATTTATGATATTCTTTAATATTTATTTTCATAAGCTCTATTGTATATTGGTTGTTTTCTTATATTTGCAGAGATGTGATGGATGACAGGATTCCTCAGTTATTGTAAGGTAGGATTTTGATATACAGATTTTACGCATAGATTTATAATCTGTAAATGATGTACTTAAGAATATTCAGATATCAGCAAAATCTTATCAAAAATATTCAAATCATTTGTGATAAATTGTTCATAAAATATGTTTTAATTTTCAAACAAATCTCACCTTGCTTTGTTACTTACATGTAAGTCTCTCTTTCAGTACATCTTACGGTAATATTGATATATTTTGTACTCCACTAGAAATTTGTTAATATTTTATAATCAGTTCAAATTAGTAAGACCAAACATGGAAAAAAATACAGGTTAGAATAAGAAATCTACTGTTTCTTTTTTTTTGCAGATTGTTACTTCTGAAATTGCACACTACATTGGAACATTTTGATGCATTATAAGCTGTCTACCATGATGAGATCCTGTGTCTTCTTCGTCTTTGGTGGTAGTATTTTAATAAAACATCTGCTTGATTTGTATTATATGAATTTTTTATTTATTTAAAAATTTATTTCAATTTACTTTGGTGCTTGAACATTTTATGCTATAGTAAGGTATTAAGTTGCTGGTATATACCAAAACTAGCTGATGTCCAAATTCTCAACCAAGGATGTGTAATACATTTACATACATGCTATACATCCAGGGCTAAGCCCAGTCTGAGTCACTAAAAACTGGAATGTGGTTAACTGATATTAAAGTCCATCGATATTTAGCTCGGTTAAACCAAACTTCCTTACAATATATTGTAATATACATGGGATTATATACATGTACGGAAGTATATGTATCTATTTTAATTATAATCAAGAAATAAATAAAAGATAAATCTAGAGGCAAATTTGGAAAAATATTTGATAAAGTAGAAAATTACAATGGTTATAGAAAATCAATAATTACTTTTACTATAATGATTTATTTTGCAATTTTTTTACCCTATATGAAATGAATTATACATTACTTAATTTTTGTTATACAGACCAGGTAGGCTATTATTTCTAAACTTTTTATAAAAAAACTGACTCAAGTTGATTATAGCCACCTAATGTTTTTATCCAAATTTATTAGAACTGCCAAACTGCCTTAGTGTTTACTAATCTTTTTTGATGTTTGGTTCATTGAAGTAGCTGCCAAATATAGCATGACTGCCATTACGATATAATTGTGTTCCTAGAAATTGTTATTTTTTTCTCTGCCCATGGTTTGAGGAAAAGAAAAAAATGCATATTATGGGGAAAAGTGTGAGTGAGATTTTACCTCAAACCAGTTTTATATTATAACCAGTTTTGTTTATTAAACCCAAGAAAAATTGCCCGAAAGGTATACAAAATGGAAACACTAGATCAGTATCTCCAGGGTGGAGATGAAGTTTTAATGAAAATGCAAAATGCTTGAGTTGAGTGTTAGTCATGGTATTTTGAAAACATATGATAGTCCCAGAGACAAGACTGTAAACATTTTAATCGTATGGCTGACAAATGCTGTAGTATCATCATTTAGTCCCAGAGACAAGACTGTAAACATTTTAATATTATGGCTGACAAATGCTGTAGTATCATCATTTAGTCCCAGAGACAAGACTGTAAACATTTTAATATTATGGCTGACAAATGCAGTATCATCAATCCCAGAGACAAGACTGTAAACATTTTAATATTATGGCTGACAAATGCTGTAGTATCATCATTTAGTCCCAGAGACAAGACTGTAAACATTTTAATATTATGGCTGACAAATGCTGTAGTATCATCATTTAGTCCCAGAGACAAGACTGTAAACATTTTAATATTATGGCTGACAAATGCTGTAGTATCATCATTTAGTCCCAGAGACAAGACTGTAAACATTTTAATATTATGGCTGACAAATGCTGTAGTATCATCATTTAGTCCCAGAGACAAGACTGTAAACATTTTAATATTATGGCTGACAAATGCTGTAGTATCATCATTATCCATTGTTTATCCATTGTTAATAGTGCCTATTAATATAGACATTTATACAGACAACATTAGTTCATGAGAGAGGTTATTAGTTCATTAGAGCTGTTATTATTACTAACCATTGTATAAATATTAACAACAGCATAATGTTATATATTCAATGCAATATATTTATAAGAACATGTTTAAGTTTATTTGCATGTTTTGATGTAACATAAATACCAGTCCTTTCTTCCAAAGAACCTGAACACATCATATACACATTTTGTATTTACATTTTTATCTATTAAGTGTATGTGATTGTATGTTCCCAACTCTTCTGCATTAAGCAGAAGAAAAAATGACCTACAGCATGCTGACTATTTGAATAATTCTTTTCATTAATTTAAATAGATGTGCTATGTCCTTGTGTGCTACAAACATACACAATACCTTTTTCCATGAAAACGAAGAAATTCACTTTTTTCACGGTCATTTCTCGTGCAGTCGAGGTGGATCCTCCTTTCTAACTGGTACTTTGGTATATTTTATGTAAATATCAGGTCCCTTTTTTCTCAGATCTTTGAATTCTATTCATTATGAACCTACATTGTTAAGATACCAAAGTTACTTTTAAATCAAATTAATCACTTTGTGCACATAATACATATTACCATATAATATATAGTAAGTGTTGTATCGTTGTGTCTAGTGTAGGGTATGCTATACTATAAATATTCAAACTTTTTAGCTTCACTAAGTATATTTTACTCATAGTTGTGATATTTATTATGGTTATTTATTTGGATTTGTTATTGTCTTTTATGTACTTGCCTGTTATAATGCCCCATTGATTCCTATATAGAGTTCTACATAATATTTACCTTTATGTTGATTTTTTATGGATTTACCTTTTCACTTGAGTTGCTTGATTGTTGTGACAAGTGCTGACTTTTTATTTAGTATTTCTTTAATCTTTGAGTTAAGTTGAAACAAAGTTTGCAAATTTGATGTTAGTGTTTTATGATAAATCCAGAAAATTACTCCAGTTACCATTTGTTTACAAGTTTTCATACATCATAAAACATTGTAAAACAGTGTGTGTATTTGTGATGTATTTCATACAAAAAATCCTGCCTTTGAAGCCAATATATACAGTTTTTATAATATAATAATTATTATTTTGATGTGGTTAACTTCCCATTCTAGAATATTCTCTGTACAGGAGAACATTTTTAAGTATTTATCCAAAATGCACTGTTGATAGTCTGGCAAACTAAAACGTAGCACATATCCAGTTTTCATTTTTTTTTATTTGTTTTGTTTTTTTTGTTTTTTTTTTGCGGGGAGGAGGGTGCTTTTTGCTTGAGATTTTTAACCTGAGTACAGTACTCTGGTATATTGTTTTTGCTGTAATACTCGAACGTTTTATTTTACCTTTTATAGTGCTTTGTGTTGTGTGCCAAGTATTTTTATTTGATATTGAGTATGTTAAATCCGTTCATCGTCCTGTATTTCTTATTTTATAATTTATTTTTATTTTATTATTAACTTATTTAGATATTGAAGTGTGTTCATTATTGTATTAAGATTCGAAAATAACTGTCTACTGCTGATTCTATTCATTCTATTATTATTTACACAAACTGTGAGCAGTCATGATAGATGCGTCACATTTCAGATTCCTGTACTTTAATTTTTCTTGCCGATATTGTTATTATATAATTGAACTTTAAATTAACTTAATGCTATGGCATGTTGTAATCCAAGATATTTTTTGCTTTTAAATCTAGTACCGGAAAAACCTTTAAAATGGTAGTGATTCAGAACAAAACGCTAAATGCAGTTTGGGTCGAACGCTATGTTATACTGGGTACTGCATAATATTTACTGTTGTGTATAGTGTATCTTGTATATTAATTTGATATTGAAACGTAAATAACGAAGGAAGGCATTTTTTTGACAAAATACGCTTCCTTTCTCATTTTGATTGGTAGAAGCAGCATTGTGTTTTCAATACACATTTTACGTTGTATTTGTGGTAATATTTGGTGTCATAGGAACAGCAGTCTGATATTTGGATGTTAATTGATAAATATCATTGTTTACAATTTGCAGCCATGATCAGTACAGTGAACGACATTTTTTAGTGCAAAGATATAGTTATCATCAAGAGACTTGTCCCATCGACGATAGAGAAGGCAATGCACTCACTGTTTATTGGTATTGTGATCTCGTTGACCTTCATCTGAGAGGTAAAGTTGCTAGGACTTTAGATATATATTATCACAACTGTTTCTGTTCATGAAGCAGATGACGCATACTCTTCTAAAATCTTTAATTTGTTGGAGGGGTGGCTGTTGCTATTGACGTTGAGTTGCACATTTGTTTCCCATTTTATTAAAGTCTTACTTTAATATGTATGAACGTAATTACAATGCCTTATGCCTTATTGAACATTTTTTTCCTTCGGTCATTGACTTTAATTGATAAAATAGTGACACAAAAGTGCCTTTCACCAGGAGTTTTGTATTAAGAGCGACACTTGTAACAAACTTTTCCGATCGTGATTTTGAAGGAGAATTAGTCTGCAGATACATATTTTAAACTGGAAAAGAGTGAATTATGACAAAAAATACGTGAAATTCGAATTGGATTTATTAATAGTGTTTGAAGTTGTGTAACGGGAAATATATCGCTGTATTTACGAAAATATTACGTGAGAATTTTAAATACCTCAACTTTAACACTTAACTCTGAAGACATTAAAGAGACATATATTTGATGTATAGTCCATTTGTGTACAGATCAAGTATGTTCAGATGAAATATATATTTTTGATGCCTTAGCTTCTTCACTGATCTTAAATATTATTGTATCGACGTTTTGTATTATATGCACTCAGATATAATTTAGCTGCTATAGTTAAACATTTTCGTTCTAATTCGCTTCTTGAATGATATAACTTCAGTGTTGATGACGAGCGGTTTTTTATGCAAATTATCCACATAGCCGCACAGTGCTTGACATAATGCACAACTCCTTTGTCGTCTGGTAGTGTATACCTGGAGAACAAAAAAAAGTATTTCACCAAAGTCATGATATCAAATATCTACTTTAGTTCAACCATTACCCTAATCTACGCTCTACACTCTGCTACTTAAAAGTGTAGTTTACACAAAGTTAGCGCAGATATTGTTTTAAACAGATAGCAAGTGTGTATCTTGTGATGAGCACGGAGATCCTTGAAAATGCGCCGTCAAAATATGACCTAATGTTCCATAAGAGTAAGTCTCTTCTGCCGAATTGACCTCGCCTGTCATATAAATCTAGGTCAGTTTAGATAATATAACGTTCTCAAATTGAGAGCAGGCATAGTAAAAACGAATATTTTATTTTGAGACACAGGAATAAGCATCGAACACTTCGTACTGAATACATCGCACAAAATATTTTCTGACGAGATTATGACAACAACCATCAACCTTTTCCCCAGCATCGTTTACCTTTATCTTTCGTCATTTGGAACAATCAGATATCAGATCAGCTGACACATGTTAAGCTGATGGTTGTAAACTATTTACACGAAAGGGCAATGAAAACAACAAAGCGTATAAGAAAGCTCATTGGTTCGGTAATCCTGTTGGTGACGTTGTTACTAAAAGTTGTAAGAAGACTGACACGTGAATAACTCTAATCAAATCAAATTTAAATTAAGTTGCAGTAGAGCCAAATATTGAATTAAAGTACACCATGCAGCTGTTTCGTCTTTCTAGGATTCACCACTGATGATACAGCCTAAATATTTGAAACATAGGAGACGAATTAGAAAAATCAAATTTGGTCGAAAGAAGTGTAAAACACCAGATGTGAAGGTGTACTGACCCCAAAATTTGGTAAAATTCATAACTTGCAATACTGAGTGATTTCAAAATTATTTCAAATGCATGTGTATATTCTGACCTGTACCACGATCGAAATCAATTTTAAAAGTTTGCAGGTTACGCCAAACGTCAGGAATTAAAGTCACCAGCAGTGCGTACTTGTACAAGCGAGGAAGTTAATTTTGTACTCGATTTATCTCTTTTTAAGTGAAAATGACGTCACTTTTCGTAATATTTGGTAAGTCTCCACGTTCAAAACAAAATCTTAAATGCATTAAACCCGTCTATAGGGATATAAAGTAGAAATCTACTAACATGATAACATGACAAACTTCTCACGTTAAATTGCACTTATCTAAGAAATTTTTTTTTGCCCTTACACAACGTAATTTTTCTGTGGTATGATCATGTCGCTGCTAGTGGTAAGCACACGTCCAGGAATGTGGATGATACTATACTTGATGTTGTCACTGTCGTTTTTGCCTTGTGGATTCGCCTGATAATTTGTGCTTTGTACCCGTTTCATTTTGACCCCCGCCGCGTCTGGGTAGTTCTTCTCAAATGTATCCTGCAATGAACATTTTATAAATTATGTAATTTTCTTAGATTTCGGAAGAGGCCACTGACAAGTAAACGTCACTTAAGTATTAAAATAAGTTATTTTAAAAGTGATCTTGACAGTCATTGTGTGTGCTTTTCAGAGGAAATAGTATTGGGTAAAAATCAGAACTAGCCCTTCAGAAGAAGCGATATAAGTTTATGTTTGACTATATCCTGTTCCTTTAGCTAGGCCAAAAAGACCCTAAACATCTGCACTTTACCAATAATTACCAAGATATTCTCGATCTTGATTGTCAATTTACCTCTAGAAAATAAAACATCATTTTCCATTCTTGTGGTAAGATGAACTCATTTACATCTATATTGGCTGCATATCCAAAGCCACGCAGGTATTCCATACAATGGAACAGAGCCACGCGCTTGTCCTGGTCTAACTGATAACGGACAGAATCGTTAGTCGTCGTGAAGAAACTACGATCGACGTCATCTGCAACATAGAAAAACAACATAATTTATACTTGTCAATCTCTTGAAGCAATCTTGTTTAAAGAGAATCAAAAGCTTATATGTCTGAATATTTTCATACAAGTCAATATATTTAATGAAGAAACAGAGTGATGTATAGTATGTCTATATTTATAAAAATAATCACTTATATAGGGGTTTCCGAGATTTCGATGACGCGTCGCTATTGTTACGCAGTTTGATTTAGTTGTTATGACACCGCCAAATAATGTCATCGAAAGTTTGTAATGTTTCGTATCGGTCTCATGATTTAAAGAAATGAAAAAAAAAACTTTTATTTGAATAAAAGTGTCTTGTTCAGGATGAAAAGACAACCTTTGTGAGAAGCTGACTAAACACATGAAATGTCTTGTAACATTCAGGTAATCTGCAAAGTCAGTAAATGTTTAAAATACAGTTTGACGTACCGTGTGATCTGCCGGGTAACGGGAAAGGGAATTCCTGAATATCCAGAAATCCATTTCTCATATAGTAACTTAACACTGTCATAACTTGTGCATCTGGAAGCTGAAGTACCAAGTATATGTTTTCTACTCCTGTAGATTTATAATACTCGAGCCATTCGATTAATTGCATAGGACTGACATCTTGTGTTACCACGGAATAGATAACAAATCTGTTGGGTGTTCTTTGCTTTGGGGGATAGATAACATTTGTAAACTGTTCAGTCATTGCACATTTCTTAGAAGCTGGTATCATAGCAACGGAAATCAATAGTTTTTGAATAGACGATAAGGAACATCTGTATTGTCGAGCAGATATAAGGTTTTCTTTGTATTCACCATTTAGTGGTTTTGCAAAAACTTGAATTAGCTGCTCTTTAGAAATCAAAATACAACATTTGTAGCTTTTGTCCTTTGACCCATCCCAGACATTTAAGGTTATTTGGCTTTCATCTTCAATGTGTACCACTGCAGAAAACACAGAAAGTAAGGTCGAATCTTGTAACCTGCTGTGATTGTGCTTCTGAAATGAAATGGGGGTAAAGATATACATAATGTATCACGCAGATAATACAAAAATGCAGATAATGAATTTCCCGACTCATAAATTGTATTACATTGATATATCACTTAAGCGATTACAGAGGTGTGTGCATGTCTGTCGATCTATCAAGCGAAAATAATTATTCTGTATTTAAAATCGTGTTCAATCTAGATTCTGATTTAATTCATTTGAGAATATTGGATGATGACCCGCTTCAGTGACAGTAGATTATAGCAATTACATTTGATAAAGTGACAGAATCATCATGAGTCCATGCGCATATGCTTAGCTGACAACATCCAAAACGGTCGCCATCTGGCGATTGTTTTTTTCTTTTTTTTTCACAATAAGGAGCTAAGAATATCTTCCCAGTACCTCTCAAGAAATAAAAGATTTGAACAGTCAGCCTTCTTTCTTAAAACTATATTCAATATAAACACTTACCCATACTGGTTTAAAGTACTCGAAATGTATTAAAAATGTGCAAATCATTATACCAAAAGTTGTGCTCACCAATGAACACACTTTCAAGGAAATTGGCATGCGCACGTGACAGGAACTGTAAACCATGTCCCTGTAACAGAGATAGAAATTATGTTAAATATATCACATTAGCTTCTCCATAACAATGTTGTAAGTTATAACATTTGGGTTGGGAAATAGCAGATCCACATTATTTTTAGAATTGTCAGTGTGAACTATAAAACTCATTGAAGTAGGTTTTAAAGAATAACTGTTTGTATCTATTTAGAGAATTCATTGTCCCGTTTAAAAAATCTGTTCATCAGTGACGCTTTTTAAGTAATAATGCTTCAGGTAATTTATATTTGTTCTGGATTGAATTTGACTACATTGTCATTATCAAGCTATCATTCAACCATAAACACAACAATACAAGTTTACGTCACCCATTGTGAAGTGTACATTAACGGTAAACCAACATATTTTATTTTGTAAAGCATATAAACATTTGATTATAAAATATGTTCTTGACTGAAGATTTCATCTTACGTCAGACTTTATCAAGAGGAAAGGAAATGAGACTATTAAAACAATCATTATGTACAGAATTTAATGATACAATGCTGAAGTGACGTTTCTTTAAATCAAATAATAACACTCTATAATAAGGAAGATATAAAGAGACAAACTGCATCGTCAAAATCCCATGAAAATATCACACCAATACGTACCGTTAGAATAGTGACAATGTCGATGAAGGGTTGACTTTACATGGTATGTAAAACGGACACTACACAGCCGAATAGAGTCCAAACACTCAAATGACCGTGTTCTACCCATACCTTGAATGTTATCAGTCACCATTGTTGTTTTATCTGCCGGCACGACGATAGTTCAAAAGGTGCTTTAAGGTCATAGTTCATCCAATTAAAATAATCGATCAATTGAAAAGTTGTCTCTATGTTTATATATATACCTTTAATCAAAGGTAATATTAGTGAAAAAAGTTATGCCCTGCGTAGAATCAAAGTCATTGAATTAACTTCTACTGCCACGGGTTAATTCATTAGAACAGTGGCTTTGTTCGGAATATACACATGTACTTGAGGTAATTTTAAAATCATCCGATATATGAGATATGCTAAATTTATTGTAAAGAGAAGGTATCTAGTTGATTTTATTGGGATGGAGTTTATTTGATTGTATGATTCTTTTTGTTTTATTCACAACTGTATATAAGAGAACTAAATAGCGAATTAAACTTTGGTAACAATGGCTACAACTTATCATTTTAAAGGTCAGGAAATATATCAATTAACAGCATGGACTAAGCTATATATCTAAATCTGTGCTGGCTTTTACACGAATCGTCTGCTATCTAAGAGAAATAAGAGTTACCTTGTGTATATTAAGTCAGTTGTAACTTATCTATTGCGCAGTTTAAACTTCAGGCAACACATTATTTTAATTGAAACTTCTTTTTAGCAACACTTAAACCTTGTTTTTTATCAATAATGTCAAGCTCTCGTATTGTATGTAACAATGTAAACTAGCATTTACGATCCAAAGCAATTCAGTTCAATGGTTACATAACAATTACACATGGTTACACAGCTTTAAGATTCGAGTAATTTAATTTCATCAAAGTTCTTTTGTTTTGAAACATACATGAAAAAGTTAATATTTAAAGAAAGTTTGTTTATTGATGTATTTACTTTTCTGTGTAGTAGTGATAAGTGTGTATAACGAGTATCTTACGGTGTATAGAAAGTGGGTGTCTATTCAACCTGTCTCAGACATATACATAGGGAATACCAGTACTTTTCTAAAAACGGAAATCAACCATGAAATGTCTTCTCGCTAGATACACCTCCCTCTTTGAAGAATTCATCTCTATATAAAAATCACTCAGACGTGGCCTTTTGACAATGTTGTATAGCAGAGAAGTATCAACCCAGAACTTAATGAAAAACATCCATGTAAAGACGGGCAACGGGTGCATAGAATTTTACGGAACGACATTTTGATACTTAAAAGTGCTTTCATGTTCAAGAAACAAGAGAGAAGTAAAAAAATATATATAAAACACGACGTCAACTTACAATAACCACTTTTGTTTTTTACGGATGGATGTGAGTCTTAATTAGAAGAACAGCTTATGCTATTTCATGGTAAAAGGCAAATGAGCATTGCACTTGGCCACCAGACAACTCGACAGGCAAAATCCTTTGAGAATTTTTAACCACATTTTACGTTTGTATTAAGCCTGATAATATGTGTTTAAATTCAACCAGTTTACATAATATATCAATATTTGGCAACGTTACATTATATATTCATCTTAAGCAACTGCTAGGTTTCTTTTATATACAGGTCTATCCTGGTTATATCATGGATACAGATTCTTTGAAGCTACACTAGATTAACCAGATTTTACATTCAGATTTCACCAGATCTCGTTATGACTTAACCTGACTATAATACACTTAATTCATTTCTGACAGGCTGTAAGATTTTAAATGAGCATAATTCAGACGAGAGTGCATTCAGTATTAATTAACAGTCGACGAACAACCTTACATAAGAATATCAATGACAAGCTTAGTGACATGCATTAACATATATTTCCATTAAAATGAGCTCTTGACGAAGAGACCACGAGAGATAGTGATGGTAATTGCATGAGATGAATATCATTACAGAATCCTTTCTCAACATTTCAAAACTGATTACATTCCTGATTGAGTATTACAGAATTTTCAATTGACTTTAGAAACACAAACTGAATCGTATTCTGATTCAATTATTCAATCAGAATTATGATTCGAAGCTACTTATCTTTTCCCATATTTTTATCACGAAACAACCTGAAACTTAGAATATTGATAATCAGTGCACTATGTAACTCTAGGCCTTACTTTGAAGGTAAGCTTCGATAAGTATGAAAATAACTCCCATTGACTGACAAGTTTTATGAACCAACGATGTGATATAAATCTAATCATTATTTTTTAGGTGTTTTAGATTTTTACTATTTCGAGAATAGAAAAATCGCGTAAGGAAGATAACAGTGAATTTCAAATTTTCAAAATATTTATTTAACTGGGAAAATTTTAACCATTGAAAAAAAACTTTACAATAAGGTTTCATTTTGTTTGAAAAGGTTTGTTCTAATCAAGATATACGAAAGGCAATGATAACTCGTAAATGATGAATAAGATCATATGTGATTGATCTTAAGATTTTTCCTGATATCGGAAGTGGAGTGCAAAACTGGTTAAACAAAATCAGGTACTAAACAAGATGATGAACCTACGAATCGAACATTAGGAGGTCTTGAATATAGATCTAGGTCACCAAATACACAGATGCATTGACCCGTGACAGCGTGCTACTGAACATCGAGATATCTACCTTTTCACTACTCAGTTCTACCTTAGTTGTCAACATGGCAAACGTTATCTCTGGCAAGTTTATCTTTATAACTCTCGTTTTTCTTATACACCAATTCAATGGATGCTTTCCTATGATGTTGGGACGAAACTTGAAAATATCCGCTTTCAATATGAAAATGTTTGGGGACAAGAAAATGGAGCAAAGTGGCGCTATCGATATTCTCGTAAAGGTATGTAAGTCATCACTTTACAATAACACATATATCGGTTTTTGCATTTTTAAAAGCTTCTTCTTATGAATCAAATGTTCATAAGCCATTTAAAGATAATCATACTATAAACACTTACTTTCTGAGTAAAATCGGTTGTATTATATGTACTGTTTTAACTGTTTATTTGTAGGACAAGATAAAGTATTTAGTACCTCTCATTGAAAAACCTTTGATGAGAATGTCGCCACGTTTTTAGTATGGAAATGACATTCAACAACAGACATTGGTAACAGAAAACCCATGACCATACGTAGCTTTATTTGTTTGTCGAATTTATGTACAAATACACTCTTACCAAATATTACCTTATACTGAATTCTGTTCAAAGACGAAAGGCAGATAACCAATGATAATTCAAACTAGGGTGTTCAGTACTCACAGAAGGGATATTAGCAAATGAGATTTTACTATAATTGGTAAATAGAAATTGGTGACATAACATTGATGTTATCAATTGAATTAGTTCTTGGTTGAGTCTAAATGTCCTAATTCGGTCCTGCGAAAACACTGTATTGCATGTGTACTTCAATAAATAAATAACTATTCGTAGATACGTGACATTTTCAAACTGATCTTTTCATTTCTGAACTTTAACTGATCCTTAAAGTAAATGAACACGAATCAGAAGTAGGTATGCTTATTGACATTCACAGAGTCGTATTTGAAATATTTTCGTCGTGGCGCGATGGCTAAACAATTACATATATATTTATACTAGAAGACTCGGTGTCGAGTCTATGATCAAAACATATGTTTATCTGGCGAATTAAATGGAAACCTACCTGTTGTAATTAAATATTTCTAATACAATGTATGTTGAAAACAGCTCGATTAGATAGCTAAGTGTACTATCGAGCGCATGAAATAGCTAACACATGTTCATTTTATATGGTACAATATTTTATTAGCAATATAAATTTAAGTTGTACGATTGTGGTTGCTTATACAAAAAATATTTTGTAGGTAATCCTTTTATGATTGACTCTGCTGAGAGTTATCACAGAAATAACAGACCTATTATGCCGAAAATAAGAATAGGTTTTCGTTGCTCAAATGACGATTTACTCCCAAAACAGCGGAAATAAAAGAAAGCAAACTATTTATTTGGCTTTCCCTAAAGAAGTAACGTGATTTTGTACTGGGTTAAGACTACATTATGTCCGCTATCACAACACATAACGCATGGCTAACACAGAATGGAAAAGATGACATCGATTCATGTCGCGTAAAAGACAGATTACCTTCATCACCTTTTATATGAGAAAATAACTGGGTCGGAACCAATGAAAAATCACCACGGTGTTACGAGGGACTTTAGTCAGAGATGATCAGATGATCAGAGGGAATCATAAAGTTAAAAGAAACAATTGTTCATTAGTCAGCCTTCTTCCTGTACAGTCAAGTACATAAGTTGCCACCGTGCAAAGAAAAAACCAACGGACATTTTCTTTTTATGGAAGGAAACATTATTGTATTTTGCTGTGTTGATTTCTCCTAAATCATCTTATAACTTCAACTATTCGATGTATCGTTGTTCGTCTTGTCCTTTCTTGGTGATGAATAAGTCAAGCTTTGCAGTAATAATCAATAATTTTCTTGATGATATTAAATGACTTCTGTGCAATTCGAAAATTCGAAAGAAACCAATTCGAGGTACCTTCCGGAATAGTTTCAAATTTGAACAAGCATGCTATAGATTTGATTCAAACTCTAGCTGAAATAGTATGTATCTTATCGAGATTTTGCTATTACCTCACGAAAATTTTGGTTTTTTTAACCTGTGCAGATCATTACTCGATATGATATCACTATCGTCCAAGAAATAAGAGATGTAGACGGTTCTTCATTCAAAGAATTGATGGAACTAATCAACAAGTAAGTCTTACCCAAGCCTTTCCTCACTGTGGTTTCTTAATTGTATGGGCTTCTGATTCAACGCGAAACAATCACACTTATGTAAGGCATTCAAAGCAACAATAACAACAAACATCTTCAGATACCAAAAGTTTTAAAATCAGAACCCGAAAGACAGATGATCAACATACTCCTTACTGCACATACTGTCTGACGGATAAACTTGTATTGAACAGTTAAGTTTATACTCTCGGTGATTAAATTGTGTCCTGAGCAGAGTTGAGGCACTGGAAACATGGTAGTATAAGTATGACTGTATGAGCCTCATTTTACGCAACGTTACTGTGTGGTTTCTTTTTCTAATGATGAACACTTAATCAACTCGCATCCATCTTTTGTATCATTATTTGACGACACAATCAAAAGCCTTATTTAATGGATTAACGCCTGGTGCATTTGAACTATAAAGTCCATATCTTATTGTTTCAGAGCGGAATTTTCTGGATTATATTCAGAATGAAATGCCATTCTTTTTAATATACCTGTCCGACCGAAATCTCTCATACATCGTCACTTAACAAATGAATCAAACTATTTGCAGTAATAAATACTAAATAATATTGTTTGCATATAAAAGAAACTTTTCAAGAAACCAGACATAATGTAAAATTATTCCATTTATTTATGTCGTTCGTATTCAGCCTTCTTCCTATACAGTCCAGTTCGTAAGTTGCCACCGTGCAAAGAAAAATCAACGGACATTTTCTTTTTATGGAAGGAAACATTATTGTATTTTGCTGTGAAAAAAAGAAACTTTTCAAGAAACCAGACATAATGTAAAATTATTCCATTTATTTATGTCGTTCGTATTCAGATCAGATGCAAGTACGGAGTATGATAGCGCGTTGAGTGAGCGTCTGGGAAGAAGTCACATCAAAGAAGAATATGGAATTATATACAGGTAGATAATGACTTCATTTAGTGCACTTCCCCATCTACATATTGACTTTTCTTTCGATCACTTTGGCCCTAGAATGACGTAACATGTGTATATTGCAGTTTAATTCATTGCTTGGCTGAACTGTATCCAATTCTAAATTGTTAAAAGGTGCTATTCACTTGTATAATCTTAGAATCGTGAAATTACTTTCATTGATCAAGATATCGTCGTTGAACCAGAAGACGCTTACCCTTCCGAAAATCTGTTCTTATTTTCTTCGTAATATTTCATGAGTTAACGAATATTTCTTAGCTCATAGATTGTCGCAGTTTCACCGGATTTCAGTTTGAATTATAATTCTGTTCAAATATCGCCGTTATCATCGTTGACGGATGGCTGCCATGATAAACCGTAAAAATGTCACAACAACTACTGCATATCTCTAAGGAAATTTCTACATATGATTTAATTTTTATCATAGGAAAGATAGCGTCACTCTCGAAAGTACATACCAGTATCCAGACCCGAACTACACCTTTTTTGAGAGACCACCTTTTGCATTTAAAGTTCGCCTGGCAGAAGCGGATGGTATGATTTAAATCTGGCCTGAACGTGTGCCTTATATTTCAACATAATATTTCAGTCATTGAAATAATGTATAGGGTAACGGAATTTCTCCCAAAATCGCGTGATAACAATGATATAACTGCTAATTACTGCTATATATTTTATTACATATTATACAGACTATGCAAATGTGATATCACTGATAGAAAGATCTCCAACTTAAAAACCTTGGATGATGTTAATAAATAATATTTTTTGAAACACAAAATATCGAAATTAATATGCTTATCCTCCATGGACATCCTCCATTTTTCCTCGTTTTATTCATAGAGCAAAAGTATACATCAACATGATTTTTTTTATAACTAGAACTATTACCCTGGAAAGCTGTATTCAAATCTCATCGTGATGAACATGCTTACATAAGGTTTGAAATGAGAGGGGTGGGGGCCTTCTGTAAATATGACGTCACATCGACAAGACAAAGTATTGATATAGCGAAACTGAAAGTAGATTATTACAAACTTTTACAGAATTATACGTCCTTGGGATTATTGCTATCCACACCAAGCCAAGAGACGCTGTTAGGGAGATAGACATGCTCGTCGATGCATACCAGAAGACCAGCGATCATTGGAATGGGTTAAAGGTGGGTACATAATCAAAAGTTAATGTTTATCAAATCAACTTCAAATTAATGTATGTTATATAAGCTTAATACCACGTGTTCTTTACAGAATATCCTGATCGCTGGAGACTTTAATGCTGGGTGCAACTATGTCACACCTAGTAAGATGGAGACGATTTTGCTCCGGACCGACCCACGGTTCACCTGGCTTATCGTTGATCAAGTTGACACTACAACTTCTGACACTGACTGTGCTTACGACAGGTAGGTGAGAAAAAGATTAACATTCATTTGTAGTAGAAATGCAGTTAATTATATCATATATCATTAAACATTGCAATATACACTGTAACTTTCTTAGGTAAAAAGTGTAAAATTACATCACATTAAACATACGAGGTGATTTACTGTATAACCCTCACTTATACAATAAATCTATGGCAGCACATTGCTTATTAATAACATAAAGCTAGTCTACGTGATAGCGTGCTGGTATTAAATTATCCACCCCTTCCCTATTGAAATCGTACAAATGATCGAAAACGATGATTTAAAACACTTACCTTCTCCAATACATTCATACCATCAGACAGAATGAAAAGAACGGAAGAAACTGTCAGATAAGTATGACATATATTTGATTCGTATTGACGGAAGGTGCAGGAGAAATCAACAAATATTTCCAATAAACTAAAAAAATTTAAAAGTGAAAGACAAGACGTACATTTTAGCACATTGAAGTGATAGGACCATCATCTTATCTCTAGAAAGTAGATATCGTCATTAATACACATTTCTTTATATCTTTGTCAGATTTGTGGCTGCTGGTGATGAGCTCAAAGCTGCTATAGTTCCAGGAAGTGCGCGTGCATTCAGGTTTGACCAAGAGTACAAGCTGACAGAAAATGAGGTAACATATCCTTAAATACATTTATTTGAATTATATAACATATTTCATTTGACTCTTATACATCTAATTATTAAAAACTTTCAAGTGATAGGAGCCACCCAATTGTGTCTTTTGTACAATCTTCACGATTGCATTTAGTAGACACTGGACTGCTGGCGGACTTTTTGTCCCGAGGTTTGTCGTAATCTGCTTAACATGTTTTAGTTCATGTGCAAGTATTTGACGTTCTTCCAAAATTATCAGTAATGTGAAAATTAGAAAACATGTTTAATTACGGAGTAAATGCACCTACCTCTCCCTAGATTTTAAAATTTTCTTCGATAACTTGGAATCTTCCTCAGCTGCCACCGTGGATTAAAAATTTAGGGCCATAGCATCACTGACGAGTCCTAGAAAGACGAATTAGCTGAATAGTGCTGTTCTATTCATTCTGTATCTTGTTCTAAATTTCCATTAAAATAAGTTATTCACTTGTGAGTCTTTTGGACAATCTAAATGTACTCATCAACTTCATTAAAATGCAAGAGGAATGACATGCCTCTATTGATCATAGGATGCTCCATGATGTACCCAAAGATATGCGACCCTCAAAATATTTCGGCATACGACCAAGATATTAATTGACACAAAATCGACAGCCCTTCATTGAAGTAGAACTAGTATGCTACCTGTCAAGTATCATATCACTGGACTTTAGTTAGTCAACAATAATGACCTTGAAAGGTGCCAATGCCAATTGTTTCACCAAATGCCTCTTTTCTTTACCTCTTGGTTCAGTAGCAGTGTTATTACCTGGACACATTTCACTCGTATACATCAAAGAACTTCATTTGAATATGATTGTTTGGAACGGGAATAGCAGGAAATGAAATAGCTTGATAAATAAAATCGAAAATTCCGAAATGCCGAAGCGCCTGTATTTTTCCAAAACGAAATATTTCCATCAAGCGCACATTAACCTTGTCAAGCTAGGGACCAATGAAATGCGTTTCACACAGATTCTGTGTACAATCAAACTGCAAATTATTTGCAAGTGTTAAACGACATTGGCACTGACAACATATGCGAAATCGACTCAGAGGAAATACCGAAAATCTTTATCGGATGATGGTTTATGATACAACCTTCTTGACAGGGTGTTCTTGGAAAAGAAATGTCTTGGCCAATAATGATATTTATGAAATGTTAATATTTACAGACAAAGGCTGTCAGTGACCATTATCCCATCGAAATGGATATAAGAGGAAAGGGTAAGTAATACAATGTATATGTTAAGTCATCACTAGATCGGTTACTGGTAGAGTGATATTATTCCGAGCGCTATACAAATTTATTACGTGTATCTAGTCAACCGGGAGACTTAATATACAGTATTCCATTTCACAAATTAAACTACATCTATGCCTTATTGGTACGTTTTCTTTTTTGTGTGAAAGTTAAAAATTAGAAGTTTTGTGATAAGCGCAATTCATACCATTGCCCGTTTGCATTTAATTGTTTATTTCTCATCTAACATTTTCTTCTATACACGTTAAAACATAATTCTGTGTTCATATTGTATTACGAACGTGTCTTTCGGTGCCAGTCCGATTCAGGTAAACGAATACAACAGTTATATCAACTTTTTTCTTCTTTCAGTAAAACAATCCGAACTTGCAAAGTTTCATAGTGAATTGACTATGTCCTTTGAAGATGACACACCGCACACAAAAAAGCAAGTTCGGCGGATAACGAGATCAGTTGATTTTAAAAAATATGGTTTCACCATTTCTTATGAAATCAGCAGCAACACCAAAACACATGTTCTGGCTTCGCGGGATCACCTGAAAAAATCCGATATATTGAACATAGTAGAGAACCTCCGCAAAGACTCCTCACCTTTCATCAGAGAATCTGTGTTCGAGTTGATAAAACTGTATCTTAACTCGCCATTCATGGAAGGCGTTCGTGGGGCTCATGGTTTCCTGGTTCCATACAAACTACAGAGTTATAATTTCGTGATAGCATGTCAGTGGGAAGGAGACTGCACGTGTAGCTTTAGATTAACAAGGCATATCGTGAAGATCAACAGCTTTACCTAAAAGGTCAAAGTTTACAATTTCAGAGAAATACCTTCATTTCAGAAACATAAAGCATTTTGAAATGGCTTTTACACGCGCATTTTGAAATGAAGTAACTGCAAACGATGTCAATCTGATGGGGTTTTTTTTTATCAAAATAGAGGATAAAATACATAATAATCACTATCAGACTTCCTCTTTAGTATCTTTGTATTTATATATCAACAGAATTGTTCTCATTAACGCTTTTGTAATCTGCTTGTATGACTGTGTATGGCACAAAAATCTTTGTTCATTACTCACAATCTTCGTCCAAAAGTGTCCGTGAAGACCGATAACGTGGTATAGATACATACAGTGGTCCTATAAATATAAAATGTATGCGTTTGTGATTCCCTAATGCTTGGTATTTACATGTTGATACTCGTGACTAGTTAACATCGCGGTATAGACAGATAACACAGACTTAAAACACAGAGATGCGTGTAGATGACGACAGATTTATCATGGGGTGTACTCGATGAAAAAGAGAACGCTTACCCTTCCGGAACACTGTACTTTATAAAGGTTCTCCGTGTATATTATTCTTCTGTAGGTTGTTTTACATTTAGAGTTGAGATTGTCTTTACTTGCCGGAATTTATTATATCATTTATATATAATTAAACACAGTACATTGATTTACAAAGTGTATCACATTCTGTCAGTTAGATGATATACGTATTGATAAATAGACTATATTTTAAAATTGTCAATGCATTTGCTTGTTTTTGTGATGATAGCTTGTAAATGTCAAAAACAATTTAACACACTTAGCACATGGTGAATCATCGTCTCGGCATTAGATATCGAATGAACTAGAAATTGATGTCGGCATGCTACATGCAAAACTATCACAATATCATAAAACCCATATCTGATGAAAGCTTAATAAAATCAATATCCTACCAGATAGAAACATTGTATAACATACCTGTAGGTAAAAATGCAGTTAAGAAAATACACAGTAAAACTGAAAATTATGAAATGTAAATGAGGGAGACCTAAGGATAAGTGAAGGTCAAGTTTGATAATTTGTCTATATAAATATGATTAAACACTGCTGAAGTATGTCATAGGGTGGAACATACATCTGTTTCATAGAAGTGTGTTTATTCATATGATTACTGTTTATGTACTTATTTTAGTGGTAACCTTATTTTAGAGATTTCGAGCTAAATGCACTGTTTCTCTATGTTGTTTATTTAGCAATATATTTCATATCTACTACCTCCGTATTCTACAGTTTAATTTCAGAAAATCATAAAGTGGTATAGTAAGTGTATTCATATAATTACGCCTGGGTTTATTTCTTTGTTTATAAATTTACATGCTGTTAAATTCTCCCTTGGATACATGTTCAGAAAACACATGTCTCAGCTTATTAGAAAGAGGCATATCATTCCAAACTATAACAAAACTTACATGTTATAATTATAGAACTTCCTCATTTTTAATTTATTAACTTGCTCGATTACCATAATGAAACAAACAAATTTTTATATCCTTTCTCTACCTTCTTTTAGCTACTGAATGGGTTACACACTGTTTTTTTATTTGGAGTTTGCCTTGTTATTGCAGATAATGGCACATATCAAATTTAAAGAAAAAATACGCATATAAGGTATGTAGACAGTGTTAAGAATAACACACGTAAGAGACAACTATTAAAAAAAACAGAAAAATCACCAACTTTATAATAGTTTCTACTGCACAACGATGACAACCACTACAGGCATATCACAATAATTATCACATTGTTAACAACCAACATAATTATATCAAAATAATTGTCACACTGTTGACAACCACTGCAGTTATATCACAATAATTGTCACACTGTTGACAACTACACTCATATCACAATAATTGTCAGTGTTGACAACTACACTCATATCACTATAATTGTCACAGTGTTGACAACTACACTCTTATCACAATAATTGTCACACTGTTGACAACTACACTCATATCACAATAATTGTCACACTGTTGACAACTACACTCATATCACAATAATTGTCACAGTGTTGACAACTACACTCATATCACAATAATTGTTACACCAATGACAACCACTACACTCATATCACAATAATTGTCATAATCGACATGTTCACAACCACCATATTCATAAAACTATGATCATCAAAACCAATATATTTGCCTTGGAAGAAAACATAATACCACATAACCTTAGAGGACAATACAAAAATTAACGCCACTGCGATTGTAACAGTCACTTACCAACTAGTAACAGGTTCTGGTGTTATAGCAGGAAATTGGTAATAAGGATAATTTTATATCAATAGAAACTTATTGTGTGGTCTGTATCAATAGAAACTTATTGTGTGGTCTGTAAAAATAGAAACTTATTGTGTAGTCTGTATCAATGGGAAAGCCCTTTTTACAGCATGCTGTTAAAAATGTGTCTGTAGTGAATTCACACTCTTTATTATTTAAATTGAAGATAATTCTTCAATGTTCTAGGGATCATAAAATTCTCTAGGTCAGTGATATGACCTTTCTGTAGGTTATTTCTGATAGTGTATCGACATGACCTCAGTAAAGATCTTGGAGTGTTGAGTTCACTCTCCATCCACTGATTAAAAAGTGTGTAAGATTCTCGCAAGTCTGTGATTTTATCACCATGGAGAAGGTCCATATCACGATAACAGTCCATAGACAATAACATGCGTATTGTTTCCATTTTACCAAATCGGATTGATTTCGATAAAGGAGTGCCACCTGAAAAACAAATCATAAAAATTATTTCACTCCCAATTTGTTTGTGATTAAGCACCTTGTACTAGAGTTCAGGAAAGTCTATGTGTTATACATGTTCTGTCCTTCTTTTAACCTGGTAATCCTAACATAACTTGTGAACCCACCTTGTGATCTAGTTACAGTAACTCAACTAACCCTGTTACTATATTACTTTAACTCTCAAGAGGGCTGCAATAGTTTAGGCATTAGACCGTTAGACTGATGTAACCTAAGGTGAAAATCTGGGACGTTTAATGTTTCTCAAGAAACTGCAATCATGGATCATCCTGTGGTGTGCTTTACTTCAGATGGTTTGAATAAAATATGTGGATTATTGATGATGGTGCAATATTTCACATCAACTTACAATTTGTTACTGGTTTTAATAAGTATGTGAAAAAAATAATAAAAATGTGTGTTTATTCCATGGGCCGGATATCTCGAACCTCTTTTAAGAGTTTGGCTGGTCAGCAATCAGCAAACCCAAGTTACATAGCATAGTCAGTAGAATAACATATTGAAGAAAAAGAGTTGAACATAGAGTCTAAGACACAATGATAGGCCATGAACATGTACATCTACTAAACAATAGTGTATCAATTAAACACCAACACCAAAGATAAATAGATACCATTTTTGTCTACAGCATTAATATCAGCACCTCTCTGAACCAATAACCGTGTGATTGCAGGGACAGCCCTAGAGTTGAGCTCTACCACAGAGTGAAATGTTGTCCTTCTCATATTATCTGCCTGAAAATTAAACATGATAAAGTCAGTTTAGTTTAAATATTACTACTGTAACTTTGATGAAGGTAGACACAAGGGAAAAATGACCAGGTTAACATTACAATCATCGTAATTACTAAGTTAAGTAACTAGAACAATGACAGAGGTCAATAACTAAGGAACCTGCTGTCTGTCTGAATGTATACCCCCATTCATCAACAGGCAGAATATACTAGGAATGAGAAAGCACGATTTGAATTTTAAGATGCATCTGCTTAGAAAATTTGCATCTGAAACCTGATCTCAACTAAGCTTAGTTAAACCTAAGCCTCAAGTCTGAATAAAATCTAACAAATTGCTAATATGTCAGGGCCATTTCCCAAAAACACTGTGTATTGGGTGGGACCAGTTACCAAATAACTGTGGAAAAAATAGCTCTTTCAGTTTTACTTCAACATATCAGTTTACGAACCAAATGTCATTGTTTATTGTCTTAAATGATCCAACTGAATCATACCTCATATTCCTTACTGTTCCTTGCTGTTTAATTCATTAACCTTATTCTCAAACTAAAGAATTGTATATAGGTTCAACTGCCAAACACTTAACCTCACTGGACCTAATATTTAATAGACTTTGAACTTCACATTCTCTGTATTGTTTCCCACGTGTCACTTAACATAGCTAACATTACATGTAAGTATGGTATGCATTTAACATTCATACCAATGCATAACTTCAACAGATTTGGATGTATGTTTGTGTTAAAAAAATTCATAAACAGAAATATGTTACCTTATCAACTTGAGCTCCTCCATCCAATAACATTTCCACGAGTGCAAGATCTCTAGTACTTACAGCCATCATCAGTGGTGTAGCACCTTTCTTGTTGGCAATGTTAACATTAGCACCACCTATAACATGTTATTCATTTTTATAAGTAGGCGGGTCACAATAAAACAGCCTTTAGTTTGTTTGGGAACAACTAGGGACAAAGGAAAGCCTACTTAATGAAACTTGAGAAAGATCCATCAAGTACTTCTAAAACAAAAAAAGAATTACAAACTCTCATTGTCAAAATCCAAGATGGCTGCCTGTAAACCATTTTGTTTTCTGGTCAACTCAAAATTTCAATACAGACGGATTAATCCTTTACTAAGATTTATATCACATACACTGTTTTACTTTTTTGTAAAAGATGCATGGTACAAACACACATACTTCAGTAAAAAGAACTGATAAAGACTTTGCTCAGTCTTTTCTTTCATATAAACATTGACTCAAAGTTCATCGAGAGATTACTTACATACACTTCCGTACACTACCCTAACGTACAAATGACAAACTGTGAACTCTGACTTGTGAACTTTGACTGACTCACTATACACCAAGTGATAAATCATAAACAGACTCAACATACAAAAAGTGATCTGTTACAAACATTGACTCACCATACACATAGAAACTGATTCACCATATACTAAGAGATTAATCACACATATTGTCTCATCATCCACAAAGGGGAAACAATTAATTACATTGACTCAAAATACACTCATAATAATATAATAAAAATTGATTCATTAGTATGAATTGAATACATTTTGACTTGCTATTTACAAAGATATACAGAAAATTACATGAACTCTCCATACACTGAGAAATTTATTAAAACCTGACTCACCCTTTAGTAAGAGCTGTACTACATGATGTTTAACTGGCATGGTGAAGCTGGCCAGATGGAGTGCTGATGTACCCTTCTCATCAGTAATGTCTAAGTTAGCACCAGCTTTGATCAACAAACTGATACACAACTGATCCCCCTTAATCACTGCATACATTACAGGAGTTTTCAAACTGGCTGACTGTATATCACAGTCTGCTCCTGCAGAAAAGAAAAAATCATTTCAGAAATATCCTTTTAAAAAACTAGAAGATTTTAGTATCATTTTATGTTTCTTATATTGCCTTCAGTAGACAGTTATTTAACACAATAAGAGTGGTACATGAATTAAAACAATTTTCATGTGTTTACTGGTTACTGCTAAATAACTCTATTCATGTGTACGTTGAAGTAACAAAAGCACTGATCATTAATCAACTGTTGCCCATAACAATTGACTCCCCCTGTCAGTAAGTTGTACCACAAATATGACTCCCCCTGTCAGTAAGAATTATCACAATTATCATTTGAATGCTGAACCATTCACCAGTCACTTATTCCGCTCACTTTTTATAGGGACAGAGTTCTGACATTCATTGACTCCTGGCCAATATATAAAAAGTGGATAGAACATCAGAATAATTCCAACTACAATGACATTTGCCCATTATACCCATAACAGGTTGATCTAAAACACAATTACCAAACTAATATTGCAGCTGACAAAGAATTTTACCTTTCTGTAAAAGAAACAGGAGAACGTCCGCTCGACCAGCATTTGCTACATAATGTAAGGGAACTCGACTGTTACCGTCACAACTATTTACATCAGCTCCATGATCTACCAGGAAGGATATAGTCTGTAACAATATATATAATATAAATATATTTTACGAAGAATGAGAAAAAAACACGTTATCACTATCAGTGTTCATTAAGAAAAACAGAAATCACTTTAAAAAATATTTATAATCTCATTAAAGTTAAAATATTTCAGTGGTGATCTTTCTTTGGCAATTTCGGCACTTTAAATTTGTCAAATTCTGTTAAAAATTTTATGATTGAAAATTCTGGATGTTTGTGGTAGTTTACACAATTTCAAGAAAATGTTAATATTGAATAAACATTTTTAAATTTGTTGGGATGAAATGAATTATGTTGAGTTAAATACTTCACAAGGTGTGTTGGAGTATATGATTTGCACAGTTAGATATGAATATTGACCCTGCTAGGATATAATCTAATTTACCTTCATGGGGCTCTGTAGCACTGCCACGTGTAACGGAGTGTATTTTGTCATTCTGATGTGGCTTGCCAACGAACGACATCTTACAGTGCAAGACATACCTGTTGGTTTATAAACTAAAGTTACTGAACGCTGAGTGTCGAAAGGATTTTAATTAGGAATATTTATCGTGCCTTTACCATACTGTAATACGATTGCTTCTTTATCTCATATCCGAAAAAAGGATTAAGCCTGACATTAACTCTCCCATTAATAATGATAATTTAAGTGATACATAAATGTAAAATAAATGTTATAGAAGTCAATAGTTTTTTAACCCCTCTGGAGTGTTTAAACACTGGGACAACTGATTAATGTTTTACCAAATGAGCCAAAGAAGATTGAAAGTCTCCCTAGGTGAGTCAATAGGCTGCTAATGTTTTACCTGGGTGAAATAGATAAATTCATACGGCGTGAATTACCTAAATGTTTTGTATTGATGTCGACACCAGCTCTCAACAGTCTTCCAATCATGTCCAGATCATCATATCGCACAGCTTTAAAGATATCCTCCTCATCACTGGGAACTTCCAACAATAAGTCTGATCCATTGATTGGCTCACTCGCCCTCACTCGTATGTCACTCAAACCTGTAGTTGTTCCATCCAGTAATAATGGGGCAGGTATTGGAGGTGGTGGTGGAGGAGGCGGTGGAGGGGGAGGCGGAGGTGGTGGCACATGTACAAAGGGAGGGGAGCTTGAGGGTGACGCCAGCTGATGCAGAGGTGGGGAGCTAGAGGGAGACACCTGCTGATGAGGTGGTGGGGAGCTCGAGGGAGACACCTGCTGATGTAGAGGTGGGGAGCTAGAGGGAGACACCTGGTAATGAGGAGGTGGAGAGCTCGAGGGAGACACCTGCTGATAACCCAGAGATTCAGGTTCCAGTTCCATTATTGTGTATTGTTTAGCTAAGAGCTGTAAAAGAGTAATAAAAAGACATGGTAATAAAGTGTCCATTAGACTTGACTACATAACTTTACACCACTGTTGGGGATTCAATAAATCATTTTTGTGACAAGTTCAAATCATGGCACCAAATCTGTAACTGAAACGTCTGACAAAAATTCTTTCCCTCACTTGCACTTGATCTGTTGAGCGATCATCCTCTAAGCACGTGCTTTACTAGGCTAATGGGAAATTCATTTGGCTCTCAACTTGTAATCTAGTGTTTTCCTTAATATGTTTATCCTTACCCATACACATATTGTTGCTACCTCATGTGGTCAAACAAAAGATGTGCATATGTAATACCAAAAGGATGCTTTTCAAAATCATCTTACAACAATTTGATAAACGCGTGGTAAATATGTACCGGTTATCCTGCAAAAGTACAAAACATCAAAATAATAATAAAATCGATATAAAGACTGGTCAGAGAGGTACAACTGTTAACTAAAACGTACGTGTATCTCAAATTACTAGTTTAAACTCACTACAACTTACATGCATCTCAAATTACTAATTTAAACTCACCACTGATACTCACATAATCGCACCTGTCAGTCAACTTTTTAAACAACCCGGCAAACACTCGTGTCCTGGTCTTTCTGTCTACCGTCTTCCTGTACCATATATGGTCAATTGTTAGTAATGAGGTTAACTATGGTCTATAAATAGTGATGAGGTAGAAACACAAAAATGGGTCACGTTTTCTCAAAGCTTCCACGGTTAGAATATATTCGTTAAACTATATACACTCATATGATAAATCCGTCTTCTGAATATTTACCGTCGGAAAAATTAAACTAGCACAGCATAGCGATGGTACCATATGTAAACAGTCACAGAAGGGAAATCACTGGAATGTTTGACAGGTGCGTTCGGATGGGAATACTTGACTCTGGTCTGACGATAGGTAGAGTATTCCGTTTCTTTTACGACATTCAAAGATTCAAAAACATATTTTTCTAGCTTCTTCACATAATAGTATTTAAACATATATACAAAGATATGACAGCGGGTGTTGTTTATTATTGATACGAGTTTTTTTTTTTCAAATGTTTCAAGTAACACATAGTATCGAGGTTTTTTTTTTTTCATAAACCACAAAACCGAAAAAAGACACATTCAAATACATATGATGAAGTTATCAAATATGAACAATATCGTCCACGCTGCTTTGCAAGTATAAGTACACAAAGTAAAAATATAATAACACTTTTAAAATGCGGATTTAAAATCCATTGAAAAATTTATCATTACTTTTTTATTAATATCTAACAAATTATTGGGAGGCAATTACACTATACATCACTCAAATGCCGAAGTCTCTACAGTCTGTCCGACAGTAGTTTGTTGCGTCACAGTTAGGCTGACATCCAATCCAACCACAGATTCATTATTGCCAAAAATAATATCGAGAAACTTCCAACCGCAGACACAGTAGAACAGGACGGATAATAACCGGGACCATAAAAAACAAGTTACTTGATCAAAACAGCTGATAGAAACAACGAACAGTAAAGAATGATCACATCAAGAAAAGTTACTCAAACAGGTTGTTAGCCTTGAATTGAAGAAATTAAACAGGGATATCCTTTTCCAGCTCTACTATTACTTGACTATTTAAGACTGAGTACCCGAAGACTGGTGTCATGTGGTCAGTTTATGTCAAAGAGGTAGCACTCTAAAGTGAACAAGGCAAGTGACTTTTGCAAAATGGACAAAATCGATAAAAGAGCAGTGATTTAATATCCTCATAAGAAAGGCATATCACATAAGGAAACACATACTGGTATGTTTAGCTATACTGGGGAATGATGCTCCTTCATATGCTACAGTGAAAAGGTGGCAGGCAGAGACTTGAAGTCCTGGAAGGTCTGACACTGTTGTAACCAAAGAAATGGTCAATAAAGTCCATGATATTGCTATGGCTGACAGCTGAGTTACAGAGATATATAGCCAGTACAGTTGGGATTTCACAGGAAAGAGAACATTCCATACTTATGTAAGATCTTGCAAACAGAAAGCTCTCAGCCCGTTAGGTACAAAGACTTCTGACAGTTGATCAGAAGCACATCAGGCGAACTTTGTCGCGTGCTTATCTGAACACTTAGAGGCATATCCTGCTAACTTTCTGCAGATATTTGTGACTAAAGATGATACATGGTTCGATCATTACATCCCAGGAGCCAAACAACAATAGTCTAAACAATGTAAGCATCATGCATACCCCCACCCCACCCCGTCAAAAAACAAAGACTGTTGCATCAGCTGGAAAGGTTATAGCCTCGGTGTTTTGGGATTCTGATAGTATTCTGTTGGTATATTATGTGCGAAAGGGACAAACAATCAATGGTACATATTATCACTTCTTAGGCAGTTAAAGAGAAAATATTAAACACAAGCGCCGCCGAAAACACAGTAAAAATGTGTTGTTCCACTAGGACAATGCTCCAGTTCACAAGTGTGCCGTTGCTATGGCTGCCACCAACGATTTTGGCATAGATTGAGGTCCACCTTGTTCGCCTGATTCTACTCCATCAAATTTTCGTATATTTCCAAAATTGAAAAAGACCATTACCGGTACCTACTTTCGGTAAGATTAAGACGACGTCATACATGCAGTGGAGGGCTCTCTGAACAATCAAGAAAATGACTTCTTTAAAAATGGCATTGACGCCCTTCAACATGACAGGCGAAAGTGTATAGAAATTGAAGGGGATTATGTTGAAAATAATGCAATATGTTCGCCAAAAGTCAAACCATTAAAATGAGGTTCACAACTCATCAATCAGTCCCAATTAGTTTGTTTTTTGCATAATTTTTTGTATTTTTATCTGCATTGTATGCATACACAGCACTGATAAATTAACAAAGAAACGATGTTGTCGATATGTATTTTATAGAATTTCAAAGGTATAAGAACGTCACTTTACTTGCTCATGTAATAGACGTCCAAAATCGATCTTACATATTGACTATCAATAAGTTATGAAGTTTATATTGACAAACTCGACGTTCGTAAACCAGAAGCAAACTAGCAAACTACAAGAGTAACAGTTGTCCAAAGATTATGCCAAATTTTATTCTTGCATGTTAAATTGTTATTTTCTGCAACTATATCTTATATCATAGAAATAACTTCACTGAACCAATGTTGCAACTCGCAACACAAGTTAAAACTGATCCTATCAAGTAACATATATAGGCCAATGGCTTCAGCTTTTCATTGCTGATAATTAATGATTACGACATGTTATTATCATTGTAAATATTTTCAGGTAACTGGCTACGCCACAGTCGTTTCTGCCCTCGGGTTATATATATACACAGGTTCCTAGAACAGAATCACAAAGGACTATTATATACACACGTATATACAAAGCTTTCACATTATTTCTTGTCTACGGGAACAATCATGGCGTCTTATAGGCTGTAAGGTAAGATGTGTTATATTGATTGTGAAATTATTTTTATAGGAAACATACAGTAGTATTCTATTGAGAGTTTCCATCTCTATATCGACCTCTATATGTAAAATTTGGAGTGGTTTTTCTTGTGCTATCGTTTTAGGACTATTCAAAATGGCGCTGACCAGCAAGCAGACGATATCATTTTGACTCTGTTATCCCACATAATTGTTAATCAAAGTAACGGTGTATAATGATGTATAGGTGCGACGGGTCATGCCGACAGTTGACGGAGCTGCGATGTACACTTAAATTAAGAATAACAACCCAAGTTTGTTGAAAACAAAGTATAAACTTATTGGAATGTTGTGTGAATTATGATAGTTTAACAGGGATAATTCAAGCTTAGTCCCTGTAATTAAGTGTGCACTCTAAGTTATGGTTATTATATTTGTTGGGAGTGTTGTTATCATATCATATTACTTTGAGAATCGTTGTAGTGAATAAAATTGTAGTGGATTTAGAGAATACTACAAAGAGAATATTTTAGTAACGTAGCTGAGTAATGTTCGGTACAAACATAAGGTAATTACGAGTTCAAAAACAGGAACAAATGATTTTAAACCCACTTTAAAGTTGTAAATACAGTTTTCTAACTGAATAAAAACGAAGCACATTTGTGTTCTATACGAGAATAGCATGATCACAAAACAGAATATTTTGAGTTGTAGTTCATCAGAAAAAAAATACTTTTACACTACGGCAATGGCCGCACCTAATTTCCTCCACCCAAAATGTGTGAAGTCCTTATAGACATGTCCTGTATAAACTGTAGTCCATAAGGTTTGTATTGCTTCCGGGGAGGTACATGTTTAATGGGAAATAATAGCATATGTAAGTTGTCCTATATTCCAGTCAATAATGCATTGCACTATATAGCGAACACATCAACGACATTTCAAACCTACGTCCATATCAGTGAATCTTAAGTTGATTAAAGCGAAACTTTCCGGAATTGATTTTGAAAATTGAAACCATAAGATATACCAATATTTCTTCAATATTTTAATACATAAATTCATCGTCAAATACCTAGTGTAAAACTTACAAATATTAGTAATAATTAGACAGTATTGTAATTTAGGTACTTGTCGGTAACTCTGAATTTTGTGTGATTCTCTATAGCATTAATTCACAGGTAATTGCTCTCTTGACAGGAGCGCTCCTTAAAGTCATGCTATCAGAATGAGTATAACCTAGACATAACTAGACTAAATGGTACAAACCTCGTAATAATACCGGACGCTACCGACAATATCATAAACTGAGAATTATATTTGTTTCAGAGAATGAAGCAAGAGTATCGCTTGGTTTTAACCTAATCAAAATTGCCTGATTTATGAAAATTGGAAGTATGATGCTACAAACTGGACTGTTCTTGGTGGCTGTTCTTGCAGGTAACTTTCAGTTTCATCATATATTATCGTATTACCCTTCCTAAACGTTATTACAACATAGTACGATTCTCTATGAACGTAGCCTATATTTCCACACTGTAAGATGTTTGCTGAAAGTTGACTAAATTACCAAAATTCAGTACAATAGCTATATTTTGACTTGGTAAGGTTTTTAGCGGGCCTTGTGTCAATTCTAAGACAAATTTCTTAACCAGATAAATAAGCAAAACCAGAACTTATGTCTCAGAGCTTCTCAACTTCTTAACAAAGGGCAATAACTCTAATCTTTAAACTCATTTAGCATGTATCTAGCCCGTGTAAACGGCTGTAATATGAGGCATTTCATTGACACAGGATGATTCCTGTTGAATGTGTCTCGCAGCTTCCGTGTTTCTTTTTAAATCCAATACCTCTACAGATACATACAAATGTACCCTATTTTTGTACATGTATAATTTGCACACATAAAAGAACAATTGATGCGTTGAGATCATAAGAAAATCTTATCAAATAATCTCTTATCTCATACATGCACTTTGTATCGACAAAATGCTGTTTGATTGTTATTTATTCCTTCATAATATGACAGAAGACGACTTAAGATTACGTGATTTTCTTTCGACTAGTAAACGAAAATAAGCGGAAACCTTAGCTAATTTGATATGCCCAAGAAAATCAAACTTTATTACCAAATCACCGACTACAGGTATCGCTGAGCTGGCTCGAGAAAACCGCCAGTACACTATTATATTTTGCTGTATCATTCTTCCAGGCGCCGTATCTGTTGTATCCGGCTCCGTCAACTGCTACACCTGCTCATACACGATAACCGGCGCACCATGGATTAGTTACGAGTGCGCCAATAACACAGATAAGGTGACAACAGGGTCAGCGCAGGTTCCATGTCATCACACTCTACAATGCGTCACAAAGGTTGTTTACAACGCCGGTAAGTTAACAGTTTCTATAAAATCATGTAAATACACGCACGGTATATTTTTGTAAGACGCCTATGTTATAATAGGGTTCCATAATTTCATATTACTTTAAACGACTCGCTCTTATCCAGCGTCCAATCTCAGCATTACATAATTACAATTAAGCAATGCGTTATACTTCCAGGAAGGACAATCTTTGAATACAAAAAGAGATTACATTTTATTGTATTTGTTAAAACAATGTTTCTTTTCAGAATCGATTCTTCTACATATCCATTGTCATATTTTTTTTATTTATCTAGATCTCACTGAAATACGATCGGTCACAAGAGGATGTTTTGTACCAGACGTTTACAAATGTGGTGTGAATTGTTGTGATCAGAGTCTTCATGATGTTTCCTGTCAGTATCAATGTCGGTCAGACGGCTGCAATAACAAGGACGTCACCAAAATACTGAAAAAAACGACCGGTACTGGTGCGGCTTCAGCCATTCATCCGAAATGGAGTCTATCTGTCACTTTTGTGCTATTTAGCGTTATCATTTTGTCTGCGATGTGAGGTTGAAATAAATATAGATAAAAAATATGATAATAAAAATGCACTGTTTTACTGTTTTTAAGGAATGCGACGAGAATAGCCATGTATTCGTGAGTTTTTTTTTTGTTTTTTTTTTTTTTTTTTTTTTTTTTTGGGGGGGGGGGGGGGGGCGGGTGTACTTTGTTTGTTTGGGTTTTTTGGGGGTTGTTTTCTGTATATAAGTTAAGCATTCATACAGAATGAAGAATCTGGTTTGTGTTATAGAAAACAATGAAAGTAAGCTTGTAAACATTCTTCGTGCATACTCTTTCTTTAATCAGTCCTACATTCAAAAGTTAAAGTAACATTTGGTAAATACACCCTTCCGTCTTCTAGTACGACCTATGCCAAAAGGTCAACTGACACCCCTTTTGAGCCTCTCTGTCAAATATCAGTTTGAGATAGGAGTCTATGTGTACTCTTTGTTGGAATGACCGGATCAACTGGCAGACGTGTTCGGAAATACCCGATAACAGCTTTCCGACTTTATAATGAGAATACGTCACGTGATCTCGATATCAACTGATGTGGATTTATAATATATAAACAAAACATTTCGTGATTCGCTGTCTAGTCATTTCCTCCATACACGACAATCTTACTATGGAATGTGAAGACACAAACACCTGTCGCCACAGGTCTTGTTATGTTGATGGCATCTACACTAATTGTTAAAACTTACTTGTCACTAAACCTGTTCTTAAAGAACATTGTTTCGAGGACTTATATTATTTCTATCTATTGCATTTCAATTTTATACATAAATGTAACAATCTTATATCACAATTTATTCATCGTATAGAACAAATATAGAATACTAATATCCTTAGTTGATAAAATACTTTTATCTATGTTAACCTTTGTGTTGACATTGAAAAATGGAGTACACAAACAAAAGGAACTTACCGACAATAGAATCTTCATTCAAACTCTACATTGGTAAAACGAATAAAAAAGCACCAATAGATAATGTAAGCAGAGACATTTGTGAAATAAAATGAGAATAAGAGCAGGTGTTCCGGGAGGATGAGCGTTTTATGCTTCGACCGCGACACTCATAATGTAACTTTTGGTCAATCCTAGTAAGAAATGTCACATTCACAAATGAGGACAAGGTTTATCTAACAGAAACTACAAGCATATCTACAAGCATAACGCACAAGGAAGTGAAATAATTTCCAATGATATCTCGATGGCCAACTTGGAAATTCCCCATAGTCTTCACAAATCTGCATCTCTGTATTGGTTTCGTTTTCGATTACAAGTTTTATTTCGGTTACACATACCGGAGGATGAACAACATTTCATGACAAGCTGTTCCTTTTACCCACAGCATAAAAAGGCATTGTTTCTTGATTATGTTTCTCGCTACTTTGAGAGTAAAAGATTTCGGGTGGTTTCCAAGGAATATTTTTTGAACATTTTAACCATGAGTAGTAGAAGTTTGAGAGGTATAATCTTTGGATATATAAATAGCCTTGAACCACTTTTAATGTAAATTGAACATAGTAATAACCAATGTTTCAACTTTAGACATAAATATCGTTAGTTCATATTTCAATATTGAAATTGTCAAGAGTAAGAGTTTAGTAGATCAAGATAGATAAAATGTTTTAAAAGAAGGTGTTTTTTTGTATTCAATAAAAAATAGATGTTTATGCGTAATGTATAAGATACAAAAGATTGACAACGACTACTGATGTAAATCTTTCCCCCTGTTAAGGGCCCCTCGATCTCGAGTACCTATTCTCTCATTAATCTTATAATCTATTACGGACAGCCTCCCACCCATGCTGATATAACCCCCTCACTTACAATATAGACATCGAGATGTCGGGAGGAACTCCAATGTGGAATTAACTGTCTTGTGAAATTATATTACTTTTTTATGTTTTCTTAATCTAGAATTCTAAAATGGAGAGATTATTGTATATTTTTGCCACCGGACTAAGCCTTTCCCTCATTTATGGATTATGTAAGTATGAATTCTCACTTAATCTTGAAATTCCCACACGAAATTATCACATGTCAAAATGTTGTATTTGACGTTGTAACAAACTTCTCCAAAATTAAATGTTTCCAATTGGTAATTAGTTTATATTCATATTACCACGTCACACGATATTTCCTAACTTCTTAATGCTGTAATTGGCTAAGGAAGAATTTCCATGCACTTATTTAGCTAATATACTTCCGGATTACTAAACAGAAAACAAAACTTGATAAATGATAAATATATATATATATATTCATTCTCTTTTCATTTGTAATGATGTATTCGGCACACAATATCGTCATACACAAATACTTCTTTAGTGTGATTTTTTGTTTAGTTTTAGATAGTTTACTCACAAAATGTTTCAAGTGGAAAACAATATCTTTTCCGATATGTTAATACTAAAATTGGTGACCAATATAATTTCAATATCTTCATGGTAAAATCGACATAATTTTACATGGATTTTTTTCAACTAATGTCGTAAGTATTGTACCTAGTTATAATCGCTTGGATTTTGTAATTAACACAATCAAATGATAACAAGGAAATATGTCTTAATATTCACAACTTATATATACTGAAAAGATAAAGAAACGCAGGGTAATATTTATTCCGATATTTTGAAAACGCCTTCTCCAAATAAAGTGAAACTTTGTGGATTGAGTAATTAGGCCATATTTCACCTTGTCATGTACCGAAAATTTAGTCACGGTACAGTGCGCAGCTCTGGTAAATGGAGGAAGGAAAAAACAAGAATCTCGTGCACCGTGTTGTTCTGGTCTCATGCAGCGTTGGTCAAGTCACTCTTCGTTAGTCTTTATACAGACCAACTGCTTCCCTAAAATTAATTGAGAATTTGATTCGTTTTAAGAATGGCACGACTCACAGAAGTTCAGAGGGGTCAGGCCATTCAGATGCCGATGCAAGGACAGCTTCAAAATCAGGTTGCTAGGCACTTTGGTGTTAATGTTTCCGTCATAGAACGTCTTGTAAGACGTCTTCGGGAAACTGGGCGATTGGCCGATCGACCTAGGTCAGGACGTCCGCGCGTAACGTCACGACGTCAGGATCGCTATATCGTCGTCTCTCATGTGCGTAATCGGCGCCTTACTGCCGTTGAGAGTGCACTTAATGTTAGTGGAAATCATGGGCGTCCTATAAGTTCAAAAACTGTAAGGAATCGATTACGAGAAGTTGGTGTAGGAGCACGTTGCCCCTACGAAAGTCCACACCTTACCCCTGCTCGACGTCAGCGTCGTATGGCCTGGGTCGCTGCACATGCTCCACGACGGTTTCCACTGAGGCAGTGGAGACCAGTTTTCTTCACGGACGAGTCTCGATTCTGTCTTTATCGATCTGACGGCCGTCAACGTGTCTACCGACGTCGTGGCGAACGTTTTACGGACGCTTGCGTTGTAGAGAGGGATAGGTTTGGGGGCGGTTCAGTAATGGTGTGGGGAGAAATCTCATGCGGGTTAAAATCACAATTGGTTGTTATTGATGGCAATTTAACAGCAGCTAAGTATAGAGATGAGATCCTCCGACCCCATGGTATCCCTTTCTTACAGCAGCATAATCTAATCCTCCAGCAGGATAATGCTAGGCCCCACGTAGCAAGGATTTGCCAAGTCTTTCTGGCCAACAACAACATTCAACCACTAGATTGGCCGCCATATAGCCCTGATTTGTTCCCGATCGAGCATCTTTGGGACCAGTTGGATAGACAGGTTCGAAAGCGCCGGCCACCCCCTGCTACTCGAGAGCAGTTGACCAGAGCTCTGATTGAAGAGTGGGACAACATCCCCATAAGACGGATTAACGCTCTCATGAACTCTATGACCAGAAGAATAAGGGCCGTGACCATAGCAAACGGCGGACACACAAGATATTGATGACTCAGTTCAATTTCAATTTCAAAATTCTATGGGTCCATTCAATTTAATCGTTAGTACCTGTAAACCAATTGTCAGATGCAAAATACAGACTTTGGAAATTTTTAAGCTTTAATTTATCTGTAAGTATACAATATTTCGTTTTAAATGAAGCCCGATATCATACTTAATTTCTGGTTTAAAGTTCACCTTGCGTTTCTTTATCCTTTTAGTGTATATACTGGCAGCTTATTAAATTATACTCGTATCATTGGTCTCAAAGCTAAAAGCTGCAATTAACATAATTTAGCAGCTTTCTGTATTAATAAAAACTAAATATAGATCTGATATGTCCAATTTAAGGCAATGCAGACGAAGCAGCACCCAGTGGGGAGACATTCTGGTGTCACGTGTGTTCGTATACGGTAAATGAACAGGCAAATGGCTTCGACTGTCTCAACAATACAGGCGAAATGAACGATCTACAAAGCCGCATCAAGTGTGGTAACTACTGTGTCATACAGGAGCAATGGGATAAAGGTATGCCAACAACACGCTCTTTATAGGGACATTGGGACGAAAGTACGTTAGGTTTAATCGCAAAGGGTTATATATGGACATTGGGACGAAGGTGCCTTAAGCTTAATCACAAAGGGTCATATAGGGACAATGGGACAAAGGTGCCTTAGGTTTAATCACAAAGGGTCATATAGGGACAATGGAACAAAGGTGCCTTAGGTTTAATCACAAAAGGCCATATAGGGACATTAGGACACAGATAAATTAGGTTTAATCACAAAAGGTCATATAGGGACATTAGGACAAAGATAAATTAGGTTTAATCGCAAAGGGTCACAAAAATTGGTCAGGTATACTAGCTAAGGGTCATACAGGGATAATGGAACAAAGGTAGGTCATGTATACTAGATATACTGGAACCTGAAGCAAAGGTACACTATGCATACCAGCTAGGGGCCACACAGAAAAGACAGGTCACAAATGAATGTCATTTTACCAGCAAGTGGCCTTACAAGGAGAATGGGACAAAGATTAGTCTGGTATACCGGCAATAGATCGGATAGGAACTATAGAACAAAGATAGATCACCAAAGGGACTTACAGGGAAAATGGGCAAAACACGGTCAATTATACAAGTGTGCATACACTGGCAAGGTGCAAGGTAGGTCAGGTTTAACTTGTAGGGATTACAATAGGAACAAATGCTGGAAATTATTATACAGATCAAGAAACAAATGTACTGATGTATACCGTCATACAATGTTACAATAATACCAGGTTTTTCCTGTTAGGATTAGTACAGACACAATTCGACGTATATAATCCGAAAATGTAACAAAAAATGTCCAGCTAGGGTTGAAACCGATGACAATGAGACAAAGGTTACACGGTATATTTATCATAAAACTGCATTCGTAGTCCGTTTATACGGTTCCACAGTATCTCGTTAATGTTGAATTGTTAATTCTTTCTGTGTGGATTAAAAAAAATTATGGTAATTACAATAAGTTTAAACTTCGTCTATTGTGTTGTATTACACATTCAAAATATGTTCATAATAATTGTTACATCTATTATTTATTACGTCAGATTGCGAGTCCACGTTTAAAATTGAGGAATATGGCCAACACAGCAAAGATGTAGGTGCCTGGTTATTTTAACCGCTTAACAGGAACCAATGAGTTTTCATCATATTTCATATTCCCTTATTGTAAGGTAGTGTTTCATTATTATCTCAGTATGTCTATCAAACGTGATAAAGCTCGACTTGATTTCAACTCCAATGATTCTTGTTATCTATCTTACTCAAGTTTGGAGCCGTCTCTGCCAAACCATATTACATTTTTGTTAGTACGTAATATGACTTGAGGAATTGTGTATAGCTGAAGGTTCCTATTGCAATTTTATGTGATAAACAGAATCTTATATTCGTTACCTTGTTACGATTGTTTTCATTTTACGTCGAAAAAGGAAAGATAAGGCGATGAAAGATTTCCCTGAACTGTAATTGTAAATCGACCATTCGAATCTCGCGAGAATTAACTTTTCGGACAAGTCTAGAGAGATTCTGCATAGTGGCGGCCATTGTAGATATGCTGGAAAGTCGAGGAAAATGAGTGGAAATATTTGGTTTACATGTAATTGCTTTGACATATATGCAAGTTAGAAAAAAAATGTTTTATCTTTCCATAAATGTATGATTTATAACTATCGTGCTTTTGTAAACTACATAAAATATTGCCTGAATGCCGACCCCTGCAGGGGTCGCTAGTATTTGGTGTTTTGATATGGGTAGGAATTCTGATTATCGTCCGCGAGAAAGACAAAAGTAACATCGCTTATAGACAGAACCCTTCGGACTACCTCTACTTTAGATCAAGCAAATCACGTAACGTAGGAAGCCAACCTTCACAGGTTTTATTATAATCAGAATTTCTTCAACTCCGAGCATGGCTTTCTACTTTACAAAACACATGTAATATAAATAAATGATAGATTGACGTCTGCACCTCGTTTACTTCGTATTTGTTATAGACAGGTAATTAGGCTACATATTCTTGAGAACATTTGGGTTTGTTTGTGTAGTCATCGCTCCAAACGATAACTTGTCAAGTTTTCCGGTTTTGTTTCTGCATTAAGCTATACTTTCCATTTTCATTACAAGATGTCGCGTTAGTGTATATGTTTTGGGTGACAGCAAATACTTATTCTCTAAATCCAGCAATTAAGCTTGCAGTAAATCCGTTTGAAAGGAAAACAAATTTTAACTCCCTAATGATACTTTCTTTAATGTCATGAACTGCTGGAGTACATGCCAGTGTTGTCTTGTGTAACTCACCTGCGAGTGGAAGAGCTAGTGTATATGAGGCGGAAACAGTGCCGCCATCTTTGTCTAATCAAAGCTTGGTCAAATGGGCCGGAAGATATGGGCGTGTGTACCCACAGACAGGGATTATCCAGCTACAATCACGTCACGTGGAAAAAAACGTATTAACAGTTATATGTAGAGATATACGTAACACAGAGATCCAAGTTAAACTGTTTATTATGAGTTTTTCCTTTTCACCATTTTTTTCTCTAAAATTCGCTGAATTATTCGCCAATATTTCTACAAATCATAATATAGCTTTTCAGTTTCAAAGGTCAAAGGTCATGGTCTCTTGCACCATAAATTGAAAATTAGTATTTTTCGCAATAACTTTAGTTCTCTTTGGCCGATCAACCTCAAATTTCATGCAGAGCTTTCTTACCAAAGGGGCTTGCATGGGATTGTTTTTCAGGTCAAAATCAAAGGTCAAGATCATTGTAGCTGTGAAATAAAATTGCTTCTTTACCAAGGGGGCTTGTTTGGGATTGCTTTTCAGGTCGATTGTCCGTGTTCCTGTCGTATTTGAGACAAAATAAATTATGTAAATGGAATAAATACAACAAATATTTATGACTATTGCTCCATAAAACTCATCCCCAGAAACCTAGCTGGGCAGGCAACACATCCACTTCTGTGGAATTCTTGTTTTAATGTTGAACTAACAAATCCCGTCGTCTTGATATTAAAGTTATTAAGGTTTTTGTTGACACACGATTTGTTAAACAAACATTGATTTCATCCACAGTATCTTAATGTTCTCATTTATTTCCATTGTGCACCCGGTGATAAAAGTGTGTAGGTGCCTTACAAGTTTATGTTATTTAACTCATCGTTTACTATTCTCCCTCGCAATAAAGTTGTAACTTCTATGAGAATTACATGACTGGACTGAAACTATGAAAATATTTCGTTGTAATCTAGTATTGGGTCTATAACTGAACACAGGGGAGTGTTACCGGGTAACATGTGTCCGAAGATAAAGGTAACAGTTACCAAAAATTTGTGGTATATGAGACGTGAAGTTGTAAAAATTACACTCTATCCGAGAAAAATAGTGGTAGATTTTGTCTGGAGTATATAGCGGTATCTCAATGACATGCGCTAAAGCATCAACGATAACATCATTAGAGGTTTATTCGTCGTCCTAACAGCTATAGCCACGATGAGAAGGTCTTGCCAATTAAAGGCAAACAGGCAAAGTAGTTAGAGAGATGGGCAAAGATTAATACAGTAAACATCTTAAATGGTACAACACATTTATAGCGTGTTCGTGTCCTCTAGCTTGACATGTATCGTTTTAGTTAGTTTATAATGCGTTTTGATTGGCTTTCATCGATACTTGTCTTTGCAGGTAAAAAGGAGATAAATTCTGTGTTCCGATCATGCAGCACCAACTGGGGTAATCAGTGTTATGATGATAACACGTACATCACGTGCAGAGGTTCATGCAAGGGAGAATATTGTAACAACAGCACTGTGACAGAAAAGAATCGCTTTGACGATTTGTGTGATGAGTTGTCCTGTGAAAAATCGGGTTCGTTGTCTAATCGCGTCACAATAGTGCCAGGTGTAATATGGCTGCTGATTTTCGTTTATATCTAAATCGTCTGATTCAGACTTATTTGGAACGTTTAATTTGATTACAAGACGCTGTACATTTTAAATTTCACAACAACTACCGATTTGTTTAAGCTTTGAAAGGTTTACTACAACTTGTGAACTATTTGTATCGCTATTAAGTGTGTACTTGTACTATATCTATTGATTATCTTATTTAATGATCTTCGTTTTAAAATGTTGGTATTCAATAAAGTCATCAGAAAAGCTTAGTCGTTGTTATGGTTTTATGGTGATTGAAGAACTCAAAGTGAGCGTGACGTAACCGCGCTAAATTTAAAGACATATGTCTATTGTAACACAGAAATCGTGGACATGAGAAATTGTTCCAATGTGAGTGATCATGGAACTACCCTGATCCATTCTTAAGGTTTTGACGAGTTCGGTCAATACGGGGTAAAACCTTCTGTGGTGTATGGTCACTCTAACTCTCCCAAAACCTGTCAAAACCTTATAAACAGATCACAGTAATTCTTCTCGTGTCCCCGTGGTCGCGGACACTTGTCAGTAATGGAGGGAGATTCTGTTGTGAATGAGTTTAATATTCATATCAAATAACGTTAGAGAATCATTACATGACGGTAAAGAAATGCGTATAGTATTGTATTATAGAACTAATACGTTTGACAGTGTTTGGCATCGGGATAACTACATAATCTCAAATTGGAGGGGACATCATTTCCTAGAATCTCATTAAACGGTTTTATCTATCTAATGAATAAAAGGAGAGGAAACAAGGGGTAGTATTGGGGTTGAGGGTAGGATGGGTTAGGGTGGAGTTGGGGGTGAAAACGTCAGATTTTTAACATCAGGTGTTCCACAATAATTAATATCTGGGCCTCTAATGATATAAATATTGATATCAGTTTTTGCCGTTGGCACAAGCTTCTTATCATAGTAAGTGATCAATATGCAGCTAGAATTTTAACAAATAACGATTTAGATACAAGATTTTGTCATACCAAAACCGAGAGTTTACTCGTAAAACTGTGAAGCCAGCATTAATAGTGATATTATTTCTGATATATCTAGTCAGAAACATTTGCAATTCGGTTTTCATCAATTTTTTTGTGTGAAATTCACAAAAATCATTCTTTAGAGTCTGCTGTGATACATCTCTATGTAATGAGGAAATGTATATTCAACCTTGGTAGAAACTCTTTACATTAGTATGCATTTATCAGCCATGTCCTAGAATACACAGACATAACTTGGGATAATATTCCCAACTATCTAAGTAATAAAATAGGAAGTCGTGATACATATATTTAGAATCGGCAAGAATCGTTATAGGGGTCATTGATTAGTTAGTAATGCACTGTTACATAGAGAAAATTAGCAGAACTCTTCACAAAATTGTAAACAACAATTCTCCTTCATGTTTAACTGGTTTAGTATACCTTCCGAGAACCACATCGTATTCAATACCTGAAAATCTTTGTAACCTTCATCAATCCTCACACAGCACAAATATAAACCAGGAATCTTTGTTACCTTCATCAATCCTCAAACAGCACATATCTAAACCAGTAATCTTTGTTACCTTCATCAATCCTCAAACAGCACATATCTAAACCAGTAATCTTTGTAACCTTCACCAATCCTCAAACAGCACATATCTAAACCAGTAATCTTTGTAACCTTCATCAATCCTCAAACAGCACATATCTAAACCAGTAATCTTTGTTACCTTCATCAATCCTCAAACAGCACATATCTAAACCAGTAATCTTTGTTACCTTCATCAATCCTCAAACAGCACAATTCTAAACCGGGAATCTTTGTTACCTTTATCAATCCTCAAACTAAACCAGTAATCTTTGTAACCTTCATCAATCCTCAAACAGCACATATCTAAACCGGGAATCTTTGTTACCTTAATTCGACTCCCAAATAATCTACCATCGGATTTAAATTACCATTCATCAGTTAAGATATGATAAGAAAATATCCGAAAAGCTCCAGGCTGTCGTTATGCTGGCTATCGCAAATCACAAACCCTATTCTTAATTCATACCGAATGACAGATCTCTGAACCAACACTAAAGTAATTAAGACTGGTTTTACTAGAGAAGACAATTGTCTTTTTTATTAACTTGTAAGGAATGTCCCAAGTAGAGATCAATTTATTTCTCATAATTGACCAAACAATGTATTATGCTGACCCTCTTTTGTGATGTCATACAAGTCTGAATGTTACGGAAAACAACACATCTTTGTTGCAGTTCAAAGCTTTATTATTAACAGTAAACGGCTTTAATAATAATGTATATATTTTTTCAAGCGCTGCTGAGGTTATGGTATACCTATTGTTCGTCCAAAATGATTAATGATATTTCTACTATTCTATATTATTCACTGATATCTTCTACTCGTCAATAGTTTGTGTAAGTAAAGCGCGAAATTAATATAAGCTTTTAATTTAGCTTGTTTTCCATTTTACTGATGATGCTAATTTTAGATTTCAGAATAACAAATGTGAAGTTGACATGAGAATATCATTTAAGGGACGGATTTAAAAAAAAAAATTAGAGTCAGCATTGTATGGTGGACCCCATGTAAAACAACATGGAAACTACGGATACCTTTTCACTGTAGTAATGCGGGTCAAAGGGGAAATGTAGAGCATACAAAAATATGACAGAAATGTCAGAGTTTGTGTGTAAGGGGAGATAACGCCTATTCCCCCATATGCTTAATCTTACTATTCATTTGTCTTTGCTAAAAAAACATCTATCATACAAACAAATCAGTCTTGACACACAGACTAACATATTATGTCTTTGATACAGAACTGTTGATTTTTCGTACAAAACATTACACATCATTAATCTAGAGCATTCAATATTTTCAAATTCTGTATCATAATGTTTATAAACATTATATGTCCTCTCCGGACGTTATGTGGGGATGTAGCTCAGTGGTAGAGCGTTCGCTTCGCATGTGAAAGGCCCGGGGTTCAATCCCCCGCATCTCCAAGTTTTTGTTTTTCATTTTTTTCCTTATCTAGATATTGGAATTGTGATTTGCACATATTCCCAACATTTCCAGAAATTGTACCGGTGCAATTATCTTTTAAATAATTTTTTGAATTATGATTGATAAGATTCCATATTTCATAGTGATATTACAAAGCTGATCTTTGTGATTTAATTTGAGACACTTCAAGTAACATGCTTTTGATACTTAGAAAATATTCAAGAAAACCTAAGTAATTACTAATATTTCTCTTCACATACATCTTCATATGCTATAAATATGCACTTAAGTACTGATGTAATACTCAATATACCAACAGTAAATACATTCAAGAATGCCTTTTTTAAAAAAAGATTGAAAATAAAATTCAAATAGTTTTAATAGTTCTAGTCAGAGTGATACCCTTGTACACTGTTAAAACAAAAGCAGATATGCTCCAGACTCTTGCTTTTCACTAAATTTTAGGAATTCTTACTATTCAAGTTCACTACTTTTTAAATATATTCCAGATAATTGTCATTTCACCACATTCAGTAAATGTCCTAAACACTGGATGCTGTCAATACATGTTAACACATCCCCTGGCCCAAACAGACTTTAAGAGAACAGAATTACAGCAGATTTGGTGAATTAAGGGAACAGAATTACTATAGATACCTTTATCTTGATCTTTTCATTCTTACCTTTCATTTTTGATAGACCAAAATCTTACAAAGTGTGAAAGTGTTAATCTGTCAAAGGCTTCATGAAATATCATTGGCACAGACAGATAAAAGGTGAATACTATTTAACAAATTGATGCCATGAGCTGGATGCAAAGTTCAAGTTTTTTAATTTGTTGCAATTGGTTTTTTCAATAATGCTGATCCTATGATCAAATCAGAGAGATGTGTATTGTATTCACTATTCTTTCAGGACGTTTAATTATATTAACATTCAATTTTAAAGAGATATTCCACACAAGTTAGGATTTCCTAGGATAGTTTTGAAGAAAACTGTACAAAATCATCTATTTATGGAAATTGTAAACCTCAATTTATGATTTAAACATAATTTGCTGAAATTCTGTATTGATCTAGCTAGATCCATTTACAAATGTTCGTGCTGCCCCGATTGCATTGTTCTGCAAAGTATGTTTGTGTAAATCCTAAAATATATCGATAGAAAATAAGCCTTAGTAACAAAATTGTAATCCCTGCAGAATTATTTTAATTACACACCCGTGTATTTATCCAATACTCTGAATAAAATTTATATCTATTGACCTTCAGTTCCACATTTCCGCATGCACTATATTACAGAAATTTGGCTGAAAGTATTCCTACCAATTTCGCCAGTCCAAACTGACTAAAGTCATTAGAAGAAGTTTTTTAAAGGTACAAAACAGCCGAAATTTTGCAACTTGGACAGAATATCCCTTTAAAAGATGCCAATAAATTTCAACTTACTTGATGCGCAGGTTCAGTTTGAAACCAAACAGGTTTACTTCGCAATTAATACATTTTAAAAAAAACAACAAAAACTTCAAGCTGAGATAAATCCAATCAGTAGTTTATTTGCGAGAAATACAGCTAGATTCATGTCACTCTGGACTTTCTGATTTAAAACTGACAGTATTGTACTCTATTCAACAATCACAGTCCATTGTTTGTAACACCAGAAAGAAGGCATCTCCTTTCCACCTGTACATGTCAGCTATTTACTTCGGTGTTTTTCTGTATTCATCAATCACAGACATTGGTTTACAACATCAGACTGAAGGCATTTCCTTTCCACCTTACCGAAGACAGCATATCCTTGTCTTACCACCTCCTACAATGCAGAGTGTATACAAAAGCTATTAGTTTCTCATTAAAAAGTATACAATGTGCTTGGAAAGAATCAACAAAACAGCATAATCATAAAGCTGGGTGAAAACTCTCAAAAAACAATTTCTTTTGACCAAATTAATATAACCTTTGGGATAGACCCCCCCCCCACCCCCCATCACTCCAAGGTTAAGTTTACTGCCTATGACTTAGAAGCTAATTGTTGATTAACTCTACCAAACCTGTGGTAATGGGGTGGGATATATATTTTCAAGGAATACAACAGCCTTTATCCATCAAAACATACCCACATCCGTCTATAAGTAGATGACTTACATGGTAAATAAATCAAGTATCTAATGTGATCTGCTGACATAGCTAGAGCAACACCAAAACATGACTCATAGAATACAAAGTCATCTGTAAAGATAAAACAGAAACAAATGTTAAAATTCTGGTTAAATGGACAGAAACACAACATGCAAAACCTAGAATTTTATCTCCGTAAAATTCAGATTACATTCTAAATACACACTGGGAAGTCTGCATGAATTTTTGTCATTAAGACATAGAAGGTGGTGACAGTTTAATATATGAAGATCGATGTCATATTTTTATAAAGGCAAAATACTGATATTAAAATGAATGGTGTCTGATCCATTTTCTTTGTAATTTACACAAGAATACTCACAACTTCACACTTTGATAGTATACTGTAGACAGTCCTGGCTTTCTCCACTTAATAGCGTAGTAGAGAGCTATCCACTAGGTTTGGTAACCAGCTGTGCACCAGGTAATTCACATCAAAGTCCAAGCCTGTGTCTTCCACAGAACTCTTGTGGTTTGAATTTCCATTCTATAATAAAGCATGACTTTCAAGTAAATCACAAGGAATGGAAAATCTCAGTTCCATTAGTATACACATCTGGTTCAGATTCTAATGATTAATTTCTCATTTTCCATTGAAGTCAAGACATTACTGTAATTTTGTGAAATAAACAGTTGCATTACAGGCATCAATGTTTGAAGACGTACGATTCCTAATGAAATAATACTTTTTTAACAACTGTATTGTAAGTTAGCTTTGAACAAATATAACATCCTTCAAAACATATCATCATTAATAATTGTCGCTATTTTAAAGAGAATAAAATTTCTGCTACTAAATATTATCGTTTTATTTTATATTCAGCATCCTACTGAATGTAATGAATCCATCAGTCACATGTACATTTTGTCGTGTGGTCAGAGTAGTTTGCTTTTTACTAGGTTGCCAAAATTTTTTCATGATTACTTCAGGAATATTTTTGTACATATTAACTCCCCTTTTCTGCCCTTCAAATATTTTAGTGATGACCCCATTTTCTCCCCCACAATACAAACAAAGTAACTTAAACAAGACCTACCTTACCTTACATATGGAGCATGGAGTTCTAAGCTACCTACCAAGATGTGGCCATTATAGATCTTCGTAGTAACCTGCCAGTATCCTCTATGTATCGTCATATTCAATACTGCTATACACAAGATCTGTAGTGTTATTCCCAGTAACGATGTTACCCTCACAGTACCAGAAGCCTATGTATCCTCATACATTGACATACATTACATCAATATGAACATTTATCAAGACATTATCCCCAGTATGATTTAATCTACACATGCAAGCTACATATATGTCCATTCATCAATCAGAAAATCACCTTTACAATATCAAGGCATTGTTCTAAAGGACATACTATTATAAGATAACTTAAATAGCCCTAGTTTCCATCCCCAAACTTTTATCATCATTTGAACAAAACTGCGTAATTATGATATCGACAAGTTAAAGATGGTCCAGAAGTTACTTCAATGTTTTTATTTTTCTAACTTCAATTTCAAAATTTGACTGAATTCATTAGTGACAGTAGTTAAATACCCATAACATGTACCACATAATAAAACATCCTCACAAGCCTCTTTTTTTTTAATTTATTAGTTTAAACATTATGCACTGAAGAAAATTAATCTGCTAGGTGCAACTATAAATTTTGTATATTGTACTGTCATAGAACGAAAGCACTTGATATTCCAAAGGAAATGACACTTAACCCACCCAAGACATCCAACAAAACATCTATACCATTATGTCTTGAAATTCGATTTTGTAGCATGAAGAAAGACAGAAAGGTTGAAGAGATTACAAATTAAAATAAAATCAAATCTTCAAAGAAATCCAACTAAAAAAATATGTTATAATGAGTCTGATGAAGACCGCTTTAGCTTATTTATCCAAGCCCATCCCAGTCCGTCATGACTGTATATCACATAAATAACATCACACAAGGGGAAGGTACTACATGAACTTTCAAAAGAAATCTGAATATTGTGAAAAAGATTGTAATATGCTTGTTTGCTCACAAATAACAATTATTTCAGACACACAAATGCCAAAAACACACGATTTATGTTTACAAAAGAATAAGAACTTTTGAAACTAATTGAACAGGAGTCAGCAAACAACATGTGATTAACCATTTTTTAATACTTATGAAAGTCCAGGTTGGGAATACATCCAAGAATAATCTATGGGCATAAAGCAAATTTGCCAAATTTGCAAGGTAATTGTTCTTTTCAAATAATAAATTGCCTAGAATGACAGGCCATGATAATGTCACCACACAAAATATTCTGTTTCAATCCCAATTGTGGTATATTAGCAATTTTGGCACTAGGAGCTCTAGCCCTGAGACACTTGCTAGTAAGATATAGTACAGAATTGATATGAAGAACAAGAACTAACGAATATCCTAAACATTTTATTCCTCGATCTTTCCTGCTAGAGGAGCCATTACATTAAAACGACAACACGCATTTATGATAAAATAATGGTACAACATAGACAATGGGAAAAATATATATAAAAAGTAGAGATTTTATTCCTCTACAAGAATGAAATACACTGACGAAGAATTAATTGAGTGAAGAGCAGGTGTAATCCTCAGCCTGGTCTATTTAAAAGCAGTTTTATTTTCTGATGGATAACACAATTATCAGCTTACAGCAGGGACTCCACAGTAGAAACACAAGTAATCCTGGGTTCAATCCATAAGTAGTCTGTGTGATATGGAGCTCTACCTTAAGGTAACTCTATGACCGTGGGACACTTCTGTTCATAGCTTCATAGCGATTTGAATGGGTCACTACAGCACTAAGCTGTTCAGGGTTTGTAACAATACAGCTTCATACACATCATAGGATTGATATGGCAGACATGGTCCTATGCTAGGGGATGCTGCTCACAGGGCCATACAAATCCATTTAAGTTTATGCCTCACTGATATTAATTGAGGGTAATAATGTGTAAACTAGTCCACTATATGTTAAGACCCGAAGTAGGCGGTTACTTATGTACATCCAGTAGTTGGCACAATGCTGTAGTGAGCTGACCATAACCTACTACTTTAGGCTAGCTCTAAGCTATGTATGATTTCCTGAGAATCTGCCTGCCTGTATTACTTCTGCTGGTACTATTGCTTTCTCTATAACTGCCTAAATGTAATCAACAAGAAAAACAGAGTAATAAAGTAAATGTGATCCAATACACATACAATACCATTCAGTGATTTTTAAACACACCCTATCGTCTTGGTATGTTTCCCTTTTACTAAGAGAATACAGAGTAACATCCCATCATAATAGCATTTAAAGCAAATCAAATATCCCCGAGTCTTTTTGTTCTGATAGAGAAACACCCAATTTATTTAACCTTTCCATATTGAAAATATTCATTAGAGTAACATTAAAGAATGTAACTTGAGAAACCTACATTGATGGCACTTTGACCTGTAATGGTTGAAGTAGATAGTCCCTGTTGTAGCATAACCCGTGTCTACCTATTATCCAGCACTTACCTGAGGAGTACACCTGTTGATGATTTCTGGATGACTTCATCGTCGGTTGTATCCACCACCACTGTTGTTGTATCCACCTGCTATAGTATAAATATAGAATATAGAATAATATAACACATTCAAAGCTCTCTATAATTCATAAATGTCTTATCCTCTTCCAAATTTCCCAAATGTTTTAATTTCTGTCTTTAACATCATTCACTGGGTTTTATGCTCTAAATAAACCTCTATAAACTAAAACTTCACTATGAAATGAATATGATATTGTTCTCTTTTTATTATCTTAAGAGTTTTTTGGGGAAAAAAAACCCAACTCAACTGAAGAACCATCATAAATTAATATGAATGATATAGCTTCATAGCCTTATTGTGCATAGGAGCATATTGCAAATTAACACAGGTGCCTTTATATATTAGTGAACCACATGGGACAAATGATAAACTGAGTCATACAATAAAACAACCTTACATGTCTGATATCTGAAAGTCACTTAGTGGCCATATTATGAAATATGTTTTGTCCAAGCAACACTCAGTATTTACTGACAGTATTAAATATTCAGAAGAATCTACATCTTAATTCTGACATCAACATGTGAAAGCATTTTTCCGCTGATGTCTTGACAAATCAGAATTTTCAGAATTTGTTCCAGTATTGGTCAACATTATGATTGAAATACTTGAAGCTTTGTATAAAATCCATATTTATCAAAGTCAAAAATCTTTTAATTCATTGTGACCATGTACCCAGATCTTCCATCAAGGTTTTGCACCAACAGTAACAGATTATTTTCAGTTCACATTTCATTACCACTCAAAATACAATATTAAAACTTAAGTTCAGTTTATTTGAACCACTGGATGGAGGAGAAAACAATAAAAAATTTAAGAAAACATTTTAAAAATTTTGTTAAAATCATCAACAAAGTAAACTTAAAGGACATAAACTTGTGCTAAATGAGGAAACACCATATCACTGAATCTACCCATATCCAATAGGAGAAAATACAGAATATCTATGCTATTAAACACAAATCATTAACCAGGATAGGACGAAGCATTATCAGAATTAATTAAGACAAGTTCTTACATCCATAGGGTCCCTGTCCACGGTTAGAGTAACTGTTCTTCATGGCGCCACCTCCATAATTATCTCCATAATTCTGCCCAAAATTACCACCATAGTTGTTGCCGCCTAACAATTAGAAACATTTAGATAACAAGATCAGTAACAATCAGAAACAATGCGTAAACAAGATCCATAGCACAAATAATTGGTTAAAAAAATCAGCAACACTCATAAAATCAACAAAGAACTGTCAATAACGTTTAAAAATTCTGTAGTCACCTGATAAACGTATAGTGTAGGACTATCAATACATGAAGAGTTGAAAACTGAACGATCAAGTACAAAGTATTTCATGTGACAAACAATTAAGTGGAATTGTAATCTATTAACAATAATCTCTCCAAACACAACATTACTAAAACATGGGAAAACACTGCACACATGTATATTCACTCCTCATTTTTTCCTTCATTTGGGAAAAATAACACTGCTTAGCTAAAGACAAAATACTCACTGTTGAGATAATCAAGAAAAACACAAAGAAAAAATATTGTTATAACTGGTCAAGTTCAACTTGCTATTTTCCCATTTTTTGATGATTATTATAAATAAACAAGAGGAAAAACCAAGCAACAACTAGTTACTACACAGATGCAATGAGAAGCAGTTTTATGAGAGGACCTCCAAATCAATAGCCAATAACTCTGAAAATGAAGGTAATGAAGATTTATCGATGAAGCAGTAGTTCAATACTAAAATTAAGGCAGTAAATCTGATGTGAATGAAGGTATGAGCTTTACAGTCACTGGTGTAGGTCACCACAATGATACAAATACTTTGATGGAAAATGCACATACTGGCAAATATGGATATATACAAAGCTAACAGTATTTCACCTTGGTTACCATATCCGCCACCGTAGTTGTCATAGCCACCACCACCACTGTTGTTCTGGTTCCATCCACCCCCTCCTCCTTGGTTACCGTAGTTGTTTCCATATCCACCACCACCACCTTGGTTTCCATAATTGTTTCCAAAGTTTCCTACCAAGAGTAAATATTTGTAAACATGAATGACTCAACTGAATCTTCCAAATTTAATTATCATATTTCATAGCGCAGAAATTCTATATCAATTCATTACATAGATTCACATTTATCGAGACATTACACATAAATTATCAATATTTTTCAAAAGCAAACTGACAATATTTCTTATTTTTACATCCTAATTACCACAATTGAAATCACAAACGAATAAACAAAATGTCAAGCACTGTTACAGATATATTAACATCTGCAAAAGTTTTAACATCGGTAAAATCTGATAAAGTATAAACATATGAAAAAAAGTAAGTCAAAATTTTGAAAGGTTAATACAGATGTAATTGGTGTGAACAAAACAAATGTGTGCTTCCATATACATAGTGCAGTGAATTCCTTACTGAGAATTTAAATGTAGTGAAAGTTTCCTGTAAAAAATATTGCTTGGGGGAGGGGCAAAATGTACACTTACCTTGATTGTAACCACCCTGGTTGTAGCCACCTTGGTTCCAATCATTAAATCCACGACCTTTTCAAGTAGAAACCTCAAATGAATTCATATTCAACTTGACTTAATTCACTGTATGAAACTGTTTAATCTTTCAACTGTGATATTGCTAGCCTGAGGACAAGACTAGGGTCAACTATATATGGATGGTTATTACTTTGTTGGAATCCTTTAAAACAAAACCGAAACAAGTATTACTTGTGCCCAGAAATTTGAATGCACCTAAAGTGTTCTCTTCCCTGAAATAAGTACTGAAAAATTACAAATGATTGAAAATGTAGACTGTACCTCCTCCACCTCTTCCTCCCCTTCCCCCTCCTCGTCCTCCACGACCACCGGAGTCTCCTCCTCGTTGATTTTCCTTGGCAATAGCCTTCTTGACTTCAACATCCTTTCCATTTAGGTTAAAGAACTTCTTCACTGTAATTGAAACATTTTCAAAAATTTCAATTGCCATACAAAAAGAATTGTCAAATATAACAATTCTGGTAGCAAATTGTCAAATTGATATAGAGGGAGGCTCTAAACAATTGCAGTTAGAAAATAATTCTCAAGAAATAACAATAACACACTTTCAACGTTCAAATCCAAGACGGCTGGAGATCAGGGACCAAGGAGAACCTTCATATCAAAATTTGAGAAAATGATCATCCAGATCTCATAAAGAAATGGTAAACAAACTCTACAAATCAAAATCAAAGATGTCTGCCTTTTGATCATGTTGATCTACTAATCATTCCCAAAATCATTTGGGGCTGCAGCATCCTCCATTCTCCAGGGATTGTAATAACTTTTGCTCTCTGCACCCATTGAACCTATCATGGCCATATTGAAGGTTCCATATGCATCACCTTGTGAACACGATGAAAATACAAGTTTGATCTCTTGATGTAAATCATATGAATCTCAAAGTTGCAAAATGGTATATTGTAATGGCTTTGAAGTTGGGTGTCGCTCCTTTGTAATCTTCAAAAGGAGCGCAACAGCATGTAATGAAACTGGTAAAAAACGGAATTCATAAAATCTGAAACCAAATTGGTGCAAATTCGAAACGGAAAATCATTGGCCCTACCTATGTGGGGCATTAGCCAGTAACTGGCTGCAGGTCATTGGTTTTTCTCTGGGAACTTTGGCTTTCCTTAACCAACCAAACCTGCCACATCCTTAAATGACCATGGCTGTTAATAGGACGTAAAGCAACAATAAACTAATCCACCCAAAATGAAATGGGCAAAACTAAGGACAAACAGGAAACTATATGTGAAATTTGGTAGGGGCCCATTTTGTACTTCTAGAAAAAGCGAAAAAAATCTTAATTGTAAAAATCCAAGATGGCCACCTGTGTTTCTGATCGAACCCAAATTGTTTCTGATCAGAACAAAAATCAAATGGGCAAAAGTATGTCCAATGGGAATCTACACATGAAATTTTGGAAAGATCCATCCAGTACTTCTCAAAGTATAGCAATTACAAATATTGTTTACAGATGGACCACAGACATAGGGCGATTTGAACAGTCCTCCATCATCAGATGGTGTGGTGATAAATAAAAATTGATTAAAAGTTTAGAGAAATTTACTTCTTGGGGACAATTAATACCTTGTAAACTGATCTACTTAAAAGGACTAAATTTAATGTCTATAAAGTATGATATGAAATGATTACATCGAGAAAATTGCAGTTATCAAGACCATCTCTTTTCCTCGCATATACCCCAATCTGGAATATTTTAAAATACAAAGTGTCTAATTTTAAACTCTGATGTCTTCAAAGCTTAGCCCTATACTTACAAACACATTTGTCAACAGAATCAGTATCAAGAAACTCGACAAAGCCAAATCCTTTCACTTTGTTGTTTTCCTTGTCACGAATAAGATCCACACGCTCAATGTTTCCATAAGAAGCAAAGATTTCCCTAACTTGTTCTTCAACGGTGTCATCCTTCAAACCACCAATGAACATCTTCTTTGTTGATTCCTGAGGCTCATTGAACTGCCAGATAAATTATGCTAAATCATCTAACAGCAATATACAGATAAGCGTATCAAGATGCTTAAGACAGATTTTAGTGATTCCCCTGCACAACCTATTGTATTTGGAATAATATTTCAACACAACTGAATGAGAAGAAGAAACGCAATTCTTGATTGTAAAATTCTTTGGGAAATGCTCAATTATAATTTGTAGGAGATTAAATAACACAGATACAATAATGTAAGGCTCAATAAAAGATTTAGTCAAAATTACACATTTTGCAACAAGCAGTCAGAGCTTTAGTTTTTTCAAAAAAAAAAAAGAAAAGATTTTTCACTAATAAGAACATATTTGCAAAATGTTAATTTATTAAGCAGCATCATAGACACTGAAGCACTGATATTTTACAGAAACTTATTCCCTTCTTAATCGCCCTTACCTCTCTTGGCATTGCCCTTTTTGTCTCCACATCCCTATTGTTAATCTTGTGAGGTCGATTTTCTTGAGAGACATCTACCTCAGATGCATGCTTGTAAGTAATGAACCCAAAGCCTCTTGACCTGGAGTATTCAATTAATTTTTGTATTTTATCTAATTCTCATAAAAACAACATTAAAATAATTCATTATGAAGCATCTACATTGTATTACATTACATTAAGATCATATCATCACATACAATTTGGAAAATAAGCGAGAAACTAAATTTTGTAACTTGTTGAAGGCAATAATGCCAGAATTTCAAACTAGTTAGTGCTCATCTTGGTCATCAGGAAAACGCAATCTTTCAAAACTGTCTTGGGAACAAGGTCAGAAAAAAAAAAAACAAAAAACAAAAACAAAAAATTGTTGGAGTGTTAAAAAACAATCATAAAAGTTTCAGGATATAATTTTATTGGATTAGAATACCTTTTTGTATTAGGATCTTTCATTACAACACAGTCAGTGATCTCGCCCCACTGCCCAAAATGCTCTTTCAGGCCTTCCTCTGTAGTCTCGTAGCTTAAACCGCCGATGAAGATCTTTCTGAATTGTTCAGCTTCTGGATCCGGTTCCGTACGAGGATATTGTTGACGTCTTTGTCCTCCTCTGCCATGGTTTTGGTACTGTTTCAAAAGTTTTCAAATGATTTATCCATTAAAGTATGGACTCGAGTATCCAAAATTTTGTATACAATTTTGTATGTCAAGTCAAATAAATACAGTAGGGTTATATAGGTAACAGGAGAACTATAAAAAAAAAAATCACATTCAGAAGAAATGCAACGGTATTGCTGCGTACCTAAAAGAACTCTTATTTTACAACAGTTCGGTTGAACAGTCTCGTCTGCCAATATGTAAATTTCTGCTACACAAAATCCTGTCATGTTTTATCAGTAACATTGTTTATACTTAATACTAGCTAAAATGTGATAAAGATGCATATTTCATGAAATTCAGAGACAGTCAAATGTAGGTAAAGAGTAGCTTCCTTTCTTCATCCCACACTGATGCATCTGCAGACTAAGTCTAAGGAAACCTCACCGGAATCAACATTTGGACACATAAAATAATTACTATATATAATGCACAACTGAGATGAGAGAGATCTATCAAAAACAAGCACTTGGTCTTCTACACTAACAGCAAATATGGGATATTTTAACATTTTTGTAGCTCATGCCTGCACAACTCCCTATTTATCTGAATTGGTTAACCCTTCAAGCTAGGGGAAAGAATATATTTTTGACCGTTTAACAGGAAACTGTGAATGTGAAAAAAAAATCACACCAAGCAGCTTTGGAAAACACTGATGATTAAAATGTCAAACAATAAAAGGTAAAACTAACTTGAATTGTCATCTATTACATTTATACATTTTATGCTGCATTCAAAAGGGCCAATATTTAGATGGGATTGAATGACCAAACATAATAATTGTATAAAACAATAAATCAATCTGGAATATAAAGTCGACATGTCCATATGAATGCTAGAATTAACTTGCATACATACTTACCATTTTGTGACTTTTTGGGTGGGGTTTCTCTCCTCACGATATTAAAACTGAAATAAAACATCACTTAATTAAAAACCAGTTATTTTCAGATTAAGTCTTTCAATACCTAATGATGTATCTCAATTACAAAAGAATTAATCCCTTTTGGTATTCCCTCTCAAGACTCACTTACTCCTGTCCTGATGTCTTGCACGAAAAATATGATTGCATGTGTTTCCATACAAGGAAATGCTACCTAAGACACTTTTCTTTTCAGAAATGCAACAACTCTCATGACACAAGCTATATATCCATTTTTACAAGACATGTTCTGTCAGCCCCCTGCACTTAACAAAGCATTTTGAATCATTCGCGAACGATGTCATATATCAAGATTTTCTACACATTTAGTGGTTATAGCCTGTTGTAATATCATTTTAAAGTCGGCGTGGCTATATTGTCCGGGTAGAAAACTTGTTACAGCTGCATTGACTTTAAAGGAAACTGCAACAACTTTTAAAAGGTTTGGACACAATCAGTAGATGTGCTGAATAGATAACCTGTTAGTGATGAGAAAAGAGGGTATAATAAAGAGGTGTACAAAATTAAAGTATAATATGTACCTTGATTAAAGATTTTAATGAAGCAAGGATAATACCTGTACTACTTGTAATTTCATGGTGGTACTCAAGGCAGGTTACCAGACAATGTTGAAACGGGCCATTGCTACTAAATGAGTAGAAAGCCTTGATCATGTGACATAGTTTGTGTTTCAAAATGGCTGGTCAACCAAAAATTGACTGACAGAACATTTTTTTGTAAAACATGATAATTCTGCATAATAGCTAGTGTCATGAGAATTGTTGCAATATGAATTAATCCCAAGGATGAATCTGAAAAGGGATTAAAAAAGGATGTGAAATTCCTCCTGATTGCATTAGAGGTAATAAAAACCAGAAACAAATCAATAATACAAGGGGTTTTCACAGAATTTTTACATTATCGATTCGTTTAAGATTTCACTTACTTCCAATGCAATCACAACTCAACTAATTATTGTCTTTCTCAGCGTTGCCTATGCTAGAAGCACTGTACAACTTCCATACAGCAAGACTGCGTAGCCGTCTTGAAGACAGCCTTGTCCAAGTTTGGATGCAAAAATTCCATGAATGAAGACATTAATCTTGGCTGACTGTGAGTAATAAATAAATTTTAAATACATGACAGATAGGCCTGTAGCGAGAACATTTCGCGTTTTTTTTTTTTTTTTTTAGAAAGAACGGGGTTTCCCCCGAGTGGGTAGGCCGTGACCTAGATAATTTTATCGAGAAGTTTATAAAATGTTATTGTGTGGTTTGTTGTTTTTAAGTACCGTTGAAATTGAGCCAATAGGTACATGTGGTAATGTTCTGATGTTCCACTGTTGTTTTTTCTTTCATCAGAACTCGTACCATGTAAAAACTAAGGAAAATTAGCAACGTACTCGTAATTCTGGTTCGGAATTTCTTGTCGAACACGCGTAATATTTCCGGAACTATGTGCATGGATCGACCATGATTAAGGCTTAAAACTAACTATTTTCTGCAACTTAAGTTTCGAATAATATCCATTAAGCAATGAGTTGTTCAGTGCATTGAACAGACCAATTTTAAGCGAGAAGTGGAAAATTGTGCAAACGCACTGTTCGTAAATTAAAGATGGCGTCCAATGGAATGACAAATACTGCCCTTGAAGGCACCTATTTTATCAATAATTTGCAGTAGCAACAATTGCAATCACATTAAAATAATTTTCTTCACAAACTTTTACATTGCTTAAAGCTTCCTCTTCACTCATTTACGTTATTTTCTCTCTATCTACAAACGGATATGCATTGTTTTGAACTTATCACCGTACCCTTTCTTCTTACTGTAATACAGCTGCTTGAAAAGAAATATCACGTGACTTCAATTAATATCGGTTTAATGTCAAATTAATAAACGATAACTGATAACTTCAACAAATGTATTATTTTTCACATTGAAATATATCATAATTCTATTAATCGATTTGATGGTCCGACAAAATAATCAATTAACACCTCCGATAAATGCCGGAATCTTTCCCGCGTAGACCTCGTTCCGGGAACACATCTTCGCACATGCGTAGTTGCAGAGCATCCATATTTCCCGGCACTTTGTTGTGCAGACTCAGAGGTAAATGTGTAGGTCCAAAAGGCTATAGATATTCAAATTTATCTTTGTTTTGTAACTTACAAAAGTAAAACTGCAACGTTCACTTTCAAGTGTAAGGCGAAGTTTGCACTGAATAATGATAACATTATAGAAAGATGTAATTGTAATCGTGCTCGATGTCAAAATGGCGCCTTCAATAACAATGAGGGATATTGCGGTATCTTCTAATATATTCACTTGAACCATTGTTTGTGCACGTGATTTAGGAATTACGATATTATAAACTTACCCTTTTTGTTTGATGTGGTAAATGTTCCAAGTACAGCTGTATATATTCGCATATTTTCACTCAAGTTAGTGATCTTTAGTATTTATCGGAGTACCACTTTCAAGCGCTGTCGGTCTAATGTTCATTGTTAAAAACATTTGACGTGAAGTTTCTTCTTGCGTGATTTGTTGATCAGATGTTTTTTGTCTGTAATGTGTTAACTTTGGATAATCTAGATCGCTTTTATCTTATTCATTATATAGTTTCCATACTTTGCAAATTGTAATCCTATACCCGCATTTTGCAGACAATTTGCCTTTTATTTAGACCCGTGCGAAATGACCATAACACGATTGTGTTATAAAAATCTTTATAATCATCAGAAGTTGGAGTATTATTGGCAAAGAGCTTTATTGCATTCTATGGCTCAACCATCAAATCTCTCTACTCCATGCATGGGCAAAGACTACAGGTAGTATTGTCTTCACTCAAATACTTGGGGATCACTCTTTAAAAATCTTTATAGATGTTTCCATCATTGCTGCAAAAGCAAATTGGACACTTGGTTTTATAAACAACACTGCTGCAAGGCTGAACTAGAAAGATAAAATCTTTTGTGTATTGACTTGTGCAGCTGAAACTTGTCTTTGCCATGGTAGGTACACTCCACTGGAAATTGTTGGGACATCATCAGATAAATTTCAAATTCATCACCATGTCCAAATCCAAACTCGGTCCATTACGTTTAATCACATAAACAGGGAATATGAAAGCAAAACTTAGATTTATTGAGTCATGAATATATATGCTGGCTACTGAATTTTTGAAGTATTGCACAAGTTTGGCAATTATCAGGCAATGGGTCAAGTAACTTGCCCATCTTCATTGTTAAGTTTAAATGTAAAATTTGCAATGTTTTATCTCTGTAAATCAGGTTGTATTTGGGATAAGAACATCCAGCAGGCTGGCGGACTTAAAGGAGAAGAGGCGTCCAGGACCAGGTGATGCTGGTGATGACGATGATGGCGAGGAAGAAGAGGAATACACTGTGGAGAAAGTTGTAGATGTCAGAATGAAATCTGGCAAGAGAGAGTACCTCCTCAAATGGAAAGGATATCCAGAGTAAGAACTATTCAGAGGGTTGTTGTGTTAGACATGTTGTTTCCAAGTACTTTCTGTATTGCTTTGGTAACATTTAAGTACCAACAGCACAAATGGTAATTGGAGGAGAGCATGATATTGCTGGCCTGGGAATTTTTTAACATGTTTGGATTTTGGATATTAGATTAAGCATTTGATTATATTGAAGTATCATGTCATCCTGAGATATCAATTTTGTAAGTTATCAAAATTATGAATTTATGATGTTCAGCATAATGTACGCTTGTATTTAGTACTCATGATTTTTTGTATTTAAGTCACCTGAGTAAGACTTTTTATGCTTCCCTTTTGAGGAGCATATAGTCACTGCTTTGTCAGACCTTTTGTTTGTCTATCATAAATTGTCTAGAGCATAACACAAAAACTAAAACAGGTGTCAACATAAAACTTCCTAGGAAGATAGATCTCAACAACAATTGCAATGCACAAGAACATCACACTCTTTTTTTGCATGATTTATAGGAAATATTGCCCTTTTGTTATTTTTCATACTTAATTTTGTCCAGAGCGTTACACTATATCACAATAACAGGTATCAACATGAAACTATACATGTACATAGATCTTAATGAGAGTGCTCAAGAACCATAACACTCTTTTGCATATTTAGGAGTTATTGCTTTTTGTTGCTTTTCATGATTATATTTTGTCCCATTTGTGGAGCATAACCTGTCTAACGGCCCTTGTTTTCAATGGTTTGATTTTTGATTTAAACATATTTTATTGTATCAGTTATATACAAGGGATTGGGCACAAGTTATCCAACTTCAATGGTTTGTGGTGGGGCATTTTTGGGGAGAAAATTAGTGCATTGGGAAGGATATTTCCATAAGTGAATAGTAAATTTCAAGAATTGATCTTAATATGAAATGATTTCATTTCAGAAAATGGTCAATTATCATCACATAGAAGCTCTTGGGGGTTGGGGAAACCTGCCTGAGACAAAGTCTCACGGCTTTGGTCTCTGGGTATCTTGTTTTTGGTGATTGCCTATTATCTGTTGTCATCCAGTGTGCGTTTTCCATCATAAATAGTTTTATTGAAATTTTGTGTAAAACACTGTGATTTATAGTTTTTGACTCAAGATCTTGATCTTCTTGTGGGTTTTGTTCAAATTTGGAGGGTGCATAATCTTAAAAATGTTAGTACCAGGTTAACAAAATTTTGGAAATGGAGTTCTTAAGTCATCTGAAAATAATCCTATTAAAAATTACTGAACCTGTCATAGTCAAAGGTGAACCTAAAATAGGATCAGATGGTCCCCAATCCCAAGGGGCCTAGTGTGCAGGGTCAAAATGACTCAAATTTCAAAATCATCCAAACACCTTGATATGGTAAAATTATGTACTCGGTGGATTGAGATAAGGTTACAAAAATATAACAAAAACCAAACAATAATCAATGCTACATCGCTATATATTTGATATTTTGATTGGAACTCGTCTAAACCTGAACAAGTTTTATGAAGAAAGCACAGACTGATTGATTGCTCATGCTAACCATGAACCCTGAAGAATATTCACCATTCTAAATAATGATTATTATGAAAACTAACAATATTTCTGTTGCCTCTGATTTCCATAAATAAATCATCTTGATTCATTTTATTTGTATAGATTTTAGATTGCATAGATTTTGTTTTAATTTTAAAAATCCTGACAGTGCTTCTTTTCCCCATAGGTAATAATTTGCATTGTTGCATACTTAAAATATTCCATGACACTAGAAATATATCTTCCTGTAGACTACATTTTACAACATAAAACAAAAATTGAAAATTGACAAATTGGATGTCATGTTTGATTATTTAAAGCACCTGATTGATTTTATGATCAATTTATCACTAAAAATCTTGAAAAGCAGCAATTTAATGAATTAATTCTTACATGAATTACTAAATTTGTAAATGTTTACTTAACCTTATATTTCCATTTAGGAAGTTGAAATGAAACTCTTATTCATAATGAGGTGGCCAGAAGGAAGGGCATGCAGGCATTTAGTAGCCTTAAAAGGATAGTAGTATGAAAATGAATTTCAGGCATTTTGAAAGTAGTGTATTTTAAGAAAATAAATCTGGTTTAAAGCTTTAATTGATTGATAGGTCTGTTTTTTTCAGTAGTTGACAATTTTTTTAAGATTTGATAGTACAAATTATATAGGATAAAAATTTATTGCTTCTCTGAACAGTTCTGAAAACACTTGGGAACCAGAAGAAAATCTTGACTGTCCAGACTTAATAGCAGATTATGAAGACAAAAGAAAGAAGAGGGAACAAGAAAAAAAGAGAAAAACAGCTAATGGAATGGAAGACGGAACAACAAAGAAGAAGAAAAAAGTTACTGAAGTAAAAACAACCGTAAGATTCTACGGCATAATACTATAATGATGTCATTATGGGGTTGTTTCTCTTCATATTTAATAGTTCACATGGCCTGATATTAATAGATTGGACTTGATTCCGAATAAAAAATTGGTCCTGTATTTAAAAAATCATGACTTTTTTTGGCAATCACCAGCAATCATTTGATTTTATAATAGTTGCCAAAGCTTGGTTTAAATCTTTTACCATAGTATATTTCATGAGGTCAGCTATTATTAACGATGATAGAAGTCGGGCATATATGCAACATCAGTTAAATGAAAAGTGAAGTGTTAATAACCTTCAAGGAAACAGTCTTTAGAACGAAATCAATATGATTTATATCAGAATCTTTGTAAAGGGGTTATGTTCGACCGTTCAAAAGTCTGCAGTAAAGTTGTTGTTTTTTGCATGTTTTTTTCATGTTTGAGCTTAAATCTGGAGAGTTTTTCAAGAATATTGGATTGATATTAAGACATTAAACTAGACTTCAATTTAACTGTATGAATATTTTTAACAATTAATGAAACTTGGTTTCTTTTTACAGAGAAATGCACCAACATTGAAAATAAGATGTACAGAATTTATAAAGTATATTTAATCTACGATTCATAGATTTGGACATTTTTCTTGAGTGGTGGGAGAGGACTACCAAAATCTTGGTTGTTTAATGGAGTACAATCACCTACTATTCCTTGGGATGGGTGGATTAAAAAAGAAAAAGAAATTCTATTATGACTCAGGGCTCTCGATCTGCCAGATTTGGGGCAGATATTCGGCCCCATTCCCAATGCAAAATAGTATATTTTTTCCCAATTTAGACCCCAAGTTTTTCCAATTCGAAGGAAAACACCATTATTTTTCCCAATTCTAAGGGCCCCAGGCCCCAGTCCCAAAATGGAAAATTTTGGATGCTTGTATTGGATTTTGATGTTTTGGCACATTTAATCAAACAGACAAATGTTATCTACTTCGTTGTTAAATGTATTTTTTTAATGAATTTTTTCACATTCCCAAAGTACCTTGCAAAACCTCTACTCAAAATAGTGGCCAGATATGTGATGGATATCCAAATTTTGTTGGGAATTAAAGCCAATCAGTCATTAAAGTACAACTTTGTTTCTTAAGAAATGTAATTGTATAAGACCCTTTAAAATCATTTAACTAGTGTCAGTTTCTTTAGTTAATTTTAAATTTCTTGATGTAAAATTTGTGTTGAAACAATTACTATCAATTATGTGAAGAGTTTATATAGCATCATGATTATGATTCAAGTACACTGCTGATTGTGATTATGGAAATAAAAGTTTGTGATAGACAGCACATTCTGTTGGATGTTTCCATTGTTATGATCTAAAGTTTACTGTATATTCATGCTCACTCTGCTATACATATAAAGTGATAAAACATTATTTTGTCTCAATGTCCTTTTAACAACATTGGTGATCAACTGGGTGTGTAGTCTTGCACTTAGCATAAATAACTAACACTTAAATGGTTTATAATCAGATGATAGTATTCATAATGTTAACTACCTATGATTGCTTTGGATAATGCATAAATTTATGAAATTTTTAGTTGTTTTTCTGTCCGTGAAACCTTCAATAAAAAATGAACATCCAGATACCGGAAATTTTGAGGATTTTCATTTAAAAAGTATTCATTAATGGATATATAAATATTTAAGCACAAGCGTGGCATGATCACAATAAATAGGCCTGTTTAGTTGGTTATGTCTTTTAAATTACCGATGTGATCTTGAATTTTTACAGGAAGAAGACAACAAACCCAGAGGATTTGACCGGGGACTGCAGCCAGAACGGATTATTGGTGCTACAGATAGTAGTGGGGAATTAATGTTTTTAATGAAATGGTAGGTACCTTACAGTGTCAAAAATACAGTATGTGTGATTAGCCTTAAAGAAAGATCATAGTAAAAAAATTTTGTTACTGATTTATTTACAAAAAAAATTCATCCATATCTTTATCATTGTATCACCTTGTTACTGATTGTTACTTCTGTGGCTGTCATCTCTGCCTGCCATCATGTGTTTGTGTTTACAGCAGAAACCACGTAGTTGTGTCGGTTAGATCTTTGCATACTCATTTTGTCAAAAAACGTCCCAAAAAAGTGCTTCTGTATCCTACATGACGTCTTGAGGAGTCACAGTAAACATTTCTTGTTCCTTTAAGAGGTCTTGAGATGTGAAACATGTTTGTTTATCTCATCAGTTTGGTATATGTATGTAGAAATTGGCTGACAAAATAATTCTTCTACAGATAATAAGTTTTTATACATAGAATTATGATGATAACCGTCTCATCTTTCAAGCGTATTCATTTATTTAAACAATAAAACATTTAGAAATCAGCTTGATTTTGCCAGGTTATTTAACAACAAAATGGCAAACTCTGAATCTACTTTAGATTTCTGAGGCATTGATAAGGAAAACATAATCAAACCATTATAATCAATTAAATATATGAAATTCAGTACAGCATATTGTTTAAATTAACAGGAATATATGTAACTTGTTCACACAATAAGAAAAAATGAGGTTATGATTGTGTGTTGAATTGCACTGGAGCAACAAGGGAAGCAAATGGACAGGCTACTTTCATTTTACTGAAGGTTTAGATAGTATCTCTGAGCAGATATTCAATAAAATCTATTCAGCTCATTTCAGTAAGCACTCAGCCATTTTACTCTGATATGCATCATGTGCAATGGACAGACCCAAAATTAACTTTTGGTAGCGACAACGAATTTCAGTGGTCACAGAAAAAGTTGATGTCACTTTCAACTTAATTTCATGTTCCTGGCAACACCGATTTTTCCCATTTATATTCCATGTATGGCAATATCTGATGGTATCACTTATTGCGTGGGCTTTATGACTACAAAAAAGAAAGCACAGGCAAATTATAGGTTAATGAGGAAAAGAACTTGGAATTCATGCATTCAGGCTTGTGTGACACAATTTGATGCATTATGTGAACATTGTCACAGTCCTATTTACAAACATTTCACTCCTCTCAAACTCCTTAACAATAGTTTAACCCTCTTTGAGTGTTCAGTCCAGCTATGTCCTGGAAAGTTTTCTGCATTTGTCTTTTTTTTTTTTGTTGATAATGGCCTTATACCATAATTAGAAGATTTAAACAATTATTAATAAATGGAAACAACTGAACAAATTATATTCAATACAAGATATTTGCCAAAATTAAGTTTTGAAGAAACTTTTGTTTGAGATTTCCAACCATTGTTTTCAATTTAAAAGACCTTCCCCCCCACCCACCCCCCTCTTATAAAAATTTTGGGTTTAAGTATTGATGTATTTGGTGATTAAGTGCTCGATTTTGTTTGGTTACATGATTTGACACTGATTAACTACCATTAAAATTTTACATTTCAACCAATATTTGTACATTTAGCGTAAAGCTGTTGCTAAAATAACGGGGCGTTTTATTTTTGTTTTATAGGAAAGACAGTGATGAAGCTGACTTAGTACCTGCAAGACAAGCAAATGTTAAATGTCCGCAGATTGTTATTGCATTTTATGAAGAGAGGCTCACCTGGCACACACACAATGATAATGAGGAAGACGAGAGTAAAGAAGAAAGTGCAAAATCATAAACTTTGGGTGATTAGGGGGTGGGGAGGGGAGGGGAGGGGACAGGAAGTTTGTATAACCTAGCCAGGTGGGAATCGCCTTTGCATGACTTATGCTGTTGAAAAACTAATTATTTAGAAAGTAGTACAGTGATCAAGCTGTTTAAATCTTCATTTTTCCTTTTTTTTTTTCTCCCCCTTTCAGATTTAGATAATGGGTAAGAAGTATTTTTATAATGAGTCTGAAACATGTTAACAAATAAGAAATGAAAATTTTGATATCAGTTATGTGATACCAGATTTCTCAAAAACAACTTTTTCCCTGTACATTTATATAGTTTTTGGTGACCACCCTATGCAGAGAATACCCACCAGGCTTGGTTGTAGTTCTGGGATGGTTGAATCATTTTAGAACTTGTTTTGTAACATTTCATGCTGCATCACTTTCCTTTTTTTTATCATTAAATTGTCTGTTCATTAATTGTCAAGTTACTTACTTGCAAGGGACTTGTTTCATTTGTCAATTTAGATCAATGTCGGCCGAACATGTAATGGATATTGTGTGTAGTCTTTACATATTCGATAAAATATTTCTTGACTGCCTGGCAGTGTTTAGATGCTGTAGTGAATTGGCCCTTCTTGCACTGCAGTGATGTTGGTCTTTTGATAAGCCTCCAAGTTTGGGGATTTGACAAATAATTGTGTATTTACCAGCTTACCTCTCACATTTGTTTCATCTTAAGTCCAGTTGATTGTTCTGTGCAAGAAGAGTCATTTGAATTGAACTCTTTGCTCTTTTCATTTGTAAATGCATTTTTTGCATTACAGTTTTGAGCAAATTGTTCATTTTGAAAAAATGTTTATGATGTATAATTATTCAATCTTTAGCTATCAAGTGTGCTTGTAAAGTATCTTAACTTTTCATTTGTCATACAAAATCCATTTTTGATGGGATTTCAATTTATTTTTTCTTATTTTACATCATGAAACCTTCTAAAATAGCTTCTTTTGAATTTTTTGGGGGACATTTAAACTTGAAATTTTAGGAAATTGAAATTACAGTTGAATTATGTTAACACTGATGCTGCATCATTCTATAGAAATCACATTGGGCTATATGTAAAATGAAGAAATCTTTCTAAAGAACTGTTGCTGGCATTGAAAGCAATCATGTTTTGTGCCATAGTTGTATACATGTATATAGGAATTTATTTGATTTTCTGTTTTTATTTCATTTTTAGATCTGTATGATGTCATTAAAAATGTGGAAAATTTCTTTTAGTTGTAAGGATTCATAAAGTGGAAAGTTAAATAAAACGTCATCTTAATTGTCAGATTGGTTCAGCATTCCATGGGATTAATTATCTTGGAGGACTGACTGTGATTTAGGCATGATTCAGACAACTATTTTGATTGCAGAAAAAATAAGTTGCAAATCGTTCATTTGTCTTGCTTGGTACTTTGCAACTCTATGTTGTCATTTTTTCATGCTGGAAAATGTAAAGACCTTTGAAAATAAATGGCTGTATCATATGCAAGATTTTATTGGCAAAAATGTAATCCGGTTAATGCTCTTGGGTGTTGCAGCTTATGAAATAAACTTCATTTCACATAATATTTTGGATAATGTTTGAAGTTATTTTATGATTTATTTGACACACAATGTTGATTGTTGGCGCAAAGTAGTATGAAGGTATGAAAAAATGTCCTTTATAATGTAAAGACATGGAAATATGCATTCAGATGTGTTGTCTTTATGTACATTGACTATATCAAAATAGCTGTAGTGAATTAACAGTGGTAATGTCCATTTATTGTATTGAGAATCTTTTGATAGTCATCTTACCATCCTTTACGTATAATTAAATTGAAGATACACAAGTTGGGCTTTCAAAGCCAGATTATTAGTACCCAAGTTTTGTCCTTTTTTTTTTCTTTTTTTTTTTAAGAGGAGGTGTGCTTGGCCATGTGGCATAGATTTTCTCATTTGCACCATCATGATCAATTTTGCTCGAAGGTAGATCAGTTTCTGGTCAAACTTCACAACTGATTTTAAAAAAGGAGGGAAAAAAAGCATAAAAACACCAAAGTTAGCAATCCATGTGTCCAAGCTTTTGAGCTGTAGCATTGTATTCAAATAGTGTACTATAAAGTTTGTGTGGAGAGATGTCTGATTTTCAAAAAGCACATTGTATAAATCATCAAGTAAGGTTTGGGCAGCTGAATCAAGCATTTTGTTCAAACAAGAACGGAACTCAATTTCATGTGATGTAGTAGTCATTTTATTGATGTTTTTTGAATAAAAATGTCATGCGATACGAAGTTTCTTTTGTCTGATTTCCTGTTTTGTGAAAAAAAGGCACTTACGACAGTTCAGTGAACAATTGTTTTTTTTTCAATTGTCATATCCAAAATTAAAAGGAAATATATGTAACAACAACAACAAAAAAGATTTTACTAGACACCAATTGTAATGCCAAAGTGTATTATTCTCTGCAAATGATGAGACCATATCGATTGTGATCATTAGCGTAGTAAAGCAGTATATGTTAGGAGAGATAACTCTTGAGTGACTATAAAGTATCTACTTCTGCTCTAAACAGCAGAAACCATTATCTGTATACTTCTAGAGATTTCTTGGGGTATTTTTGTACACCCTGCCATTTTGATGGGTTTCGGGGACATTATCCACGTCTTTAGAATCTTTAGACAGGTTTTACTCCAGCAGTTATAAAGTTCTTAATTTCATTATATTAAAATTTAAGGATCAAAGGTTGCATTTGAAAAAAATAATGATGCTTGTATGCATAGCATTGATGTCTTTTAAATAGTTTCTCATTATTTGTAGGACCATCAAAATATGTGATCATGAAATGAAAGAATTTTCAACATTTGTGTTTGCCAGAAAATAGGATTACCAGACATTTGATGTGAACACGTTCAAAAATTGAGCGCACCACATATTTGAGCATCCTGATTGACACATTGCCCTAATCACTGAACATTGATACTGGTCAAGTTCACTTTAAACACTGGTATTGTGCTGGTACCCTCCAATAAGTAAATGCAGATTCCATAACAAAATAAATAATAAAGACCTCTGTGACACCTACATGTCGGATACAATTGTATGTTGCCACACCTATTAGGGAAAAAAACAGTATTTTCCACATAAAATTTAAAAACAAATAGTATCTCATAATTTACTTTTGATTGTCCTCTTGTTTTTGGAACAATAGATGGTGCACTTGTCCAGTTATTGGAGTTATCATAATGTAAATTTTATTAAGTGAGACTGCTTAGGGCATTAAAATAGGAGGACTAAACATCCAAGGACAGAATTTATAGTCTACTTTCTTGATGTTAACTTGTTAATTTAGTGTTCAAATATGGAAGCAGACATACATTTGATTAACTAATCTACTTATGAGCCAAATATTTAAAAGCAATAAGATGGAATCAGAAAGGTGACTTTTTGTGTTGTTTTGATAAAGTTATACATGAAGTTTATAACTTTAAGTGGTAGCACTTCAAAATCCAAAGACTGACACATTAAAAAGTCTGTATAGGGATTTTAAGAAAATGCACCATATAACAATATTATCCTGTTCAGAATAGCGATGTAATAATATTGATATAAAATTCAGGTTATCTGGGCACAATAACATGAAGTATGAAAATGAGTAAAACATGTAGAATTTGCAAACTGTCTTGTTTTAGAAGGAAAACCTTTTATTCTAACACATAGCTATTTCAATGTATATCTACAATCTCAATCCAAGTTAACTTTTCTATTACTGCTCATTTATTATTACACAGTAACTGGAAGGCAAATACAACAAGCAAATAATGTACAATAACTTTTCTTTTTGGTACATTGCTAAGTACAGATTCAAACATTTAAAAATCGTCCAGTTGTATCCAATTAACACAAATTTGATGTTTTTGAAAAATTCGTGATAAATGTAATAGTCTTGCTAATCATCATGGAAGAAAACACGGACTAAAACATCAAGCAGTACGATCGTTGGTTAAAGCTCATTTGAAACTACACGCAAAGCTGTACGATTCAGGAAAGGTTATACTCTCATCGATTGAATACCTTAATTGGTCATTGTACACTACCATAATAACGACACCTAATTGTTTGACGCTGGTTAATTTAATTTTGACAGGTGCATCTGCCAATCACAACATTACCTTTTAAGGCGAGCCCACCTGAAGGGCGGTTTCTCGTTACACATCGTTTGAAAGGGCGCCAAGTTTTGTTTGCATTCTTTATCACGTTCAGCAAGAAGGTTCTACTTCGAAACGCATGCATATAGGGTGTTATTACGTAACATTCAGTTTCTATCGATCATTTTGTAGTTTACCCGAGCGAAATTATAATACCGTAAAAATATTTACTCAAAACGTATTCTCCTATTGCGTACAAGTGGGTTGTCTCAAAAGTCATTTTCCGAAGTTTGCATAGCTAACAGATACTTTCACTTCGTATGTAAGATGGCGTCGTAAACATCAAGAAAACCAACGCATAAGGTCATTATTATATTTCCGACACCTTAAGTCCCACGCAATTTTTGACAACTTACACTGTTTGCCTACAATGTAAATTATTTTGAGATAAATGATTGTGAATAACCCAATCAAATCGGTTGTTACAAATGATACAGCAATAATTTTGCACACGGCACTTCGAAAACCTTCACTTCCGTAAGCCAACCTTCGAACGGGCGGAGTGTGTTTCGGTGAGAATACAAACACAAGTGGATTCTTACATTTATTAGAGCAGTTTCGTTTTATAAATTTATTCCTTAGTTGGAAATTAACAAAGAGGCAACCATGAGCAAACAGTGTGCAAAGTGCACGAAAACCGTGTTTCCAGTGGAGGAACTGAAATGTTTGGACAAGGTAAGCTACTTCGGCTACCTGGACATTTAACGATGAAACTATCAATATTTGAGTAGTTGATGGATATAAACGAAAGAGTAGCATGCCATATTTTAGAAACATTGATACCGATGGAATTCGCGTATTTTGGATAATAATACCACGACAAGCATCGCATGATATGTCCGGTGTTTTCTCGGGTCACATTCCAATACAATACAACAGGTTATCATTTTGTCCTATGGCATAATTGGTTTCCACACATATGCTATTAGTCTCGAGCTACGGTCATTAACGATGTCGCTCAAGGGGATGTTCAGAACAGCTTCCGAAGAAGTTATATACAAATCCTTGCTATATAGCAATAATGATTCTTTAACTGTCTTGTTTACATTCCAATACACTATGTCATCATCTTGCATGTTTCTTTAAAGTTTCAGTACACCTTAAAACAGGATAGAGTAGCAAGTTGTCTAATTACACTAACAGGTATTATTGCAGTAAAGAGTATCTCAGAAACGGTCTACTCTAGTGGCTTGTCTTGCTTACAATGGCACACACATACTCGGATAAAAAGTGTTTTGGAATGTACGGTTGAACACACAGGGCTTAATTTATGTGCCCACCACTTCCTCACCAACAAACAAAGCAAAAAGAAATAAAAAATGAAAATAGAATAAAATTTGTTCTGTGATGCCCAACACATATTTCTGAACATAAATTGATGGGTAATAGTTTCTGACATCACAACCAGACAGTGTCTGTGAGAAAATATTACAGACTTTTGGGGGGAATTTTTAGCTGTTTATCACATAAGAAAAACACAAGTGTATATATATTATATGGTTGTAAAGAAAACTGACTTATTGTAGGCTCTTATTGGTAGGCATGCACACCTACTGATGTGTATTTATAGAAGTGCTGGCCACACTTCTGATACTTGCACTAAAGGGGAGTTTTATGTACAAGTAAGCGGTACATCACCTTTCTCTTTGTAACACCTGTAGGCAGTGTTGACGTGAATAACCTACCAACTCAGGCTCAGGCATTTTAGAGAATGACCGAATTATGTCCTTCCTGCTTTCACTACTAGATTTAGACAAAGAATAAATACATACTGAAGTCAGGCCATGTGATTTTCCCTTTTTTTTTACATTTAGTACTGGTTTGTTAAAAAAAAAAAAAAAAAACCACTTACTCAGATAAATTAATTAATCAGAAGAATTTACTTAGACTTATGTTTATTGATCAGTAGAATATCTTATTTAATAATGCTTTAAAAGCAATTAAAAATGTCCATATTAGAATACAAGCATGCAGATTAAGTCAGTTTTGTACAAGGCTTTGTGGGAGAAAACAAAATGCATCATCACTTCTTAAACTTTCTTTTACATTGAAATGCAAATCTGCATTGCCCCTTCCTTGAATTTTGCTAAAACCCATTTTCAGATAGAAAAAGAAAAAATGTTTTTATTAATTTAAGAGCACCAATACAATGTAACAATGTACCATAAGTTTTTTTTTTTTTTAATTTATTGACTGCTCTCATTAATCTTAGAGAATGTTTGAAAGACAGTCACATTATTGGCTTTTGGAGATTTTTCATAGCCAACTTTATTAAGATGTGTGTGACTGTTCCTTTACGTTTGTTTAATTGATATTGTCCTGACAGTTATAGGTACTAAGTTACAGAATATAATGTTTTGAGTTAGATAATCAAGGAGTTCATAAAAGCTGCAGCAAACAATTTGTCTCTTGGAACATCATCCTGTGTTGATTTGATGTACAAGATATTTAATCTCTGTATAAAGGTAATCATGGCATTCAGTTGACCTTTGAAAGTATGTATTTGACCCCCAAAAATGAGATTGTCTATTTCACATGTTTTTACCCTTCAGAATCTGACATGGATCAACTGTTTGAACCCCACATTCTTAAAAGATTTTCTCTGGTATTTCATCTTTATGATTGTCTACTTAAGAACCATATCAAATGTGAGTCAAGTGAACACATGTACCAGTTTTTAGTTGTAGGCCAGGCTACCTTTACTTAACCTATTTTGTTGTCCTTAAGCCTTGCTACTAATAACCACAAACATTTATAATACATCAAAATACAACGCTATTGTATATTTAGTATTACATTCAGTAAATCAGATAGTACTGGTAATTAATGGTTTATGGTCCTTGGTACATTCGGAGAACAATATGAGATCATGAAAATCTGTTACAACACTACTACTAACTGTTACTCTAAATAGATTCATCATCATGCACGGTTTTCCATAAGAGATGTTCGCCGGCCAGTTTGACCAGTTACTTTGATCATTTGGCCGCCTACACCAATCCAGTTTTGTAATAATGTTCCGTACACGACTACACGTACACGGCAGGCCAGCCTCCTACTTTCACTACACAGCCTACTACTAACAAAATTATGGAAAACCCTGATCATGGAGAGGTTGCAGAGTGGAGTCTTGTATCCTCTGATGTGCCTCAGGGATCAGTCCTAGGACGTCTTTTTTTAATGTTTATAAATGATTTTCCAGAAAATATGTGCAGTCTGAACATTTTGTTTTTTGTTTTTTTTTTTTCGGTGCAGATGACACATAATTTTAATCATTCATAACCCCAAAAGAACAAGCTGAATTGCAAAGAGAAAATTTGATATAGGCGTAACACTTGGCTAATGAAGTTTCATCCAGTTCTCCAGATAAGTGTTTACAAATACAGGTGGAGTATAACAAACCTTCATTAAAACAGAAGATAGTTATACTATAGTTAACATTATAAACATCATTTTCAGGTAGGTTAGGAGGAAATCCCAAGATAATATATTGTTTGAATTAATCATTTAAATGTTACAAAAAAATGACCTAGAAAACTTGTGTACAGTTGTGTTTGTTTAATCATGGAATAAAAAACAGTTAATCTGTTTATCAGATATTATATCAATGTCTTAGGTAGGTAATGAATATGCCTAGTATTAAATGTTTATATGTATCAACAGAGAAAGCATCAATCTACCTGAAGACAGTTACACAAGTAAAAATTTATATTCAGTGAAGTATATCATGGAGAGACCAATTCAGCCAAAACATGCTTCAGTTGTACTCGGCTAAGGAGTATGAGATCACGGAAATGTGTGCTGGTTTATTAAAACTGGGGTCAATTGACATTAGAAGGTTGTATCATCTCTTCTTAACTGCTCATGCATCACAGCTCCACAGAGAATTTCCCACGGAATAAATTTCAGGATGTTACATGCTTATATTGTATCAGAGCCTATTTCACTTTTTAAAACATGTCTTGACTGCTTTGTCTAATACAATCTTTCATATTAACCACTTGTCATTCACAAATCCTTTGATTGACATGGTGCATGTACATTCAGCTCGTTGCATTAGGTAGGCAATGATGAAATTAGGTATACTGTAATAGAATGTTAGACTGCTATCTTACCTTTTGATTGTAATTATTATGGCTGTCTTACTCTCTAGTCAACATAGCAGTAATTTTGAAAACAATTCTGTGTATTTTTTATGTATTACGTAACAAAACATATTTCTGTCTGATATGGAAATGGTATTGCAGTAGTTAGAATGTCCCTTTTGATTTGGTTTACCTGAAAATTACTTTTTTTGTCAATCATCACAGTTTCTTCTAAAAAAGAAATAAAGTATATGAGAGTCTGTCAGCCTAGATGACCAGCTAGTAGGCACATTACTCAATTGGAAGCAACTGATGCCAGTCTTGTGTAAATGGATCATCCGGTACAGCATTTCAGCTTGTATAACCTCTTAATTGGTATACATGACCAGTTTCATATGATTTATAAAGGAACTTGTCAGAAGTTTTGGTCATCCTGTGGGCATCCATGGCCACCAGGAACAGGGCTGAAGATAATACAAAGTATGTTTAATTATATACATTGTTGGAGAAAAAAAAACTGAAATTGAAATTTGTGAAGCTGTAGTGTAGGTTTCATGATAAATAAGGAAGCAGTGTATAATATAGTAGTTCTATTTTCTTCTCACACACTGTCCCAGAGTTACCTTCATGAATATCAAACCTTCACTCATATGGTAGCTGCCCATATGATCACAATTGATTACTGTGTTAGTTTTGGAATGAGTAAAAGGTCATTTACAATTATTTTATAAACTAATTAATGCTAAAAGACTGCTATGATATATGGGTTTTTGGTCTCATAAACTGTACATAGTAGAAAACTAACTCATAAATATTTATTATGAAAATAGAAAGGAAATTTAAATGCTTACTAGTTATTTTGTGTTTATTACTGATACAAAAAGCAATGATCTTGTTTTTAAAAGATGATTTTACTGGATAAAATATTTAATTTGTTTTATGTGATCGTTTGATTTTTTTATTGAAAATCTCAATATTGTATTTAGAGCTATGACTACAAAAAAACATTACTGAAGATTAGTTCATTGTGAACAAACAATGGAATATCACATAATGGTCATCAGATGTGTCATAAATGTCTTGTTAAAGACATGTGTTAATAGTAACACAACTCCTTTGGTAGCCTGGTGACTTGTCACAGGTTTGCTTTACCAATTTGTAACATGTATGCAGAAAGCTGTAAGTCTGTACTTAGAACCAACTTTCTTGTGAAATTATTAATATGCATTTTGGATGATACCTGCTTGATTGACTTGTTTATGGTGATAATCATGATGTCTGAATTGGCAATACAAGACGATCGCTACATGAATATTGTGCTGATTGTTTTCCTGTGATTGATTAGTGCAGAAAGTAGTCACACTGAAGTCAATTGTTTCCACTTGTTTTTGCCAACTGTCATTTTCAGACCCAGAATTAGGTATTGATCAGCTAAGCTGATCAGGAACAGCTGTACCACCAGCTTCTGTACAATGTAGTCTTGCTGTTCAGGTGCTCTGTACTGGAGGGAACTCCTGTTTGATTATTAGCTAGTTTGTGTTCTTCAACTGATTATGTTGAAATTAAACCATGTTTTACAATCAATACTAA